TGATAGTTCTGTAGTGTCAGTTCTTTATACTGTATTTACAGTAGACCCTTATATAACAAGGTCATATAGTATATTTTTGTTTTTTTATTTTGTTACCAAAAAAATTAAATTGCTCCTATAATTTATAAACAGCATGCACTCATTGCATGCTCACCTGTTCTTTCCAGTAAAGAGAACCAAGGACTTCTCAGTTCACACTAGCACACTGTTATACACTCATAAGAACATAAGAATGACAGAAGCTGCAGAAGACCTATTGGCCCATATGAGGCCGTTCCTATACATAGCCACCCAGACTCGCATGCGCGACTAACCTATAATTGAAACAATCCATCAGTTCAACATCTGTTATGCTATCTGATAATTTGTTGCATAATTCAATAACCAAACCAGTATTTATCTAGGCCTTTCCTAAATCTAAAAATCTCACACAAAAATAAAAGCTCAAAGAATTGACTATTTACAAAAATGCAAGCTCAAACGCACTTACATCACTATCACAAACCCATCAAACCTCACTCGCCCAGTTTCACCCACCCACTCACACAAGTACGGTCCATTATTTTAAAGGAAGGCATTCTTCTAATAATGTGCAACTTTGTCATGTGTGGCAACATTTATCTATTTATCTATGATGTTATTCAATTAATATAGCACCACATTTTCCAGGAATGAACCTACAATATTGTACAAGAGTTGACAGTTGGCATGGTACGGAAATTAAATAAAAAATAAGTGGAGCATGACAAGTGGTTAGTTTGAAAGGCAGATAGGAGAATATATAAAAAGAAATTTAAATATTAGGGATAAGATGTAGATAGCTATAATTCAGAAATACTGTAGCAAGATTGAGAAAAAGATGCCAAAATACTTAGGACAGACCAAATGGTAAAATGACTTAAGTGTGTGCATTAGTGAATTTGAGGGTAAAGGGAGATGGGCAGAAGCGGTGTGTGAAGATTAAGTAAACAATGTGCATGGTGTTGAAAGAGTGAATGCTGGGTAATAGAGGTCTGTAAAGAGGTAATGTATATATTAGTTAATTCTGTGTGACAATTTATGAGGACTACTGTACTGAACATGTGTGCTAATTATGCAGCAGGATGATATTGTGGAAGTGTGCTGCAGTTTGGTGGTGTGTGTTTATGTGATTGTTGATAATGATATATCATCCAGATTATGTGTGGATGATATAATGAATGAATTGAGTGATCTGTTTTTAATACCCCTAATCTTCATTAACCAATTTGCTTTCCTCGTTTCTTTTGACAAGTGTGTCTCCTCCATGTGTAAGTGGGAAATAGGGGCCAATGATTATGCATGTAAAAGAAATAGTTACATTTGTCAAGGTACTGTTATATTTGTGCCCGTTAAAGAAATTATTAAAGTATCATTTGCTTTCAGAAACGTCTATTTATGATTATTCAGAAAAAAGTATTGCATGTTTGTGTTTTTAATCTGTACTTACTGGGTTGTACACTTTCCACAGGTAATTATGGCAACAAATCGTATTGAAACTTTAGATCCAGCTTTAATTCGACCTGGTAGAATTGACAGAAAGATCGAGTTTCCTCTACCAGACGAGAAGACGAAAAGACGTATTTTCCAGATCCATACCTCGCGCATGACATTAGCCGGTGATGTCAACTTGGATGAACTTATAATGGCCAAGGATGACTTATCAGGAGCTGATATTAAGGTACAATAAATAAATTCTGATTATTTCAGTATCACAGTACTTTTGTAAAAGAAATTAAACTTTAAACCATTCAGTTTTGCTCAAAACTGGAACTAAAGGCATTTTACAAGCCTGAACAATTAGTGCAAACTTATTACTCTGGCACTAACACTCACTGCATAAGATGCTTGATGACTAATTATAATGCAGCACCATTTTTGTTTAAGTTGTGCATGCCTTAAACAACGACAAACAAATGGTTGCAATTGGTATTAGGAAGCAGTAATGACAAATGTTCAGAAATAGAAGTGTGCTTACCTAGTTGTATACAAGTTATGAGGTTCAGCTCTAGAGCCTTGTTGCATAGCCGTTATATCTGGTGCATTTATACCTGCCATTCTAGTACTCGTACTTACACTTGAAGCTGCACAAGGTTATTGCTTTCATCACTTTTGGTTCAAGCTCATTTCACTTGTGTACCACTTACTGCATATTAATATTTCTTTACATTTCTTTGACTCGTCTATCAAAGTTTTACTGGTGCTGCTTTATTCTGTTATCCCTCACTTTGAAATAGTCTCGGTTCACTTTTTGTACTCCCCGATAGTTTGTTGTGCTTATAATAATTTTCACTCTTCAATTATCTCTTGTACCAGCCCCTACTTAACTCAACCTTAGACCAAAAATTTTTTGTAGAATTCTAACCTCTCACTTTTTTTTTTTTTGACCATTTCTATCTTTGTCTAATTACATGGTTTCTTACTGTAGCTTTTCTTTTTGTATAGCTGGGTAGTAACATTTTTGTAATGTCATTTCCAAATTGCCCCCCTGTTTTCTACCGACCCTAGCGTATTTGTTTGTCTCTCAAACATGCACTGTTTGGACGTTTGCTAAGCCTTCTCTTTTTTTTCTATTTTTGCCTTGCACTGTCTGTTGAACCATGGGGGTAATAATACTCCTCCTTTACTCTCTTATATTATGAGGCTTCTATTTAATTTGTGCCAAATACAGTACAGTACAGTACTCAATTTAATTTGTCATCCTTTTATTGGACAATGAAAGAATCATATAGTCTGTCCTCTTGTAGTCCAATCTCCTTGAGAAAAGTGATGAAATGATCCCTTGTTATTCAGTTTTTCTTTTTCACGTGTTTTGCTACACTATGATCCAGTAGCTCATGGGTGACTTTTAAGTTGTACTAGTGCCAGCCAGCTACAGCTTTCCAACATTGGAATAAAGAAACTAAAGAAGGTGTAATGATCCATGCAAGGCAGCTCCTAGTTATACCCAATTAAACTTTACCAAATATGTGCATCTTTCGTTTAAAACAATTCAGCGATCGCAATATCACATTACCCAGTGATTTGTTCCATAAATCAGCTGACACACATTTCTTTCTGTTCTTGCATCTTTGTTCAAAGCTTTTTTTTTTTCATTGTTAATATTTCCATTACATATTTTGTATTTGTTGTCTATTAGTTATATTATTTTTCATCTTGTGCTTAAGAGGTCCTCAAGACTAAAATCTCGTACTGACTTCGCTGAGTTGAAGAGGATAGCTGCCATCACTTAATTACTCAACCTTTCCTAGTGTTAGGTAACTGATGCACCTGGAAGCCTCCCCAGCCCTCTTTCCTTGCCAAGTGAATGTGAAGGGTATTTGGTGTTGTGGCAGAATGAGTGGAATTACTATCTTGATACTTGATAGAAGATACAGTACTTGAATCCGTTTATCTGGAAGGCAAATATGAATATTTATTGAACAGGAACAATAGATGCTTTGTTTGTAGAATGCTGCCGCCAAGGAAGCTGTCCGCTCTTGTCCCGCCTCTCGTAAAGGTATTCCATATTCCGACTTTTACCCGGTTATCCATTTCTCCATCCTTACCCGTTGGCAGGCTTCTTGGTCGTCTGTTACTGGTAATAAACTCCGTACTCTTAAATGTTGTGTTTCCTCGTGGCCATCCTTCTACCACTGTAACTGGCGGTGGGAAACTGCTCTGGCGAGGTTGCGTATTGACCATACTCGCTTAACCCATGGTCACTTGATAGAGCGCCGCCCTGCTCCTTATTGTCCTAATTGCATTGTCCCTCTTACGGTCGTGCATGTCCTTCTTGAATGTCCTGACTTCCGGGACGAGCGTGTGTCTTGCTTTCCGACCGCCCCTCGCGGTCACTTGTCCCTCAATAGAATTCTTGGTAACTCGGATACTTTTGATATCATTCGCCTTGTGCGTTTTTGTTCTCGTATTGGCATCCTTGGTGATATTTAGCGCCCTCTGATTATTCCGCACATTTGATGGTGCTACATAGCCTTCCCGGTTTGGTGCCTTCTTTTGATAATTACTTACTTTGTTTGTAGAACGTTTTGTAAAGATTTGTATGGGAAAACTTTTTCCACCTATACATTATTTAGATTAGGGTAATTGAGATAATTTGACATAAGTTTTACCTCTTTACAGGCAATTTGCACAGAGGCAGGATTGATGGCACTAAGAGAACGACGAATGAAAGTTACCAGCGAAGATTTCAAGAAATCCAAGGAGAATGTTTTGTATAGAAAGAAGGAAGGGACACCAGAGGGATTGTATCTTTAGGTCTCCATTGGTCAAGATCCTTAATTGTATAACTATTTTTTTTGTAATGTTTTGTAATTACTCTTAGAAATTAAATGATCATAATTACTTACCATCACTTTTAATTTTTGGTTTTCAGTATTATATTGCTAACTATTCTGGACAAATAATATACAACGTGTTTTGAGGAAAAATTAATTATAATATTTATGATCGAAATAAAATGGTGTTATAAATTGTCTTTATTTATACCTACAGTTTGCGTAATAGATGGGGTTGCCCATTACTTTTACTTTTCTTGTAATAGTACCATTTATTACATGCCATTTAAATATTGGATGGCCTATTGGGTAATCACTTTACACCTTGTCTGTTATAGGACTGAAATTGTTATATCAATATTTAAATAATTTATATGCAGTATATTGGAAAGCAGCAGAAGTCCCAGGACAAATCCCTGGGGCTTTCCACTTGCAACGGTTTTCCACTCAAACTTTACTCCATGTATGCTAATTCTGCTTTGTTTGATATATCCAACTTGGCATACCTCCAAATACCCTGCACATTAAACTTTTTAATGGGTTTTGAGAAGCATAGTATCAAGGGCTTTGCTAAAGTCAAAGTATATTATACTACAATATTTCCTGCTGTAAATTGCTTGAAACATAAAGAATAGAAAAAGAGTACATGTGTTTGTATAACTACTATGGGCAACCCTTTGTAAAGCATTTGATAATCCATTATTATGCATTTTGCTTGGAATTATTTTTGCCATTTGTTGACTAGTAAGTGTCCTGCAATAGATACCGCAATTGGGCAATAGTTTGATGCAATTGATCTATCGCCTTAAATCTGCATTACATTTGCAAAAGTTGACATGAAGCTGTCGTCCTCTCCTTTTGGACTACATTACACGAACTAGTTGTCTGCAAGCTTTGAATGTATGATCACACACCTTGTGCTTTTGGATCGTAATTACTTTATTCCCTTTGAATTTGGTTGTTATAAGTGCTGCAGCACAACTGGTTTCTTTGTAGATTTGGAAGTTAACACTCGCAGGGCTATTGTGGAGAAATTGGTAGTGGTGGTCATTTTTACCTAGTGTGGGCATGGCATTACCTGGAAATATAATTTATTGTGCAATTGCATTGTTTGGGGGCAATTTGCAACCTTACCTTTAAAGTGCACCTCTGGACAGTTTTATGCTGATTACCTGCTGTTGTGTCATAAATTTTACCCTCATTCAACTTTCAATCAACAGGACTTTGTCCTTTTCTATGAGTAAGGCTTTTATCTGCTTCAAAAAATTGTGTTCTACTGGAAACATTGTCCACCATCTTCATAAACCTTAATGGAAGGCAAAGGTAACTTGTAAATAAAGATAATTCATAGCTCTTATGTTAATATGCAACACCTGCCTTTTTTGGGAATCGTATATCCGAACAATAAGGTATACAAGCCAGAGAAGCCATTAATCTAAACTGCTCGGCCTCTATCCTTTACTTTAAACTTAAAAGAACCACAAATACAGTAAACAAAATACAGACAATATAATCTTGGTATCTGCCTGTTGGCAATAAATTAGTGGATATATCCCACCATCTTCCCCATGGTCAAGAAAGAGCTGGTAATAAAGCAGTCATTGCAAACTTGTAATACGTTTGACTCCATACCCAGCATGTAATGCATTTTACCCTTCTCTTTGTTGGACAGCCAGCCTTTTGAGGGTTTCCAGGCAACCCCATAGGTCCTTAGTCAACCATTACATCCTGGAAGGGTGGAGATGAAGAATTTCAAACTAAATGAAGAATTAAGATTGTAACATGATTTTGAGTGAAAACATTCAAAAGAATATTTTTTTTTAAAGTTTATCATAGTTTGGTTACAGCACATGTATGGTAGGACGGCGCTGTGATGGTTGAGGTGAGGATGTTTGTTATGTGCTGCTGACAGAGTCGGGTAGGACATGGTGCTGAAGGTGGTCGCTGGATGGAGAGATCGAGGGAGGCCAGGGTGGAGAGCTTGAGGGAGGCCAGGGTGGAGAGCTTGAGGGAGGCCAGGGTGGAGAACTTTAGGGAGGCCAGGGTAGAGAGCTTGAGGGAGGCCAGGGTGGAGAGCTTGAGGGAGGCCAGGGTGGAGAGCTTGAGGGAGACCAGGGTGGAGAGCTTGAGTGAGGCCAGGGTTCCTCTTGAGAGATTACCTTGAGATGATTTCGGGGCTTTAGTGTCCCCGCGGCCCGGTCCTCGACCAGGCCTCCACCCACAGGAAGCAGCCCGTGACAGCTGACTAACTCCCAGGTGCCTATTTACTGCTAGGTAACAGGGGCATTCAGGGTGAAAGAAACTTTGCCCATTTGTTTCTGCCTCGTGCGGGAATCGAACCCACGCCACAGAATTACGAGTCCTGCGCGCTATCCACCAGGCTACGAGGCCCCCTGGGTGGCCTACGAGGGTGGAGAGCTTGAGTGAGGCCAGGGTGGAGAGGTTGAGGGAGGCCAGGGTGGAGAGCGCGAGTGAGGCCAGGGTGGAGAGCTTGAGGGAGACCAGGGTGGAGAGCCTGAGGGAGACCAGGGTGGAGAGCTTGAGGGAGGCCAGGGTGGAGAGCTTGAGGGAGGCCAGGGTGGAGAGCTTGAGGGAGGCCAGGGTAGAGAGCTTGAGTGAGGCCAGGGTGGAGAGCTTGAGGGAGGCCAGGGTGGAGAGCTTGAGGGAGGCCAGGGTGGAGAGCTTGAGTGAGGCCAGGGTGGAGAGCTTGAGGGAGGCCAGGGTAGAGAGCTTGAGGGAGGCCAGGGTGGAGAGCTTGAGGGAGGCCAGGGTGGAGAGCTTGAGTAAGGCCAGGGTGGAGAGCTTGAGGGAGGCCAGGGTGGAGAGCTTGAGGGAGGCCAGGGTGGAGAGCTTGAGGGAGGCCAGGGTAGAGAGCTTGAGTGAGGCCAGGGTGGAGAGCTTGAGGGAGGCCAGGGTGGAGAGCTTGAGTGAGGCCAGGGTGGAGAGCTTGAGGGAGGCCAGGGTGGAGAGCTTGAGGGAGGCCAGGGTGGAGAGCTTGAGTGAGGCTAGGGTGGAGAGCTTGAGGGAGGCCAGGGTGGAGAGCTTGAGTGAGGCCAGGGTGGAGAGCTTGAGGGAGGCCAGGGTAGAGAGCTTGAGGAAGGCCAGGGTGGAGAGCTTGAGGGAGGCCAGGGTAGAGAGCTTGAGTGAGGCCAGGGTGGAGAGCTTGAGGGAGGCCAGGGTGGAGAGCTTGAGTGAGGCCAGGGTAGAGAGCTTGAGTGAGGCCAGGGTGGAGAGCTTGAGGGAGGCCAGGGTGGAGAGCTTGAGGGAGGCCAGGGTAGAGAGCTTGAGTAAGGCCAGGGTGGAGAGCTTGAGGGAGGCCAGGGTCGAGAGCTTGAGGGAGGCCAGGGTGGAGAGCTTGAGGGAGGCCAGGGTAGAGAGCTTGAGTGAGGCCAGGGTGGAGAGCTTGAGGGAGGCCAGGGTGGAGAGCTTGAGGGAGGCCAGGGTGGAGAGCTTGAGGAGGCCAGGGTAGAGAGCTTGAGTGAGGCCAGGGTGGAGAGCTTGAGGGAGGCCAGGGGGGAGAGCTTGAGTGAGGCCAGGGTGGAGAGCTTGAGGGAGGCCAGGGTAGAGAGCTTGAGTGAGGCCAGGGTGGAGAGCTTGAGGGAGGCCAGGGTGGAGAGCTTGAGTGAGGCCAGGGTGGAGAGCTTGAGTGAGGCCAGGGTGGAGAGCTTGAGTGAGGCCAGGGTGGAGAACTTGAGGGAGGCCAGGGTGGAGAGCTCGAGGGAGGCCAGGGTGGAGAACTTGAGGGAGGCCAGGGTAGAGAGCTTGAGTGAGGCCAGGGTGGAGAGCTTGAGGGAGGCCAGGGTGGAGAGCTTGAGGGAGGCCAGGGTGGAGAGCTTGAGGGAGGCCAAGGTGGAGAGCTTGAGTGAGGCCAGGGTGGAGAGCTTGAGTGAGGCCAGGGTGGAGAGCTTGAGTGAGGCCAGCTAGGGTGGAGAGCTTGAGTGAGGCCAGGGTGGAGAGCTTGAGGGAGGCCAGGGTGGAGAGCTTGAGGGAGGCCAGGGTGGAGAGCTTGAGGGAGGCCAGGGTGGAGAGCTTGAGGGAGGCCAGGGTGGAGAACTTGAGGGAGGCCAGGGTGGAGAGCTTGAGGGAGGCCATGGTGGAGAGCTTGAGGGAGGCCAGGGTGGAGAGCTTGAGTGGGGCCAGGGTGGAGAGCTTGATGGAGGCCAGGGTGGAGAGCTTGAGTGAGGCCAGCTAGGGTGGAGAGCTTGAGTGAGGCCAGGGTGGAGAGCTTGAGGGAGGCCAGGGTGGAGAGCTTGAGGGAGGCCAGGGTGGAGAGCTTGAGGGAGGCCAGGGTGGAGAGCTTGAGGGAGGCCAGGGTGGAGAGCTTGAGGGAGGCCAGGGTGGAGAGCTTGAGGGAGGCCAGGGTGGAGAGCTTGAGGGAGGCCAGGGTGGAGAGCTTGAGTGAGGCCAGCTAGGGTGGAGAGCTTGAGGGAGGCCAGGGTGGAGAGCTTGAGTGAGGCCAGCTAGGGTGGAGAGCTTGAGGGAGGCCAGGGTGGAGAGCTTGAGTGAGGCCAGCTAGGGTGGAGAGCTTCAGTGAATATAGGGGGGTTGCATTACCTGCAGGATATATACCTGCAAAACAAGTATAGCTAAACCGCAATGCATCCACCTATTTAAATATCATTAATTACCACCCTTCTTATAATATCAGGTGTTTTTAATATTATTAAGTAATTACAAGATGATTGCATACATGAATAATATGATATACAGTAAATGTAATACAGTTGTTATATTAGAGAAAGGAACTTTACGCTCAGTTTCCCAGGTGGATGTTATGGGGTGTCCCCAGGGGGGGTATGCCGGGGGGGAGGCGAGGAACGGTGCGCGCTGATTGGTCGAGGCTGCTCCCGCTCCACCAATCACCAGCCACACTTGCCAGCCTCACCAAATTTGAAGTAGAGTTGCCCCGCAAGATTTCAACATCTAGCAAAATAATCAATTGCAAAGTGCAACTTTAGGCGTCGGCGTGGGTCGGGAGGCGTAACAAGGTATAGTAGAGGTAGGAGGGCGGATACAGAGGCGGAAGGAGGAGGAGAAGAGAGAGGAGGGAAGGGTAGAGGTGGGTAGAGAAGCTGGTGCCCACCAACCACTGGTGTTTGTTTACTGTGGCAGCTGAGCCTGGCCTCCATGCTCACTCACTACAAGCTTACTCACTCCCTCCATCACTCTGAGTCCTCCAGCCTGGACGCCACTTGTGTAACACTTGACGCTGATGTTTGGATTAATATTTCTCCACCAGTCATGTAGTGTGTGTGTATATGTATATGTAGAGATAACGTGTGCAGTAGGAGCCAGGAGAGTGTGGTGAGGGAGGGCTGGCTGGTATTGTATCAGGTTATTGTGTTCGTCTTCCACCTGTGACCACCTCACCTCACTCGGTACTCCTTGTGACCTCCTCATTGCCGCCTCATTGTTTCCTGCCCGAAACGCTTTGCGACATAGTGACTTTAGGTATTGTATGCACCAGCTCTTATAAATCCATCAGCTTTTGTATCTTAAATGTAGAATAGAACCAATGAAGAGCAGAGGTGCCATAGGCACAATCAGAGAACACTGTATAAACATCAGAGGTCCGCGGTTGTTCAACGTCCTCCCAGCAAGCATAAGAAATATTGCCGGAACAACCGTGGACATTTTCAAGAGGAAACTAGATTTATTCCTCCAAGGAGTGCGGGACCAACCGGGCTGTGGTGGGTATGTGGGCCTGCGGGCCGCTCCAAGCAACAGCCTGGTGGACCAAACTCTCACAAGTCGAGCCTGGCCTCGGGCCGGGCTTGGGGAGTAGAAGAACTCCCAGAACCCCATCAACCAGGTATCAACCAGGTACCTTGTAATGTATGTACTTACCTGAATAAATATTTGTACAGGTATTTGTATTGCTAAGTACTCCTTGTGACGACGTCGCCTCGCTCGGTACTCCTTGTGACGACGTCGCCTCGCTCGGTACTCCTTGTGACGACGTCGCCTCGCTCGGTACTCCTTGTAGCCACCTCGCCTCGCTCGGTAAACCTTGTGACCTCGCCTTGCTCGGTACTCCTTGTGACGACGTCGCCTTGCTCAGTACTCCTTGTGGCCACCTCACCTCGCTCGGTACTCCTTGTGACCTTGCCTCGCTCGGTATTCCTTGTGGCCTCCTCGCCTCGCTCGGTACTCCTTGTGGCCACCTCGCCTCGCTCGGTACTCCTTGTGGCCACCTCACCTCGCTCGGTACTCCTTGTGACCTTGCCTCGCTCGGTATTCCTTGTGGCCTCCTCGCCTCGCTCGGTACTCCTTGTGGCCACCTCGCCTCGCTCGGTACTCCTTGTGGCCACCTCGCCTCGCTCGGTACTCCTTGTGACCACCTCGCCTCGCTCGGTACTCCTTGTGGCCACCTCGCCTCGCTCGGTACTCCTTGTGGCCACCTCGCCTCGCTCGGTACTCCTTGTGGCCACCTCGCCTCGCTCGGTACTCCTTGTGGCCACCTCGCCTCGCTCGGTACTCCTTGTGGCCACCTCGCCTCGCTCGGTACTCCTTGTGGCCACCTCGCCTCGCTCGGTACTCCTTGTGGCCACCTCGCCTCGCTCGGTACTCCTTGTGGCCACCTCGCCTCGCTCGGTACTCCTTGTGGCCACCTCGCCTCGCTCGGTACTCCTTGTGGCCACCTCGCCTCGCTCGGTACTCCTTGTGGCCACCTCGCCTCGCTCGGTACTCCTTGTGGCCACCTCGCCTCGCTCGGTACTCCTTGTGGCCACCTCGCCTCGCTCGGTACTCCTTGTGGCCACCTCGCCTCGCTCGGTACTCCTTGTGGCCACCTCGCCTCGCTCGGTACTCCTTGTGGCCACCTCGCCTCGCTCGGTACTCCTTGTGGCCACCTCGCCTCGCTCGGTACTCCTTGTGGCCACCTCGCCTCGCTCGGTACTCCTTGTGACCACCTCGCCTCGCTCGGTACTCCTTGTGACCACCTCGCCTCGCTCGGTACTCCTTGTGGCCACCTCGCCTCGCTCGGTACTCCTTGTGGCCACCTCGCCTCGCTCGGTACTCCTTGTGACCACCTCGCCTCGCTCGGTACTCCTTGTGGCCACCTCGCCTCGCTCGGTACTCCTTGTGGCCACCTCGCCTCGCTCGGTACTCCTTGTGGCCACCTCGCCTCGCTCGGTACTCCTTGTGGCCACCTCGCCTCGCTCGGTACTCCTTGTGACCACCTCACCTCGCTCGGTACTCCTTGTGACCACCTCGCCTCGCTCAGTACTACCTTGTGGCCACCTCGCCTCGCTCGGTACTCCTTGTGGCCACCTCGCCTCGCTCGGTACTCCTTGTGGCCACCTCGCCTCGCTCAGTACTACCTTGTGGCCACCTCGCCTCGCTCAGTACTACCTTGTGGCCACCTCGCCTCGCTCGGTACTCCTTGTGGCCACCTCGCCTCGCTCAGTACTACCTTGTGACCACCTCACCTCGCTCAGTACTACCTTGTGGCCACCTCGCCTCGCTCGGTACTCCTTGTGGCCACCTCGCCTCGCTCAGTACTACCTTGTGGCCACCTCGCCTCGCTCGGTACTCCTTGTGACCACCTCACCTCGCTCAGTACTACCTTGTGGCCACCTCGCCTCGCTCGGTACTCCTTGTGACCACCTCACCTCGCTCAGTACTACCTTGTGGCCACCTCACCTCGCTCAGTACTACCTTGTGGCCACCTCGCCTCGCTCAGTACTACCTTGTGGCCACCTCGCCTCGCTTGGTACTCCTCATAGATTCATATTTCGAAGTATATCTCTTATTCATTTTTACAAGTATTTGAATTTCACCCTTTTTTAATTATAGTGTACATATTGCAGTGCAAAACTGAACTTGGTACAATTAAAACTGTGATGCATATTTTTGTATGTTTATACAGAATATATAATCAAATTACTATACAAAATGTTACTTTAAACAAAGTTATAAGGCATCAAGTGTTGCAGAATGCCTGGACACATGTGTCCTACCCCAGGACTACCCAGGTGTGACCCAGCTGTTCTTACCACTGTACCTTGTGGTAAGATTTAAATAGTAGTACAATATATGCCACTTAATGCTATGTATAAAACAGGTTTTATGTGATGGCTCTCACTTTCATTAATTTGAATGGAATAATTTTACCCAACAATTATCTTTGACATCAGTGACATAGATGATATTACAAACCACAGTAAATTTGCAGATGACAAAAATTTATGGTAAAGTGGGAAGTGAAAATGATAGAAACCTCAAAAAGAGATCTACATGAACTGCCAGAAGACTGACAAGTGCTTTATAATGTTGATAAATGCAAGACCTTGCAAGTGGGGCATAACAATCCATGTCACAACTACCAAATTAAAACCACTACCTTACAACAGATTGATGGAAAGGACCTTGGAGTCAGAATCCATCATTCACTGAGAATTGCACAAGTGAAAGAAATTGAGGCAATATAGAAAAGCAAACCAAACCCAAGGAATAATCAAGCACACCTTTACCTTTAGAAAAAGGTAGTCACTCGATTGTGTAAGTCTGGTGCGCCCCCACCCGGATTATTGCATCCAGGCATGAAGACCTCGTCTTCAGAAAGACGCTGCCCTGGAGGAGGTGCAACACTGGGCAACAAAAATCATTACAGAGCTTAGGTATCTCTCATATTAGGAACGGTTGAGGGCCACTGGGCTAACACCACTGCAAACCAGGGATGACAGGGCGGATCTAATTGAAACGTTTCAAATACTGAACAATTTGGAGGATGTTGATCCGGACAATTTCTTCAAAAAGTCAGATGCAACATGAACAAAGAGCAACAATTTAAAACTCAAAAGCCACAATGCAGGACTGAGAACAGGAGATGCTTTTTCACCCATAGGGTGTAAACCCATGGAACTGCCTACCTGCCAAATTCATAAATGCCAAAACTGTTGGGTTTTAAAATACAACTGGAAAGATCATCAGGACAAATAGGGGAAGGGGGGGGGCTTTGACAAGCAGCTGGCTTCCTGTCTTCATCAAGGCTGCTAGTATTAGTGGCTCTTGGGTAAATTCAGATAAATTACAGTTATTAAATTTCATGGTAGTGGCAAAGGCCACCATAATTCCCTTTATCCCCCAGAGGGATAAGTGCAGTGTAGAGAAATTTCCTGTAGTGTAGAGAAACAAGGTTATTGACATGAAAATATAAAAATAAAATGTCCCCTTGCCCATCATTATATCCACAAAAGTATGTAATCATGGCTAAAGAAGCAAAAGACACTCCAACAGTAATCCACAACTTCATAAGAATGGATGTACAGTTCTTGTAAATTGTCATGTACATTATACAGAAATGCATTTACTCCTTACGAGGTTTTTTGTTCCCTTGGCCTTCAATACACTGCACATTGTTCGCATTCACCATGTCTTCCTACCTTTTTCCTCAACCTATCCTACAAAGAACGTTGCTTTTTGCTCGTGTGCTTTACATAAGGCCAAAAATTGTCATACTAGAAGAGGGGAAGCAGCTCGTGAAAGTGACGTATAGTCCTGTTTTCTGTTTTGGGTCTTTGGTTGGTTTGGAGAAGACACTTTAAATTGACCGTTTTCTTGACATGGGGAAACCTTAGGAGGATGGGCTGTTTTTCTAGCCTTCCTCCTCTCCTACCCTTAAATATTTTCTTTGCTGGGTCAACCATCATCCATTCATTTAGTATGGCTAAAACATCTTGGTACTCTTCTAGTTTTGCTGTTTCATTACTTCAGCAGGCTACATCTCCACCACATTCATTTCATTTTGTAACATAACTCAATGTAAAATTCATTGTTTCCCTGTGGACTGACTCTTAATGCTGGCTATTGTTCATAATCACTAAAGATTAGTATGATTCTGAATTTTTGTGGTAATGTTGGTTTGATGTAAATTTCAAGGGTAGCTGTCATTTGGTGACTGGTACAAGACACTGGGCTATACACATTTCCAGTGTACATCATGGGTTTAGGTTACATATAGACTATGCCTAGGTGTGAAAATTGTCATTGAGAAGTTGCTCCTCCTAGTTAGCCAATCTTTACCAGATGAGTTAAATTAAGTTGTTTGGAATGGTAAAATCTGGTGTCGACAAGTTAAAATGTTACCTTAGTAGGTTAATTTGGTTATTTTATGTTTAAAGCAAGTTGGGGAAAAGTGAGAGAGACCACCGTATGAGTGGCCTCAACAGGGACAGGACACAGGTGGCTTGTAGCTGATCCTCCATTCTTCCTGAAGAATTTTTTTTAACTTGTGAATTGTAGCAGTATCTTGGTATTTATAATTTAAGCAGATAAGTCTTTCCATGGGCTTACTGTACAGTATTTGGTTGTCTTATGGGAGAGAGAGCATCTGTTGTCTGTTCTACATTGTTACAGTACAGTACTTATTTGAAACTCTTGCTCCTTGTGTGAATTATATTTGACCTTTTAAAAAAGGTTATCTGGTTAAATGTACTGGTATTAACATTTAATTTGCATTTTAAAGGTCTTGATAAGCCCTTTCATGTCTTGCTTGCATAGTTCTTGAATCCCTCAGCCTTTTCTCGTAAGAGTCAACTTTGTTCTAGGGTAATTTTCATAATTTTACAGATTTTTCTGCTGTAGCTACATCATCTCTTAGTAGATTAGGTCTACATGCTTGGATACAGTAGGCCTGGTGGGAGCAAGTAAAGGATGGATGACCTTTTTTCTTGAAGTCTGAAGTTCATTTTATTCCTAAGGTTTGGTTGGTATTTTAACTGAAGCTTCTGTTTGCCAAGAAGCTTTTTAAGACTGGTGGACCTTTATTCCAAGATTTTTTCCAATCTGGTTCAAGGTTGTATGTATTTGGTAGTTGTGGTATGTTTTATTATGCCCTACATGTAGTAAGGTCTTGCATTTTTTAATACAGTACTGTATTGATAATCATTTGCCAATCTTCTGAAAATTGTGGAGCTCGTGTTGATCCTTTTCTAAGGCCACAATATCGTTTTCATTTGCTTATCCATGGACAATTGTATAATGTAAATGTGATGTGGTTATTGATGTATACATTATTCAACAAACATTAGTCCAAAAATGGAACCTTATTTTGAGGTTATCTTGAGATGATTTCGGGGCTTAGTGTCCCCGCGGCCTGGTCCTTGACCAGGCCTCCACCCCCAGGAAGCAGCCCATGACAGCTGACTAACTCCCAGGTACCTATTTACTGCTAGGTAACTGGGGCATCAGGGTGAAAGAAACTCTGCCCATTGTTTCTTGCCGGCGCCTGGGATCGAACCCGGGACCACAGGATCACGCGTCCAGTGTTCTGTCCGCTCAGCCACTGGCTCCCTTCCTTGCACCTTGCAAGTGCAAGGGAGGGAGTACAATACTCCCACCTTGCAGTATTCTGCACAAAATATATTTCCAGTTCGATTCTTTTCCATTTATAAATAATCCTTTTCTTCCTGTGTGTTTTAATACATATTTTATTCAGTCTGGTACAATATTTTGCTTTTGATTCCATGTACACATGGAATGCGGGGAGCCGGTCGGCCGAGCGGACAGCACGCTGGACTTGTGATCCTGTGGTTCTGGGTTCGATCCCAGGCGCCGGCGAGAAACAATGGGCAGAATTTCTTTCACTCTATGCCCCTGTTACCTAGCAGTAAAATAGGTACCTGGGTGTTAGTCAGCTGTCACGGGCTGCTTCCTAGGGGTGGAGGCCTGGTCGAGGACCGGGCCGCGGGGACACTAAAAATCCCCGAAATCATCTCAAGATAACCTCAAGATAACACCTATATTTTCGTTTTCTGGGCCAGTCTTTCAATTGGTAACGTTTCCAAATGCCTTGGGGAGGTCTGTGTACATTTCATCAGCTGGAAATCCTGTTGTATGTACAGACAGTTGGTTACTGTTTCCAGAAATGTGACTAGGTTTTTTAGACAGGATTTATTTTTGACTAAAGTGAATTTTTTAGTTTATTATGCATCCCATGCCCATCATGTGAGCGATGATGTGATGCTTTTATGAGGTTATACACTGATTTTGTTCTTTGAGCTTACTGTTGTAAGGTTTACAATGATCTGAAACCCCCCCCCCCATATCCTGAACCCTCAATTTTGTCATCCAGGAGTTAGGGAAGCTTGTAGAACCTTGGGTTGTAACGTGCAATATTTTCAGTAACCAGAATGGTTATTTAATTGAATAAACTTTAAATTTTCAACCACTTTTGTCATTAATACAGCGTAGAATAATGATGCAGCCCGCCCGCAAGAGTGTGGGAAGTGGTGAAATTGTTACCCGGTATCGGTGACGGGACGACGCACGGCGCTTTGAAAGTTTATACTTATTTCACTCTCATGACATTAATTTTCTATGTACGTCATTCATTTTATGTCAATGTGTTCGCAATAGAATGTTCTATGTGCCCATAGGTAAAAAATATCAACAAAGCGCAAGTTAGAATAGCGACAAATATAAAACAACGCTGGAACATATCAGTGAGCGTCAAACACACACGAAATATTTTTACTTTTGTTATGTTTGTCAAGATTATACTTGTTGCACACAGTTATTTTTGGTTGTATTTTGATCGGAATAAAATTCCCTAAACAGACATATGCATATAATACATGATATGGGGGTAGAATTACCAGTATAAACGGCTAAAGTCACCCACCTGCAACCCGTTTGGGACAAAATACCATTTGATCGAAGTTATCCACACCTTTCAAGAACTTATATAAAAAAAAAATAATTCCAAGGGGGCAAGTAAGGCTATACAGGTACTAATAAAATCCTTTCAGTAAAGGGTTAAATGGTCATTGCTAATTAAATTAGCAATTATCATGTTAACATTAGCAATTAATCATATAACCAATAATCACCAGCAAGGTCTTGTAACCATGCTGGTGTCATGGTTGAGTATAAGCTGGTGTAAATAAAATTGAAAATGTTGTGGTTAACATCAAACACATCATAAAACAGTCATAGTTGATACCTTAAGGTTTAAACAATACAAAAAAGTGCTTTCTTAGAAGGTAAATTTCTTAACAGTACGATTCAAAAATATATTCTAAATATTAAATACAGTATGTAAATTTAGTCAGAAAGGGCAGTAGGCTAGGCATAGTTCTGAGCTACTCAGGTTCTCATAGTATATAGTAAATAGTTAGTAATTTATTGAGCAGCAAATGTTGCCACCTTTGTCTATTGTACCAAGAGTTAAACAGGTGTCATTGATAAACTTAAAAATAATCTAAAAAGATAATATATTGCACAAATATTCATGTACTTTTTGGTATGGCATTTCTACTTCACTATACAGTACTTTCGATTCTACAAGCATATTTTAGTTTAAATTCCACTACAATACTGTACTGGTAGTTGAGTCAGTGACATATTAGAGATAGATCAAAACTTTGTATGAAATGGCAAATTATTTTATTATAAATGATAAAATATCCAAAATTCTTGAGCGTTATCTATACAGTATTTCGTTTCAATAAAGGTATAGTATACAGTATATGTGATGAAAGTATAAGCTGTGTAGCCTAAAATCACAAAAACATCACTTTTATTACCCTGTGTAGTATTACCCAATATTGAAATTTACATTGTCATAGTGGTTGTAGGACAAGGAGTGTTGTTACTAGCTATCATTATACAGTAATTAAATATAAGGTGTAGATAATTGTTTAAATTGGTGTCAAACAACATCCACTGAGGTCTGATTAAGGCTATTTGTGCTCTCTGTAATCCCTTTGAAATACTGTACCGCTAACAAGATGAGTATGGGACTATGGGGGTGGACAATACAGTACGGACTCGTACATCAGGATGCGAGCAGCTGCATTGAACAGCCTGGTTGATAAAACCAGCAACCAGGAGGCCTTGTCAGAGACTGGGCAGCGGGGACATTGATCCTGGAAATCAACAGGTAAGTAGACAGGTGAATATGGGGTACACAGTAATCTAGCTGCTGCTGGTGGCAACAGTCATCATGGTAGAGAGAAAAGCATTTCTCAACCTAGTTTTAATGTCATGTACTTTAATTATTATTATTTTTTAGCTGAGTAAAATTCTATTTAGAGTTATATACAATATTAGTTTTCCTGCAGACTGAACAATGGCCTCACGTCCAAACACCCGAGGCTTAACAGTCACCTCACGTCCAGCCACCCGGGGCTTAGCAACTCGAACTCAGGGCATTAAGGCTGTACAAGGTGTGAAGATTCATAATGAAAACTCCATCCGCCCACCTGTCCTAGGAAAACCCAGCTCCAGCTTCCTCCGTGATACTACGAACAAAGTGTTGGGGCTAAAACGTAAGGCTGAAGGTGCTCTTGAGGAACAGAAAATCACAAAAAAGAGGTCTGCCTTTGGTGATCTTACAAATGTAAGTATTTTGATTTTCTTCACTTTGGTTTTATTTATTGATTTTATATTATTTATTGAATATAGTTGTAGTACAGGTACATAATAATAGCTACCCCCAGTTCCCACTTTCATGGGGAAGGGAGACATTTATCTAATTAAAGAATGGAGAATGGTACAGTATAGGCATAGGTTAAAAATATTTAAACCAACATCTATCCTTTCACCACAGCTACACTAAACAGCATCATTAAGAGCCAACACAGTTTGACACCAGCAAGTCATCCACAGCAACCAACTCAAATCAAATTAAAAACTATTTTCATAAAGGGTTATACTGGAAAAGGTTACATAAACATTACAGTACATAATCATAATACGTAGTAGCATAGCACAGTCAGAATCAGAATCGGAAACTTATGTTGTAACAACTTGTACAAATCATTACAATACTGGTTAGATTAAACAGGTGTATAAGTCTAAATCAAACTTACTTTTTAGGCATAAAATGACTGACATTTAACTTAGAATTTTAAAGGTGATATATATTGTAAAAACAAAGCGAGGTTTACCATTTAGAGTATTAAGACATGTATAGGCACAATTTATGTCATAAATTTAGGAAAAGACAATTAGAAGTAGAAATAATATAAACTAATCATACCATAACATTATAGATATTTGCACACCAGCATTCTACAGACTTGTTGCTAGGCAAAAAAGTAATTGAGATGTATGCCAAATTTTGAGAACTATACGATGAAGGCACACAAACATTCATACCAAAACAAATGCAGGACCAGAAAACAGGACTGATCAAACAGAAATTGTGAGGGGGGGCCAGAGAGGAAAAGACAAGAAAATGGGTTCAATATAGGAAGAGGCTTAACCCACAAACATACCAGCACTACAAGCAAGCAAGAACATTACACAGCAGAAGGGAACTCTGAGAAAGGAATAGCAGACATGTAAAATGGATCCAGGCTTTTCTGTAAATTCATTAAAAGCAAGCTGCATGTAAAGGATAAAATCCAGAGACTGAGAACGAGGTACATGACTACTAAGAATGAAAAAAGAAATGTGTGGAATGCTAAATGAACAGTTCCAAAGTGCGTTTGCACAAAATGAGGATTTCACAGAACCGGACTCAATACCAATTCCAGAGCTCGCCATAGAATATATAAAATGCCCCCAAAAATATTAGAATTTTTTTTTTTTCAAACAAGGTAGATGGTTGGAACAAGCTAAGTGAGACAGTGATGGAGGCTAAAACCGTCAATAGTTTCAGAGCGTTATACGACAGAGTACTGGGAAGAAGGGAGACTACGAGTGTAGCTCTCGTCCTGTAACTACACTTAGGCAATTAACCAAAATCTTGCCTCACAGGATTAACTGAATTCTATGACCAGAGTGTAATAACCACCACAAGGGGACGGCGAGTGAGGGGAAGGGAAAGGGAAGAAGCTATGGTCTGTGCCAAGATCACTACAAGAGGATAAAAATCAAAGAGAAGGGTGGGCAGACTGCATATTTTTGGATTGCCAGAAAGTATTTATAAGAGTCACAGGCAGGAGTGAAAGGGAAGGTGCTCCATTGGATAAGAGAGTACCTAAGCAACAGAAGACAGTGAGTGACTGTGAGGGGTGAGGTCTCATTGGCGAGATGTCACTAGTACGTAGTCTCATACGCTTCGGTCCTTGGTCCTATCTTGTTTCTGATACAGTATATGTAAACGATCTTCCAGAGAGAATAGACTCAATCCTCTCAATGTTTGCTGATGTAAAAATTACAAGGATTAAGACAAGGAAGATAGCAAGAGGCTACAAGATGATCTGGACACATTTAAGGAATGTTCTAATAAATGGCTACTGGAGTTTAACTCCAGTAAATGTAAAATAATGGAGCTAGGTGGAGGCAGCAGGAGGCTAGACACAAGGTACCAAATGGGAGACAAAGTGCTCCCATGAAACAGAAGGATCTAGTTGATATCATGCTGAACCTATACCCATTCACATATGTTATATTTTATTCACTTTAAAAGGAAATTAGCAGCAGCAGCATATACAAGGCTGGCTAACATCTGAACTGCCTTTATAAATTTGTGTAAGGCATCCATACTTTTTCAAGCCTAAAATTAAATTGGAGAACGTTCAAAGGTATGTCACAAGGAACATTCTAGTTCCAGAATTACAAGGCAAGAGTTATGAAGAAAGGTTGCATGAATTGCACCTCTCATCACAGGTTTGTTAAATGGGGGCATTGGAGTGGTTTGTTGGTAAATGAAGTGGCAACTTTGGCATCACTTATAGTTGTTATACAAAAACAATATGGGGCCAAATTTTCACAATCATTACCCAGTGCAGATATGATTGATTATGGCATATAATTAATTTCTACAAATTTTAAAAGTTCATGTACCTGTATATATATATAGCCAGTTACCCGATAAGAATTAAATATTTGATAAGCGCTATTCTCAATGTTTTGTGTGCCAACCTTATCCGCACCTGTTGTATAGGTCCTAAAGAGTCGAATTTTTTTTTAAGGGACATGAAAGTTTCCATAAATTACATGAAATACAAATGAGAAAATGCATTCCTATATAGTAGTCATAATTAGTAAATTGTAATTAATCACTGTGTTAACAAAGTATTGAATAAGTTTTATTTCTAAAATTTGTCCTGTAATTATTTTTTATTTTTGTAATCTAAACCTACAGGCAATTGAGAAGAAAATAAATGATGGTAAGAAGGTTGCAGCACAGAAGGGAAGGCTGGTGCGTAATGGGTCCACAGTATCACTGCGCAAGGTGGCCAAGCCTTCTATTAAAAATCCAGTGCAGTCATTATCTATGAAGATAACTGTTCCCGAACTTCTTACAATCAAGGTCGAAGAAGCAAAGGAGGTATCATTTTGTGACACACTTCCCAGTTCGCAAGACACTATCTATTCTCAGGAGACCAACAAGACAGATCTCGACGACTCTGCTGGATATGTGACAGCATCTGAGGAAAGGTACAAAATACCCAAAGCTTCCCTTCACTCTACTGCTGTGGAAATTAGTAGTGTGTAAGTTTGCTGCTTGCTTTTCATTCAAGGAAATTTCAAAATAGCTTAACTATTTTCTTATATTCTGAATACAAATTTTTTTTTTTTTTTTTATAAAAAGCTCTAAATAGCCTTTGAGCACTTTTATCTGATAACTCAAATCTCTTAATTAAAGAATTATTCATAGTGCTACTAGACTCCTACAGAACAAGAGTTTTAAGATTTTGATATTTCCTTTTCTGCTTAATGCAATTGAATGTACAGCATGCATTCTTGAGCTTAATTAATTTTTTTTTTTTTTTTTTTTTTTTTTGTGATTCTTGGGATTTGACCTTACTCTTAGTAGTGGTATTGGGTGATTGGACAATGTTGGCCAACCAAGCATATGTCACTGATTATATCTTCTGACACATGACAGGTGTGGTGTGATGTCAATCGCCCCCTTCCCAGATCTTTTTCTCCCCGATTCTTAAAGGATTTCATCTCCCAAACGGTACCTTGTATACCTTGTAGGAAGCAGGTTCCTCCTGCTCTCTACACCTATCTTCATTACCTTTCATTTGCTTGAGTTAAACTCTTAACAGCCATTTGTTGAACCATTCCTTTAATTTGTCCAGGCCTTCTTGTAGCCTCATGCTGTTCTTTTCTGTGTTAATCCTTATAATTTTAGCATCATTAGAACATTGAGAAGAATGAGTCTATACCTTCTGGAAGATCATTTACATTTATCAGAAACAGGATAGGTCCTTGTACAGAATCCTGTGAGAGACTGCTGGTTACATCATGCCATTCTGAGGTCTTACCCCTAACAAACAGTAACTCTACTTCCTATTGCTTAGGTAATCCTTTACCAACGGAAGCACCCTACCAGTTACTCCAGCCTGTTTCTGCATCTTATGCCCCACCCTTTAATGTGGTAAAATAATTCCAGCCTTTCCAGGACCTACGTGTCTGGGATTTTGTCCTGCCACCTGTGGAGGAGTCTGCAGAGACAGCTCAAGCATACGTAATTGAGCTTTTTGGAGTGTCTGCTGTAGATAGTCCAGATCACTGGCAGAGAAGAGGGTGTTGAGTACCACTGCATGGTAGACCTCCAGTGTGGTAGTAAGGCCGAGTCTCCTCTGCTCCCCAGACATTATCATGGAGTCTTCCAAAGGTAGCACTGGCCTTGGCAATCCTGTTGTTGAATTCTGTGCTATGTTCACCGCTCTTGAGAGTGTAGCACCAAGATTGATGAAGTTGTTGACTGCCTGTAAGTTCTGCCCCTTGACCGTGATGATGTGTGTGATGTTCCTGAGAGGGTCTTTCGAGTATGGGCTGATAAGTGACTTTGAGGGTATTAAAAGTATCAACATAAGGCAGAACACATAACAATGGGTATAAATTGGATAAGTTTAGATTTAGGAAAGATCTGGGCAAATACTAGTTCGGTAATAGGGTTGTTGATTCGTGGAACCAATTACCATGTAACATAATAGAAGTAGGATCCCTTGATTGTTTCAAATGTAGGGTAGAGATATATAAGAATGAGATTGGGTGGATATATATAGGAGCTGCCTCGAATGTGCCAATAGGCCTTTTGCAGTTATCTTCATTCTTATGTTCTTATGACTTCAGTCTTTTGGGGCTGATGATGAGACAAAAGTTGTCGCAGGTTTGTGAGCGGCAGTCTATTTTGTGTTGCATCATTTTCTCTGTGCTGGCATTGAAGGTGCAGTCACTAGGGAACAGGAATTCTCTTATCAAAGTTACCTTCATTTTTACAAAAACCCGTGGACACGTGAGGTTGAATAGTCAGTCCTGTATTTGACATATACCCAGTATTCATATCCCTACTTGATACACAGAACCTCAATGTTCTGTGAAATACAGATTGAAAGCCTCTGATCTAGTTGATTATTTGCTAGCAAGTGAGGGTGCTGTTTGGAGGTTTTTGTGATGCCAAGTATCTCTTAGAAAGGTGAGAGTTTTGTGTGACTGCATTCTCAGCTGTACATATTTGAGTATTCTCCATTCCCTTGTTAACTAGTGTGACCTTGAAGGACAGTATGAGAAGTTTGCCACCGCCTATTCAGAATATTGACCTGCTCACTGCCTGCAAGAGATATAATCCAAAAGTTCAGTAGGATTTTGCCCTACGAACATGTACAAAGTTCTTCTCATATACTTCTCATTTGTCGGCAGGTACAAGGTCTAAAAAATGACATCCATGCTAAAGCAAATTTTCAGGAGCCATTGGCATGGATAATAAACTAGTATACACTGCATATGTGCCTCATTCCTTCAGGGAGCCTGTCCTGAAGGGAAAAAGACTAAAATTTCTGTAGGCAACCAAACCTTGTCTTCCTTTTTTTCCCTCTTTAATTTCTTCCTATGCTTCCTCTGGTGATGGATAAATCTAATTTTGCTGTTTGGGTGTTCTCTGTAGCTCGAGATGCCTAGTCTTAGTTCTTTTATATTACAGTGGTGTATATGAATATTTAAATTTGTTTGGTATGCCAACCTGTTACCAATGAGTTAAGTACTTCTCAGTTGCTTTTGTGATTATGCTGCAATATAAAATCTTGTCAGAATTCTTGTGTGCCATTACCAAGAAAATACGAGAAGTGTTCATGCTTGACGGATGCACAGTTGATTATTGTGGAATGCAAAATGCAGATAAGTTAAATAGTATATATATCTATATATGGATATATACTGTATAGCATTAAATTTGTTTAAATAAAAGTAAAACTAATAGCTATTTTTGAGCAAAATGAATATTAACCCCTGCACTGCACACACAATAAATTCCAACACTCCTGTGGTGCTCTTAAAAAAAAATTCCAGAAAAAAGTATTTGTTAATTTGACATTGTTAATTAGCATCCACGAAGCACAAAACTCCAGATATATAGTGTGTATATCTTGTGGTTCAGTTGTGGTGGCCCTGAGGAGAAGTGTTTTTTCTGTAGAAATGAGGTGCCGTACAGGAATAAATTTGTCGATTTATTGTCAATGTTTCTTGTTGATTAATTATTTACTTATTTGTTCTAACAGGTTTATTGATGTATCAATGGTGGTGTTCATTTTTTATAACTTTAAAAATATACTTATATACAGTACTGGTATATGTGTAAATATACTGTACTCATATTTATTCATACTAATATACGGGTATATATGTATATACTGTATACAGTACTGTATATATATAAGCCTAAATCTTATAATTGCACATGACACATTTTGCCTGAAATATATACATGGTAATCACTCATTTGCTGTTGCTAAAAGTTGAGTGGCTCCTAGTATGGCCACCCTGCACATTCACACTGGATGGTGATGGTGCCAGATATGGGCCTCATCTTTTTGCTAAGGCCCTAGAAGGAAAGTGAGGGACTTGAGATTTTTGTCTCAAGATTGAGGACGGTTACTGGAGGCTTGAGGAAGCAAATGTGAAACCTGTATACATGGAAATTTTTAATCTTTTTAAATACCTATGAGCACCTTAAGAGATGCTATGTGCAGCGCATTGGTTAATAATATGGAGATACAAGGAAAATTAATTTAAGAATGCTGTTGCTTCTTTTTTTTTTTTTTTTTTTTTTTTTTTTTTTTTTTTTTTTTTTTTTTTTTTTTTTTTTTTTTTTTTTTTTTTTTTTGTAGCAAAATAGTTTCCTAATAGGAAACTATTTTGCTACAAGAAGATTGGTGGAAATGCCATTGAGAATGTTAACCGCTGAATTTGTATATGCACTAGTCATAATGCTTCCTTGATGTTGCCAGCCCCGTGATAACAAGATCCCCGGTAAAACAAGTGGTGGATGACAAGCCTCAGTTGCCAGAAGGTGTGGCAGATTATGACAAGGAGATGGAAAGTGACCCTTTTGCTATGGCTCTTTATGCTCGTGACATTTTTAATTACTACAAAGAGAGAGAGGTAAGCATTCTGCATGATTCAGAGTTGGTCAGGGGCTAAACTTCCAGGTACAGTATAAATATTGGTAACCTTATGTTGGGGAGAATTTTATGAATTTTCTTATAATTTTGACTACAAAGATTCTTGTATTCTTGTACAAAGACTTGTATGTAATCTTAAAATGTATGTAGCAAGGATATTGCAATATTGTTCTTAAAGCATTTTCAAATTCATTTATACACTAGCCTGCATTTTTGTTTTTCATTGAATATTATGATTATCAATTGGATCTTGAGCTTATTGCTATTAACATACATGCCAATTTTTTATTTTTTAACTTTCAGAATAAATTTCCAATCGACAAGTACATTGATCGACAACCAGACGTATCTCGAAGCATGAGATCAATCTTGGTTGATTGGATGGTTGAAGTTCAGGTAGGCTAGACAACTGTTTGTTTTTTTGTAAGATGGAATAAATTGGTTACCGATCTGTTTTTTTGTAAAATGGAGTATGGCAGACTAATTGCAGGGGCCCACTAAATGGATAAGAATTGCATATCTTGGGCAACTGGGGTGTTATGGAGAGCATTATTTATTTACCATTGTGGGAAGAATACACCAATGTAAACAATCAGCCAAAGGGTACAAATGTGGTTCTTGTCTTGTCCAGACATTAATGTTATTTCACAAGGCAAGGGGGCCTGCTCCTGCTAATGAATACTGTGTTTTGCTTGGCTTGAGGACTGCTGCAGATTGCAGTAGTGTTGGACGGTGGTGGGGGTGGCAAAGAGTAACATGCTGCTAGAAAAATTGTTGACATTTGTTTGTTGCTGTATACTGTAGTAGTGGGTTGGACACTAGGAACAGTTGGTGCTCGTAACTTCCATTGTTTTGATCCCAGTATGTATGCAAGTGAATAAATGGAGAATTTAAATGAAAAATCATATTTGCAGTGAAGTTACGTAATGTTGACCAGACAATGCACTAGTACGTGCAGGAGCGATGACGTTTCGGTCCGTCCTGGACCATTCTCAAGTCGATTGTGAATGGTCCAGAACGGACCGAAACGTCGTCGTCCCTTCACTTTCTAGTGTGGTGTCTGGTCAACATATTTCAGCCAAGTTATTGTGACTCATCGTCAGCAAGTTATGTAAATGTGGAAGATTACCTTTTATATTAAGATTTCCTATACGAATGGAGGGATTATTTATAGTTTCTAGTCTTATTGCACAGTGCTCTCATTTATTTATTAGTGGAATAGTGTCAATATATTATTCATTATAAAAGAAAGTAAGAATAGTGAAATTTTTATAGCAGGTCAACGTATTTTTCGAGCAGGCTGGCATGTCAAGTGTTACTAAATGATGCTCTTTGGGAGGGATGTTTTTATAATCTTTGTTAGGTACAGGGTATTAATAACAAATATTAATATCTTTTTTTTTTCTTTTATCAGGAATCATTTGAATTGAATCATGAGACCCTCTACCTTGCTGTAAAATTAGTGGATCTGTATCTGGCTAAAGTTGTAATTAAACGTGATGTCCTACAACTAATTGGTTCTACAGCCATGTTTATTGCTTGTAAATTTGACGTAAGTTGCCAGCTGTTGCATCAACACACTACAGTACTAGATTTAAGTATATGTTCAGGAGGAATGAGTAATAGTAATGTGGCTTACACAAATAAATTAAAATTTGCTCCTATGAAAAGTGACATTATTTTTGGTCTTTCTAGGACCATTTTTGAGTAGAGATTATCAAGATACTGTAGCTTTTTTTTTTTTATATATATATAATGGCTTAGGGTACATCAAAACATCCTCACTTTCATATACTCTAATGATTGGTTTATTGTGTAAACTAGATAAACTTGATCATATTGTCAGTGAATTATACATGTACTGTATGAAGTTCTTGTATTCTACAGGAAAGAACCCCTCCATATGTTGATGACTTCCTATATATATGTGATGATGCCTATAAAAGGAAGGAACTGCTTTCTATGGAGATAAAGATTCTTAAAGTGATTGGTTTTGACTTAGGAATCCCTCTGTCCTATAGATTCCTCCGGAGGTATGCCAGGGTAAGTTTCTTTAATTATTATGCACTTTGTGTATTTTTTTCATAATTTATTTATACAGTATGAGTCTTGGGAAAGAAGTATGCAGAGATAACATAAGCAAAAACCCCAAAATATTTAGAATGGTATATATAGTGTTAAAGAACTGCAGTTCCTTGTGGACTTTATCTCATTACATGTTTAAAATGTTGATGGGGTATGCCAATGTATGCTACTAGGATTAAAATTTGAGTTGTCTATAATTTCTTAATCAAAAAATATTTTATAGCTATACTGGACATGAATATATAGTAAATTAAGCAATATGCTAATGGGCTTTGGGTCTTGCACAGGAGCATTGCTATCACTTTCCTTTGCTCAAATGCTTTCAGCAGCCTTCTGTGTTGTTTGAGATTTAATCTATGGAATGCACTTAATTTTCTCAAAATTAATTTTGTTTATTTCTAAGCTACTGCTTTCAATTGCTTCCTAAGGTAAGAATCCTTAGTCTCATGTACAGGATTTGAGCACTCGTGTAGTACAACATTGGCACCTTTATGCTTTCTCATTCATGAATCTTGCCTATTCATTTATACTCTTCATGAATTTTGCCTAAGCCACAGTAAATCCTTCCCAAGGGAGCATCTGAATAACTGCTCTGAAAGATTCTTTTCATTTAACTCACCCAATTTTTAATTTTTGTTGCAGTGTGCCAAGGTGAACATGGAAGACCTTACTTTCACTCGTTATATCCTAGAGATGGGGCTAATGGATTATGAACTGATAGATTCTTCAGATTCTGCTCTTGCAGCTGCTGCTCTTTTCCTGTCTCGAATCATTAAAGGCGAGCCCACGTGGACCCCCACGCTTCAGTATTACTCAGGTGGGTGCAACTACTGTACTTAGAATTTCATGAAATGCTTATTGAAGAGGGATAGAAAAAGAGGCATTATCTACAATAATTTTGAACTGTAATTATAGCTTTTGAGTAAAAATCTGAAGGGTAGGCTTTAATGTCGTAATAAATACATGGCTGAATTATAGTTTAATGTGTTGTTAAAAGAAATTAAGCTTTAACTGCAGGGACTGGAGAATTAGGAATATACTTAATTCTGAAGGTACAGCAACTGGTACATTATTATAATCTGTTAATTTAGCAAAGGGTTGAATATTGGTGTCCATAGGCATTAACAGGAAATCAATATTGAATAAATTGTTTGATTACATGCATTCGATTGCATTAGGGTAATCATATGATAGGTATTTTTGGTTTCCTCTGCTGATATGATAATACAAAATATTCTGAAATGTTCTTGTATATACTGGCAATAGGTAGTAGCTATAATTAGAATCCATAAAAAATATAATACAATATAATAATCTATAGTACAGCAAGGTACTTATATGGCTGAAATTGTCATGGTATATACCATGACAATTTCAACATTTCAACATTATATCGCACATTGTGACAACTGTACGACATTCTATTAAGAAAGAGGTAGGAAAAGGAAGGGAAGAGTGAAGTTAGTAGATACTGTGTGGTACCTGTCTATGCCTCTGGAAGGGAGGTGGGGGAGATCCAGCTTTAGAGCCCTGCCTTATGAGCTATTGATTCTGGTGCATTTGTTCTCCCTTAATATTCTGGTGGGTTGTAATTCCTTTACCTAAAACTGAATGGTGGTAGCTTCCACTGTGTGTTCTTCCAGTTTGCCTTGTTCTCCACCTTCAACGGAAACAAGGTATCAAAGATGTGAATAGGTGATACACTTGTTTGCCCTTACATTTTCAGCTGGAAGAGGGAGGGGGGCATTGTGACAATATGGACAAGTGCTATTCAGGTCCATTGTTTATATTTCTATTTATAATAATTTACAAACAATTATTGCAGGATATACAATGGAGGACCTGTACCATCTTGTACACCTTCTCCATAATATGATTAGCCAGCCACCCAAAGAACACCTCAAAACTATCAGGAATAAATATTCTCACAAGTAAGTTATAAAGCGTACGAGTTTTTGATCTTGCATGCAGTATTGAGCCATTTAATGCCAATTCACTACAGCTTTGGACCCGATCATCTCAGATTTACATGAAATTTGGTAGAATGTTAGAGTACATGAAGTAACATATGCAAAATTTTAACCCTCAGTATTTTTAGCATGATATTTATACAGCCACCATGTTGCAAATGTGATGAAACATAGAATTTAGGATTACAAGCTCAACCAAAAAAATAATAACTTTGCTTCTAATTGAGGTAAGATCTTCATGTTGCACTTATTTTGAAGCCCAATATGAAGTTTTTGTTTTTTTTAGGATATTCTTGTCCTCTTTGCAGATTTTGCAAGTGCAGGTTAACAGAAAAATTGCATTATATACCATATAATTATAGTGATTTTTTTTTCAACAAAAGTGTTCCCATATTGTTGTATGTTTAGACTTTCTTTTTTGTACTGCTATTGGTCCTTAAGGATTAAGAACATGATTGGTATAGATGGCTAGTTACGACATGAGTAAAGGTAAAGAGTAGGCTGACTAAAGCACAAAATACTGACAACAACAAAGCACTGTCACATGTAACATGCACAACTAGCTTTTTACAAGGAGACATGGTGAAGTGACTATAGTGACATAAATATATACATATGATATAAATATGTAAATATAATATAAATATATACATAATATAAACATGTACATAATGTAATATATACATATACAGTAATATTATAAATAGTAAAATACTGTACAAGGACACACATGGTGAAGCACAAACACAAATACAATACAATGCTCAAGAAATTGGAGGTGTGTGGCAAGTGTTTTGAAGACGCAAGTGTTGGATCTGTAACATACGATTTCACCTGAGCTGTGCAGAATTATCTACAATATGCACAAACAAACAAGGAATATGCTGGATTTGCAACAATGACAGGTTAATATGGGAAAACATAAACTGATGAAGCTCATACCTGAGGCTCACAGAAAAGCTGCCAGCGACATATGCCTATTGTGAAAAAACAAACTGGACAATGGCCAAAACTCAGGAACTGGTAGTGTAGAGAACCACTGCAGTAGTGTGGAGGGAGAGTGTATTATGGTACATAACAGCAGCAATATTGCAGAGCCTGGTAATGTTAACAGTGAGAAAATTGCAGAAACAATTTAATTTGGACAAAAATGGTGATTGCTCCAATAAAGAGGTGGGCCAAGTCAAACACAAGTATTGCATAATCAACCAGAAAAAAAATAAAAATTTAGAATATTTGCAAATACAGTACTATGCACTGGGAATATGCACATATGGGCCCACAGGCAAAAAATGCACTTTTATACATCCCCGAAAATGTAAGAAAAAGGTTGAGGAGGGGATAAGTGCCGTTTTGGAACAGAGTGCAGATACTTCCACCCTAAACTGCGCAAATCTTCAATTAATGGAAAAAAAAGTTAGTCTTGTGCCCAGAATTCCATGTGAGAGGTACACAACGTTATAGATGAGAAGACCAATATGATATTGCTAAAAAAAAATTAGAAGCAGGCAGAAACAGAAGAACATATGAGAGTGGAACAGACAGATACAGTAGAATCATTGCTGGAGTACAGAAGGGGAGGGAGATATCAACAAGACTGGAATAAAAGTTATCAAGCACACAGGTACTACACCATAACACCCATACTACTACCAAAACTGGACGAATCATTACCAAAACAGCACACCCTGGATCAGGGGGAGAACTACCAAAGCCCACCAGAAGTGACACACAATATGGGAAATCATTCATATTTGCAAACATACAAGGCCTAATGTCAAAATCAAGAAATAAAGTGAAGTTCATAAATGGCCTCCTAATTGAATTGAACTCAATATTTGGTGCATTTACAGAAACTCATACGAAAGATTACATGGATAATGAAATCTGGATCCCAAATTATAATCTCTATAGATGACACATAGTAATTAGGTAAAGTGGAGGAGTAGGTCTGTATATTAAAGAGGGACTGGCATGCACAAAGCTGAACTCGACCAATGAGGTGGTAGAGGTACTTGGAATCAAGATAGAAAATGTGAATCTAATTATTATTCTAATATACAAACTGCCAGATGCAACAGTCGAGTAATTCACAGAGCAGACCACAAAATAGAGATCATCCTTGATAACCTAACAAACCCAGTACCAGATATTATCTTCCTTGGAGACTTCAATCTACCCAGTTTAAAATGAAGAATAGTAAACAAACATACATTAGTTATACATTATAACAGGAAATCAACCTAGAAATAACCAACCACAGGTCAGAGAACTACTGAGATTCTGTGACAAATTCTCGCTCGTTCAGCAGATTACAGAACCAACTACGAATGAAAACACGCTGGACCTGATATTCACAAACAATGATGAGCTAATCAGAGACATTACAATCTCAGATACTACATACTCCAACCCGTCCTCAGGCCAAGTCCATTCCATCCAGCAGTCGACCCCAAAAATGCATTCATCAATTTGAACATGCTAGTCATTCAAAATAAAAATTTCTCAAATATAAATTAATATTGTTATATACTGGTATTAGCATACTGTGCATATTTAGGCATTGGTTAGGTTAGGTGTTTAGGTTCTGTTGGTGATTTTGTATTTGTAGTGCATGCATGAAGCATTTACAGCGTTGTGGTTCGAACAAAAATCGTCAGCGAAGCCCTTGTTCTGGAAGTGTTCGGACATCATCAGTTGTGAGTCATGTGTAAACTGTTTTTCAGTCATAAACAAGGGGTGTGGTGGGTGCATGGAATGGACTTTGGTCTTAGTTTATGAGGACAGGTTGCATTCTCATACCACACATATATATATATATATACACACACACATTATATAAAAGTATCTACATGTTCTATTCACCATAACTGTACAACTAATCTGGTATGATGTCCAAACAGTATAGTGGCCACTGCATGACAAGTCACACAGCAGGTAGCAGACAACAGCCTCACCCACTCCTTCGCCAAAATGGTTCCTCCTAACAAACTCCTTTTGCTGTTGTTACACTATACATATGTTATATATAAGTATATTTGTGTTCACCATAGTGAACCACTAAGCTGGTATCATGATTCCAGACAACACTATCTCCATTCCTCCCTCGCCAACAATACTCCTCCTCCCACATCGCTGATTCTCACCACAATCCTGCTATTATCAGAATCCTGGTCACTAAATTATGTAAACGAATAATTTTCCACATGTTTATTTTGTAATGGAACATAAGTTGTTTGAAGACTTTTAGATGGACGAAATAATGGCAGTGTGCTGTGGCTAACACTATGAACATCTTGAACAACATTTATTCACTAATATCTGAACATTGTACACAGTCTTTATCACAGTCAGGCTCTCCTGTAATACTATCATGGCTAAATAATCAATAACATAAATATATATTTGGACATTTTTAGGCAATGCTGTGGTCAGCTGAATAGCAATGCTGTTAGCTCATGCTGCATGTGCCAGCCTTGGTGGTTCACTCAGTACTGAGACCTTCACACCTGGGAATGTTGCCCAATTTTTTTTTTTTTTTTTAAATGGTGTCTGTTTAGGAAGGAAAACTTCTTTCCTGAGGAAGCTGATGTGAACCCCTTTGTAGCCGCAGGAGCAGGAGTTTTGAATGATGCACTATACCTATAAGATTCCTGAGGCACATTGTTCAGTGCAGTGGTTAAATCAACAGATGTAGCTCCTCTGCACAAGGGAGGTAGTAAATCTTTGGCAAAAAATTATAGACCACTTGCACTAACATCACACATAATAAGTGATACATCACTGTGTACCACAGATTCGCAGTGATGGTTTGATAAAGACCGTACCAGTGAAAAGAATTCAATAAAGATTACTTTATATTTAGTGCAATCCTACAATTAAGAAGTAATTAGAATGTTGGGCATTACACTGAGAAGGGTGTAGGATAACTACCACAAGGCCATAATGGGAAGAATTTGAGGCTTTTCGTACATTGTTTTTATTGACTAAAGATTGTCTTGAATATTCTTGTACTGTATTAGTAATATTTATATTGACTATTTTGGCAAAAAATATTTTTGTATATTAAACAACCAATGCAGAAAAGATGTTTTATTTTAGTTTTGAGTCTGGATACTGTACTTAGTGATATAGAGAAAGTTATTTTATATTAAATTTTATTTTATTTCAATTTTCAGAGTGTTCTATGAAGTGGCTAAAATCCCCATCCCAGAGAAGATAGTATTCTAAGGCTAGAATTATGGAAGGTGCAGACGATTTTCGTGTACAAATATTTATAGATGAATCAGTGATTACACTGCCAGGCTTTAAGCCATATTGTTGTGTCCTCATTACCTTGGGTGGTCCTGAACCATACAAGACATTTTAGTGATCATAAGTACAGATTTTATATTTTAAGTGTTCATTTTCACTCTGGCATGCTGTCCCAACTTTTAAGTTAAGCTATTAGATGATTAATCAAAAGATGCATATCATTTTAAAAACCGTTCCTTGTACAAATTCTTTGTACTGTTCTGTTTTATACACATTGTTGGCAACTTGAGTGAATATTGTAGATATACTGTACATATATCTTGTGTAGTTTAGGTATATTATAAGGAGATTTTAAAACAAATGCTCATTTTTTCCAATAATTTGTTCTTCACTGCTCCTGAATTAGATCTAAAATTTCTTTAGTGTATGACTATTTCCAAAGACTATAATCAATGTATTTTTTATGCATCAAGTTCATGGATTAAAAATGTAAAAAAAAAAGAAGTTTAATTCACCACTTCATACATTAAGGTGATACATACATACATCACTATGGTACAAGCAATAGTCATGTACAATAACTAACTGTGTGGTGTATGTAAAACTCACATTCACAAATAAGTGTAATGTCGTGATACCACACAGATAAACACGCATACACCGTCAGGTGTCTTTACCTATACCTGTGTCAGGTATGAGAAGGTGAAAACTGTTATTAATCCCTCAGGTCAACACATAGACAGACACAATAATAAAACAAGGTCTTGTACTTATAGGTAAGCTACCTCTCATTCACTCACTTGTGCACATTTATGCAAGAACTTGTAGGTGGCCTGACAGCTGGTTTCGCTCATGATGTGAGACCATTGACGACAGGCTTTCCCAACAAACCGTACTTGACACGGAGAGTACTCGCAGGAAGCGTGCTGTATGCCTAACAGACACACACACACACTCTTGATGGCACTGGAGGTGAGTAAGGTGATGTCACTTAATACAGTTCAATGAGGCAGGGCGGGTGGCGGCTACACGCTCTGGACCGAGCGGCGGCTGATTATATGGTTCCATGTGGTACACTGTGGTAAAGTCACACACAGACTACTTAAGCGGCGGCACTACTTTAGTTCACTCTAGGTCACTCAGACGATCTCAATTTTTCACCAGAGGTTACCTGATACTAGTCTGTTTCACTCTGGCAATTTGTCACTAGAAGGCTTCTAAACAATATGGTGACGATCGCGATTCCGGGCGAGCATTGGTATATTGAAAAGACGCCGAGTTTAATTTGACGGTGAGGAATGGACGGTGTTCTGTCTATTGGCCGAATAGACAAGGACACGACCACCATGTATGGACCTCCTCACGTTAATACCTTTGCAAGGGATTGCAAGGCTTCTGCAAGGGCGAGCATTGGTATATTGAAAAGACGCCGAGTTTAATTTGACGGTGAGGAATGGACGGTGTTCTGTCTATTGGCCGAATAGACAAGGACACGACCACCATGTACGGATCTCCTCACGTGAATACCGTTGCAAGGGATTGCAAGGCTCCTCGTGGTAGCACAAACACTAGGTCTACAATTGACCAATGGCGTTGCAGCCAAGGTGCTGGAACCAATGATATTGATCGTTACATGATCGGTAGCAGAGGTGACATCATGAACACGTCACGACCATGTCACAGTTGTTATTGAGATTAACCCCAGAGGTCAGAGTTTATCTCTCGCCTCGCGGGAGCCTCTCACGCTTGGCACCTCCAGCTATGTACTCATTGACCCTATGGCAAGTATGCTTAATTTCCCTGTATCTAATTTATCCTTGGGCATACGGCAGCCTCCGTATTATATAAGTATTCCTGGTTATGTGGGCATCCTGGGGACACCCTGCATAATAGTTTACATTTTTAGAGTTAACAGAGATAGGGCCCCCTGTGCACGACTAGGTGCACTGCCATGAGCCATTCAAGTCAGCTGTGGGAGAACCTTGAGAGACCATACTTTCACATGGGTCAACCGGTCTACAGCGGATACAGTCTACCGAAGTACTGTAATACTATACTTTTCAGGCAGGCCAGGTATGTAGCCTAGGCAGTGATTGGGTAGAGATAAGGAAAGACCCCGGATTGGTTATAGATCTCTGGAAAAGGAGAGGTGCCTGGCACCTTATAGGTCACAATGCCAGACCTCAGACAAAGTTTGAAATGACTGGTTTAGACCTGGGCTTAGAGGGCCATAGAGGACTTGTGGGTGGATCCAGGAGTCCACCTCAGTAGAGACCAAAGGATTTTTTGTTACTGTGTACTGGGAGTGAGTGTTGGGATAAGTGAATTAGGGTGATCCACCAAACCCCAGTGAGAGAGCCGTCAACATCATTGGCTGGAAATTAAAGAGTAACAAAGTAATGTGCTATTGTAGTTGTGCATACAGTAATTATCACCATTGCCTCGTTAGGATTTAATTACGGTTAGGATATAAAAAGTGTCTCTTAGTAAATAGTCATATTAACGTATTTTGGTGTTTAGCTAATTCCCTTTTTATTTAATTCTGAGTCATTATATTTCTTATTTACATCCTGTATTGGAAGTTCCCTCCATTAAATGGTAATTAAAACATGTCCCCTGATTCTCAGTAGGAAAGTAAAGTTCCTATAAATTATCCCGAGTGTTAATTTCCAAGGTTCCTACGTCCTTTGAGATCATAATTATTGATTGTCCCGCCCAGGGAGATCAATAAAGGCAGTCACTTCAATCAACAGACAGGGAGGTGGTGGCAGTGAATAGAGGTGTTTTATTAATATTAGTCATAACACCAGTTGTATGTATTGTATTTTCCCCCATTTAATATTTCAGTTTAACATCGAGCTGGTGAGTTTAGTAAGGGGTCAAAGTGAGCTTGGCAAGCTGTGTTAAGCTGGGATTTTTAATTGGGAAAGTGGAGTTACAATCTGGAGGTGTTACATTCAATGTAACTTGACTTGTCTTGTGTTTGATTAAATAGTTTTGTGATAAATAATATAATGCACTGCATGCCTTAAGAATACCTTTATAGGGCTTGTGCACTCTGATTCTGCTCACAGAAATGTAAACCCAGCACAATAATTATATTTGTTAGGCATGTACTAACAAAATCGGAACTATATTTACCTTTTTTCCAGATTTACGGTAGCTCTCTTCTGTAGTGTAATGTAGAACACAATAGTTAGTGGATAACATGAGTTTCCTGCAGCAGCTTTCAGTAACCATGGTGATATCTAGTCTGGTCCTACTGCTTTTGTTACATCCAGTTCCTCCAGTGTCATTTTGCCTCTTTTTTTTTTTTTTTTTTTTTTTAACTTCAATACCGTGTAGCGTTGTTTTTGGTCATCTGTTGTCACATCTCATTGGGCACCAATCTGGTTCTGGTTTGTAGACCTTGAACTTGTTGAATTTTTCATGCATTTTTTTTGTCTTTCTTCAAGTGTGTTTCCCCTGCTCTCGCAGTCTGATCATAGGTTTTTATACCATTATTTTGCTCAGTACAATGGAACTTTGATTCAACAAATCTCAACGAATCTCTGGTTGGAAGAAACGTTTTACATGCCAGATTTACTCGCCAAATTCAATGAACAAGAGTTCACTGAAGCAGAGGGATATGTGGATCTCCTAATGATGTTGCGACCAAGTTCACAGTTGGAGACAACATTAAAAGAAATAGTTGAGCCTTGGGAAAGCCATTGAAAATACAGTACAGTATTTAAAACCAAATTCTATGGTTTGTTTTCATTTTGAGATGGCAAAGTTTTTGTTCATTCTGGTGGTAATTGTAACCCGTGATAAAATAGGCACTAACACAGGAACTAACTTGGAACGCAATTACACAATGAACTTTATTTCATTTTAGTTATATAAAATATATCTTACCTGAATGTTACTTGGAATATTACCGACACTTCAACAACTTAAGAAATACCAGAGCCCCGGAAATAACGACCTGGGTACAGCCCCATATAGGCCGTTAAATCAAGTGGGTACTATAATAATAAGCCCTTTATCATATTTGTAACACGGTTTTTCTGTGTAATTGAACACCCATAACACAGTGTTTACTGGCTCCTAGTAATACCTCATATTTTAAGTTCTCTACATCATCCTCATTTTGGGTAAGCATCAGGTCTAAGGTAACTGGTAGGTCACCTCCTTGATATGCTGCCACAGAAAGTGTTTTATTTGTAGTGTCCATAAATCTTACTCTCCATTTTTTAACTTCATTGTAAGACTCCTTTGTTGATCAGTCTTATTTCCCTGTGGGTTAAAATCCCAAGTATTACAATCTTTGTTTTGGCTATCTTTGTCATTTGGGCCTCTTTTTCTATTATCTTCAAGCATGCTTTGTTGCATTTATCATATTTCTCCCTTGACCTTCCTGTAGTTAATGGAGGGATGTAAATAACACCTATTTCCATGGTCCTCACTGTTGTCATACATAGTATAAAGTCCTGCTGATTAGATACCTCCAGAATCTCTCCTCAAAGGATCAGTGTTGTATCAGTAGGGCTAATCTACCTGTTTATCCTTTCTTTTCTTTTCTTACTACCTAGTAAGAATATTGCAATTTCTTACTACCTAGTCTTAGGAAAATTGCATTATTTATTATGTTCTTTTGTTTTCTCTCTGTATCTGCGATGCTATGAGGATAGTTTTGCCACCCATTCTTGCAATTCTTCCCCTTTATTTGAATGCTGTCTGCTTTTGTGTACCAAATTATACTGCTCATTTCAAATGGTTGCTTAGTTTTTTACCTGGGGTAAATTCTCCCTTTGGCCTAGTCCTATTCTGTAGGTTGGTAAGTGCGATGCAATAATGCCCATAAATACTATAGCTACTTGATGACCCAACCACACATCAGAAGATAAAGAAACAACAACATTTCTTCATCTTTTGATGTGTGGTTTGGTCATCATATCTTCAGGCACGTTATTGTGGCTCATCGTCGATTGTAGCTACTTGAAATATTTGGTTTTATAACGACAATAACAAATGCAGCTCTATACTATCAGATTGTCTGTGGAAAGGATATGAAACATGGTCTGAGCTCAACATAAATATCCACCCCTAAACATACCAACTGAATATTTTTAAGAATATAATAAACTTAAAAACAGCTTTTATAGGCAATATAAATGGACGAGGGTGGGGGGAATATTTATTACACCGTAAATTCCCACAAACACAGTAAATGGTCATAAAAAGATGCAGAAGCAATAACATTTCTTAAATCTGTAGATTCTGCCCACCAATCCACTCCATAAGCCAAGCTTTCATGCTCTTTGAAGGAAGCAAATATTTGCATGTCAGAGACAGAATTATTTATGACATGGTAGCCATTATGCATACAAGCAGCCAGTAACAAGGGTCTCCCATGTGGTTCCCATTTCAGACGCCATATCCCACCACCAAGGGATACTGATGAGACTGGAGTCTTCAACTTTCTGGTATCCCACAAATGTACAATTTCATCATAACTACCACTTGCTAAAACATACTCAGATTTTACACTGCTATGAATACTTGTCACCCCTGCATTATGTGCATTACTAGTGGATACGGGACTGGCTGGATTAACTCTAACATCAAATCTCCGAAACTTACAATCATCGCCCCCTGTGTAAATTGTACAGGGATTCCAGTAATCAAAAGCAGTTATCCATGCTTCAAATTCATGAGCTAGAAACCTTTGAATGAGTATTAATTTCTCATTACAAAGCTGAAACAGACTTATCTTTCCTTTTGAATCACTAACTGCTATTGATGGAGTTTCACTAAGAATTTTTCTAGTTGACCAATCTAGTGACAGAGCAAGAGTGTCTTCCTCATTTATCTTGTATTTAATCCAAAAGCTTAACTTCACTGTTCCATCTGTAACTGTTTCTAATTTAAACAGAAGTAACTCACCTAGAGCATTTACAATGGCAAGTATTGGATCACCATGTATCTTGTGATGACACCATTTCATATCCAGAATAGCAGGCATGTCAACCTGCTGAACTAACAATAAATCTTTGTCTTCTGTCATCTGCTTTAGATAAAGGCGACCAAGTCTTTTCTTAGGAACATCACTGGAATTTAATTTTGATTCCACTCTATCAGACGGATTACCATGATCACATACCTCTAATATTTTTTCTGGATCTGCCAATTGATAAGTACCCACTGCTAGGTAGTCTTCATATGGACTCACAGGACAAAATTCAGTCGAATCAGCACTGTATTGAGTGTCCCACGAAAACAGTTTTCTTACTTCACAAACCATGGCTCTGAAAAATTAAAGCAAGCATTAGTTCTCCCAGTTAAATTTCAGTTAGTTTTTGCATGAAAAGTGCAGACAGCTTTCAAAAGATTAATCCTGGGTTTGATTTCCAAGCAGGGCAAGATGTTTGGGCATCTATTGTACTAGGTTACAGGTACTGCACCCAGCAGCCTAGTAGTTACTGAGTATCTGCAAGTTAGTCTATTATAGTAGGTTGTATCATGGGAAAGGTCAGTAGTTAATTAGAGAGGGGAGGGGTCTTTTGATAAGTCTAACAGGCTTCCTGTGCTCTGACAATGGGAAAACTACAGAACTTAAAAATTGACCTCAATTGACCTCAAAACGTGTGTTTTGAGTTTTAACTAATGGATAATGGTCAGTTCTCTTCATTATTACATTTCATAAATGAATAAGATTAATGAACATTATATGGTTAGGCAAGGTTTATTGCTTTAGAATGAGAAAATTACATTATATAATATAAATAAATCTCACAATCCAACTCGTCTAGTCATCATTCACTAACCACTGAACGTGCTAATAATAGCCCACAATTCTACAAATAAACTACAAACATTTTATTTTTACTGCTACAGATTGCATTAGCTGCAGATTACAATATAAATAAGTTTTATGTTTTATGCCATTTAATTGTACTGTATTTATGTTTTGCATTAATATTGTTCTGGTAGCTTTTAGCTATACTGTACAGGAGTGTACTCGCATGGAGTAATGGTAACACACTTGCCCTGCACCATGTGAGTGACTGAGTTTGGGTTCAAGTTCTGGCCAAAGAGTTGACTGGCACTAATCTCTAACTGTTTGCGTCTGTTCATCCAGCAGTAATTGGGTATCTCATTGTAAACTAATTGATGGGTCGTGTTTCCTGGAAAACTAGTAGGATAAGGCTCAACATAATAAAGTATGATGACTAAATCACACACCATAAGATGAGGAAACGACAACGTTTTGGTCCATCCCGGACCATTATCAAGTTGACTGTTAAGATAATGGCTGAGGACGGACCGAAATATTGTCATCTCATCTTCTGGTGTGTGGTTTGGTTATCTCATCTTCAGCCACGTTATTGTAACTCATCGTCTGCTTAACATGATATATGGTAATGGAAAGCTCTAAGTCTGTTAACAGGAGTCAGACATCATCTGCTCCTATACCCACCTGTATTAAAAAAAAAAAAGAATAATAGCATATTGGTGGGTGGTATATTATCCATAAACTCTGTATAGTAGACTGATTCCACAAATATCTTCAGAGCCTATATCTATCACTGAAGATTGCAGTGATCTTCCAACACAATCTGACTTGGGGGGGGGGGGCTAGTCTCCCACCCCATTATTCTGAGGAGAAATGTAGTGAGAATTAACCATAAAAAAGTGGAATTAGACTTAGCTGCCCTGCAACCTCATCCACCATGGAGCCCAACAAGGGAAGGCACAAGCACATGGGTAAGCATGTGCTTTATAATATAAACTTTAACTTTATAAACCCTTCATATTTTCTGGAACTTTATAATCCCTTCATATTTTTTTTTTTTTTTTTTTTTTTTTTTTTTGAGATATATACAAGAGTTGTTACATTCTTGTACAGCCACTAGTACGCGTAGCGTTTCGGGCAGGTCCCTGGAATACGATCCCCTGCCGCGAAGAATCGTTTTTTCATCCAAGTACACATTTTACTGTTGCGTTAAACAGAGGCTACAGTTAAGGAATTGCGCCCAGTAAATCCTCCCCGGCCAGGATACGAACCCATGACATAGAGAGTACTCAGTACTTGACTTGTTTGAAATATAGTTTAGATCTGCTGACATATGTGGGGCCAAGTTTGTTAAATGTATTTTTCCTTGATAATTGCTTTAGTTGTAATGACATCTTGTTGTGCCTCATCCTTGTTGATATTTTACAAGATTGATTTACAAGATTGTTAGATTACAAGATTATTTTAGTATCCTCACAAACCCCATGTACCTTCTTGTATATAAATAAATAATTAAATAAATATGACTACCTTAAGCCTTAAATATGACTACCCTTAAATATGGCTACCTTAAGAGAGCCGGTCGGCCGAGCGGACAGCACGTGGGACTTGTGATCCTGTGGTCCTGGGTTCGATCCCAGGCACCGGCGAGAAACAATGGGCAGATTTTCTTTCACCCTATGCCCCTGTTACCTAGCAGTAAAATAGGTACCTGGGTGTTAGTCAGCTGTCACGGGCTGCTTCCTGGGGGGTGGAGGCCTGGTCGAGGACCGGGCCGCGGGGACACTAACAGCCCCGAAATCATCTCAAGATAGGAAGATAACCTTATTCATCTTTTATAAGACCCTTAATATTCTTTTTTTTTAACAACTTACTTCTTTTCTACCAAGTGAAGTTCTTGGAAGGACTCTGATGGCCACACCTTATGCTATTGCGGTTTTGGGGCTTTAGTGGTTAAATAACCATATACAGTATATGCCTTTCTTCCAGTACATAAACAGGGATAAGCCTTGGTGGAGCAGGAGCCAGACAACTACCCAGGTGCCGAGTGCTCTCCTCTGGAACCGCGCAGTTTGTATAGATTCTCTCCCATTCCACGACTGCAAGAGAAGGGTTAAATTATGGAGCCCCGCCACCAGAAGAGAAACTTCCAATGGGGTAAGTTAGTCTTGAATGCTATCATACGTTGTGTAGTAAGTAATGTTGCAACTATTTACATTCAAAATATTGTTGTTGTTGTTCTGAAAATATTCTTCTTCTTCTTCTTCGCGATACGTGCAGTTTGCATGAAGGATGAAAAATATTTCTTATCTGCGACACGACCAGTTTCTTCTTCTTGCTGATAGTAGGTGCAGTTTGCATGAAGGGTTTGTCCTCCCGATGACTGCACCAGTACTGATGTTGTTGGACGCGTTTATGTTGAAGATGATCGGAGCTACCAAGGTGCTTGTTGCTTTGTGCTGTAGATAGAGGAACGGTGATTAAAACAGAGGTGTGTGTTAGAGGGAGACTTGCCGCACCGTAGGGCGGTGTGTTGTGTTTATGGCGTCAGCTGATCCTTGGTGTTGCGACGAGGTAGTTGTTTTCTGTGTTTAGCTGTTGGTGGCGCCAGGTATAAATGTGGCGCGGGTCAGATGTGACCCAATTTGTTGGTCGATTGGAGATATTTAAACAGTGCTTTGACTAATTGGTATTTTTCTTGTGACGAGTGGTCACCGCCTCCTAATATATGCTCGATGGTGAAGGGTATTTTAAGTGCGATAAAGACTTGTTTAAAATTTACTCTGGCACTATAATGTCCAGTTTGCCATTGTTGTTGTTTACATTTTGTATTGGGACGCGAGGGTTCGCAGAGAGGAAATTTCGAAGCGTTCGTCGAGCTATGATCCGACTCCGGAGCAGTTTTTCACTTCTAATTTATTTGTTTATATACTTTCTGATTTCTGGTAGCAGATCATTTTGAATTAAAAATTTACACATCTCTGGAACAGTTGTTATAGATCTGTCTCTGAATTCGCGTATCTTTTCGCACTCCATCACATAGTGACGGAGGGTGTGCGAATAATTTTGTTGACACAGTTTACATTTGGTCAGGGGCCCGGCAGATAATGAGAATTTCTAGAGATACTTGTAATCGAGTCTAAGTCAAGCAGGAGTATTTTCTAAAAGTCTGCTGATTTTACTGGATGATCCATAGATGTGTGGCTCCTCTTGCATGATAGCATGATGATGGAAGGAATTACTTGTGTCGATTTCACTTTGCCTCAGATCTACAAGATTTTGTTGAAGTTCTTGGTGTATTATTGCTCTCAGACTGCTTATTGACAATCCAAAGTTATACTCAATTTCTCCTTTAAAGGCAGATTCTTTGGCTAACTCATCAGCTCTATCATGCATTCGGAGGTCAACATGACATGAAGTCCACATGAAATGAACTCTATTACCATCGTTAATAATTTGTTGTATTTGTGTTTAGCTTCAGACACGAGCATGTTACAGTGATGTATTCATTAACCACCAGTTCCCCCAATGATTGATTGATTGATAAAGATTAAGCCACTCAAGAGTTCAAGTTTAAGTTCAAGTATGTTTGTAAATATTTCATTCAAAATTATCTGCTACCAGAAATTTTAGCCAAATATCCCCAGTTTGCTAACTGTAGGTAGTAACTAAGTGATTGTAATCTATCCACCGCTGCCCACTGGATGGGGGGCGGTGTGCAGGACAAACATATAAATTATAACACTAGGCTCTCCACATATGTCAGTTGCTTAATTTAGAAACTGTACTTGTGGTCGATCTCGAACCCATTGTTGATGTGACGACTTATATTGAATTTTGTAACTAGCTCATCAAGATTGTAACTTGCTTAGCTAAATGAACTGTGGGGTTCAGTCCCTGAGCCCATTATGTGCCTCTGTAACCCTTTCCACTACCGCCCACAAGATGGGTATGGGGTGCATAATAAATGAACTAAACTAAACTAACTAACTATTGAGACAAGAAAAAGTACAAAATTTTTTTTAGTAAATCTATAGTGTGATGCAGTCCCAAATTAAAGTTCCAGTATGTTTATTGAGACAATCTGCAGTCCCATGTGAGTACATAGGATAGCATCTGAGAGATACCCAAATGTGGGGTAACTCCAATCATATATGCCGATATTTTGTTTCAGGGCAAAGCTATTTCAAAGGTTCAAAAGTTGTTGGATAATTTCGGAAATCTAGTCATCAAATGGGACTGGTGGTTAATGAAGATAAAACTAAGTTTGAATGTGGAAGTAGGAGGCCTATTATATTGAAAATAAACGGTAAAAATATAGTTATTATATATCAATATTTAGGCACATATGTTGGATATACCCATGAGAGTTTGGAAGCTGAGTTGAACAGACTGTTGGGTCAATGTCGGAAGATATTACAACCTCTGAAGGCCTTGGCATGCTGTGGAAAGGGAGTGGGAGTCCCTGTGCTACGAATGATATACTTGATTACTGTAAGATCTCTTATTGATTATGCTGCACCTGTCATTTCTTGTTTTGGTAAAGGTAGGATGGGCAAGTTGGAGAAGGTACAAAATGAAACCATGAGAATAATCTTAGGATGCCCAAGAAATGCTGTGATTGAGATAATGAGGATGGAGTTGAATCTGAAGAGTATTGGGGATAGAATTTCAGAGATACTTAGCCCTCTCCTCTTTCACATCTACATTAATGACCTTCTAAATGCCTCCCAACACCTCAAGCCAATTCTATTTGCTGACGACACAACCTTCATTTACTCCAGTCCTGACCCCCTTGCTCTAAATGTCGCAATGAATACTGAGCTAAATAAAGTCCATCTTTGGCTAACTGCCAACAAACTCACCCTCAACATTGACAAAACTTACAATATTTTGTTTAGCAATAAATCCTCAAATCAAATAAATCTCATGATACCTGAGGTATTTGGGTATTGATAAACAATACCCAAATTTGTAACAAAATAGATGGCAAATTCTTTGGCGTTCTCATTGACCACAAACTGAATTTCCAGGGACACATTCTAAATATATCAAAAAAGTTTCAAAAACTGTTGGCATTCTTTCTAAGATCAGATATTATGTACCCCGCTATGCCCTGGTGACGCTCTATTACTCCCTCATCTATCCTTATCTCAACTATGGTATTTGTGCTTGGGGTTCTACTACCCAAAATCATTTACGTCCTCTAATTACTCAACACAAAGCTGCTATTAGGACAATATCCAACTCTGGCCCCAGACATCACTCGGTACCCCTACTCAAATCTCTGAATATGTTAGATATTAAGTCACTGCACATCCTCTCATGTGTATTATATATATATATATATATATATATATATATATATATATATATATATATATATATATATATATATATATATATATATATATATATATATATATATATATATATATATATATAAAACGCTGAACTGTAATGTCAATCCTGACCTTAAAAGCTTCAATGAAGGTTGTAACAAAACCCATGAACAACATCCCAGAAACATATACCGTTATGATATTCCAAGAGTACTACTTAATCAAACTAGAAATGCTCTACAAATCAAGGGATCCAGAATGTGGAATGGCCTTCCCAATCATGTTAAAGACTGTACCTCTCTAAACCTGTTTAAGATAAAAACTAAGCACTACCTAATAAATTCCCTGTAACCTACCTTACCCCTACATTGTCAACCCATATCTGCTATTTTTAAACAATGCTGTGTGTTGACCAAATTGTATATTTGCTGTTTTTCTGCCATTTTCCCTCCTTTTTTATTTGTATATTTTCTCAACACATTTTATACTTTAATCTCAATTAGTATTAAGTTTTAGTCTTTAGTGTTTTTCCTGCCCGAAACGCTTTACGTAATAGTGGCTTTAGGCATTGTATGTACTAGCTCTATCTATAAATCCATCAATATTTGTATCACACCTTGTATGTATGTACTTTACCTGAATAAACATTTGAATTTTGAATATTGAATTTGAGATAAATGCATCCTCTGCCATTAGATTAATGAGAGGTGGGAGAGCTAATGAATTTATCTTCTCAGTTCAAAAAGTGGGAAGTAATGAACAATGTATGATAAAGTATAATAAGAGAACATATATGAGTACCTTATGTTCTAATGTTATAAAGTATGATGTTATTACAGAGTGTATTGCTGTGCCTAAGAGACAATTCACACCACCATGGGAGGATTGTAACTTAGATGTAGTAATTATTCCCTTGAAAAAGAAAAAGTATGCATGAGATAGGAGAGCTGAGGGCAACATATGATTGTATGGTTAGAAAATGACCTACAGAAAATACTCTACATGTATGCAGACACTCTACAAACACTATATGTATATTGTGATGGGTCAGTAGCTAGGTATGGAAAGGCAGGATGTGGAGTCTTGATTAGGGAGTACACTGACATCGTTTAGTTTAGTTCATTTATTATGCACCCCATACCCATCTTGTGGGCGGTAGTGGAAAGGGTTACAGAGGCACATAACCTGACCACTGACATCGGCACTGTAGATACTGTTATTGGACGCAGCTTAACTGACAATGTCTCTTCAACGCAGGCTGAACTCCAAGGTGTATCAGCAGGATTACAGGAAGTAGTCAATATGGTAAAAATGCCTGTTTCTTTATTGACAGCAGAAGAGCGTTAGCAGACGCTCCTCTATAACAGCATTCGATAGCAGACGACCAGTTTACCAGAATATTGTGATGGAGTGTAGAGAGAATGTTAAGAAATTAGAGAAAAACTGGGTATAAAGTAAGATTCATGTGAATCTCTTCACATGTGGGAATACTGTTGAATGAGGCAGTTGATGAGATAACGAAGAGAGCCACGAAAAAAACTCTTGTCGATGTTGTATGTCAGATAACTTTGAAACAATTAAAAACAAGACTCAAGATGCTCCAAGAGGATGAAGAAAATGTTAAGAGAATGGTAATAGTCGACAGCAGTGACACACTTGAGAATTATGCAATAATAAATACAAATTCGTCCTTCACTTATGGTAGAGGAAAGTGTACTTGAAAGGATTCAATTTACATGAGATTAAGAGAAGGATACAAATATATCTGGCAATACGGTGATGATGTGCGGGGGGGCGGGGAAGAAATAGGCTTAGCTACTCTATCCCTTTGAGATGTATTTTCTTGTCTCAATAAATATACTTGATCTTGACCATGGTGACCGTACCTATCGGCCACCACCTCGCCGTAAATACACCTATTTTTGGTGTGAATTGGGGCAGCAAGGTAGAGGGCCACAGCAATTCGGAGGGCGTGTGGTGTGAGACGCGTGCCAGTTGCCAACATTGGGGTTGCTAACAGGAAGTCCCCTGTATGTGGGGCTGCTACTGCTGTGAGGCGAGCAATGTCGTGTTGTGTTGTTGCAGCACCCAGGCACTCTGCAGCAACTTGGTCTACAATGGGGTCATCCCAACTGGACTGCTTGTGGGCTTTTGATGGTGGTGGTTGAAGTGATTGGTCTGCATGAGAGGCCTACTCGGTGGCACAGCATGTAAAATTGGGATCGTGTACGCCTGCCAGCTGACCTAAGTAGGCAGGTAGAATTTCCTTCACAAGGTTGTCGGATGCTGAGGAGGAGGACAGGAAGGCTGGTACAATTATTTGTGTTGCTGTTCGATCTCCAAGGCCACCAAGTCTTACGGGAAGAGAAGCTTGTTTCCACTGTAGGTCATCAAGATATATCATATATATATATATATATATATATATATATATATATATATATATATATATATATATATATATATATATATATATATATATATATATATATATATATATATATATATATATACTACACTTGCGTTTCAACTTTAGCCAATACCTATGTTGACTTCAGTGCTACACAAGCAGGAGGAGCTGCCAATCACTGGGAAGCGGCCAAGTCACGTAAATACAGAGACCTTGAGCACCACTACAATTTTGTCCCCATTGCCTCGGAGACACTTGGTGCCTGGGGTAAAAGTGCTGAGAGCTTTTTGAAGGAGTTGTGGGTCTAAGCTAATCGAAACAACTAGAGACCCTAAAGCTGCCAGTTTTCTTTTTCAGCGCCTTAGTGTGGCAATCCAGAGAGGAAATGCTCACTGCATCCATGGTTCCTGCCCGCCATCTGAGGAGCTGGAGGAGCTGTTCAACGTGTAACAAGCAGCCTTGTACCCTGCATGCAATCAATATTGTAACTTTTTTGTGTAATGACATTTTCAAATAAAGTTAGATAAATATACACACATACCAAAAGAATAGGGGTGGTAGGAGAAAAAAATATCAAAGTGTTCAGTGAGGATCCACAAGGTCTTCTCTGAGTACTCTTTATTTTCTTCTCCGAGGCTATGGGTCCCTACACTTGCACCAGAGGTGGTACCCCTTCTAGGTTTTTAAATAATATATATATATATATATATATATATATATATATATATATATATATATATATATATATATATATATATATATATAAAATAACACGTATAAGAATGTGACAATGTCAGATATAGGAAAATAAAAAATTTCCTTATTTTTCGTATATATATCTTCAGATCCCCACCTTCTGAAGATATATATATACGAAAGTATATCCTGTTTATTTATCCTCCGTGGTCTGATATATATATATATATATATATATATATATATATATATATATATATATATATATATATATATATATATATATGAAAAAAAGAGTACCACCTATGGCTGGAAGAAGGGGACCCTTAGCCTCGGAGAAAACCACACATAACGCATTAGAGGGAATGTTTAGGTCCCCTCCAATACAGTTTCTGTGTGCTTTTCTCCTACCACCCCCTTACTTTGATTTTTTTTGCTTTATTATATGTTTAATGGTTAAAAGATAAACATTGATTGATACAAAGAGTGCTTAATTAAAGGTTATGGATCTCTGGAAGCCCCTCCGGTTCAGGACGGGAACCTAGGATGCAGCAGGCGTTTCCCCTCTGGATCGCCACACTGAGGCGCTGAAACAAAATAACTGGCAGCTCTTGGGTCCCTGGTAACGTCAATGAGCGTGGAGCCCAATTCCTCGAGAAATCCCAAGGCACTCTTGCCCCAGGGGCCATGCGTCTCAAACGCTATGGGAACAAAGATGTATTGACCTTCCAATCCCTTGTATTTGACTGATTTTGCTATTTCCCTGTGGTTGGCCGCCCCACCTGCTTGATCAGCACCGAAGTGTACACAGGTGTCAGCCAAGGTGGATACTTCCCTCCTACCACAAGGGGAGGATGAAGATGGAGTAGGAGGAGGAGGAGGGTAATGCTTGAAGGGACCGCGAAGGCTCAGAGGTGGAGGAAGGAGGGGAGCAATAAGGAGTGGAGGATAGACTACAAGCTCCGAGTGGGAGGTGACCTTGAGGGTATATGGTCTCCTAACACAAAGAGCAAGACCAAACACCTGTTAGAGGGAAGAGGGATCCGATTTGGCCTTGCAGCTATTATCAAGTTGCACTTCCCGGCTCTCAAAAGGGCGTCGCGGAATTTATATAGTTTGTATATAATCCGAGGTAGAGTGACGTCCTGCACTCAGATCTCCGCTGGACGACTTTAGTAGTGGAGTAAATTTACTGAATGAAGGATTTAGGGCAGAATATACTTTAAGAAAGTAAGCGTGTTTGCATCATTTTTTTAAATAAAAGTTAACACTTTATTCATTTCAATTTTCCAGCGTTTAGTAATGCCATTTTCAACAAATCGAACAGGGTGCGAAGGCGAAGAAGAGTTTAATGTTAGTTTGTACAGCGTTGTGAATAGGAGTAAAGTCTATAAGTAAAACAGCCAGGTATGCCTGGTGATGCTCTTTTGTCGTTTGAAGCCGCTCGGGGCGTCCGCCTCTGGATGTCTTGTCATCTATACACGATTCTCCAGTAGTCGCCATTGTGCCGCCAACGTGAGAGAAGGTGGAGCTGGAGGTAACTCAAGACGACATTATTTCTCACTCTTCACAGAGAAGCCAACTGGGTGTTGTTGAGACGGTGGTGGTGAGGTGGGAGGCGTGGGGAGTGGGTGCTGGGGGCAGGACGCTCCCGCCCAGTGAGAGACGCGGGTCGGACACGCCTGTCTTGTCACAGTGCGAGGGTTGAGCCCTGTGTGTGTGTGTGTGTTGGGGGGTAATATTGTGGCCAGGAGCTCCAGCACTCACAGCCGCCCTCTAGGCCTAGGCAACTACCACAAGTCGTGTCTCCAGAATTGCTGCAGACATTGTAATCTGGTCGCGATTGAGGTAAAGTCGCTGTCATTGTCTTCCCCCGCAACATAAACAAGGCTTATAATAACGCTAATACTTAGGTTCAACCCATATTTCTCAACTATAACCATTATCATTGTTTTCTTGCTTGCTTAGCAGGTGTATAAAATGTTTCAAGATGAATAGGAGCTTTATTGGCGCTAAACTTAATTGATAATTATAAATTGTCGCCAAACTTTATGATTACTATATTGACCAGAAACTTTTATTTTAGCAATGGTTATTTTAGTTTTTTTTTTATTGTTGACGTTTTGTGTAGGTGGGAGTTGTGTGGTGAGGTTCTCTGAGAAACATGGGCATGGGCTGTATCATCTTGAGGTTATCTTGAGATGATTTCGAGGCTTTTTTTTTTTTTTTAGTGTCCCCGCGGCCCGGTCCTCGACCAGGCCTCCACCCCCAGGAAGCAGCCCGTGACAGCTGACTAACACCCAGGTACCTATTTTACTGCTAGGTAACAGGGGCATAGGGTGAAAGAAACTCTGCCCATTGTTTCATCATCGCTACTCTTTTAAAGTTAAACAAACCCCATCAAATCCAACCCTTCATAATCTAACAAAAGTAGTACAGTTCCATACAGTGTATATATAATAATGATGCGGTGTTGGATATTACCAACACCATAATTTGAATGGTGGTTGAGGTTTTGGATGGTGGTGGGGTGGTGGTGGTGGTTGAAATTGACATTGAAATAAGTTTATTGAGGTAAAATACACACAAAGAGATGAGGTAGCTCAAGCTATTCTCACCCCGTTAGGAATTTGGGATGGCACGGGGGGAGGGAAGGAATGGTGCCGAACCATTTGGACGGTCGGAGATTGAACTCATCAGAGAAGACATCCATTATTAGAAAAACAAGGTGCAAACCATATCCCTTACAATTGAGATCTATTTATTTATATACAAGAAGGTACATTGGTTGTGAGAGTACATAACACATATTAAGAGGTACAGTGTAGCAAAGTTTAAATTGACGTAGTGGGTGGTGAGCCTTCTCCATGTTGGATGACTGTGGCAAAGAAACGATTGCTCTTCTGTCGAATACTGCACCACCAGTAAGTCGCGAAATCCGTTTCCTTGCATATAGTATACGTATATCCGTGACTATTATGTAGTCTTGGTTTCCCACGCCTCGTTGGAATTATCTCCCAGGTAAGAGGGGCGTCTCGTGACAGAGTTGATGATATTAATTCGTCTTGGATGGACGTGTCCTGGACAACGACGACATGCTCTATCGGAAGGTCTACCATGAAGGATGCTTCGTACTTGTTACTTTTTCTCCTGCTAAATTTATCTCTGGATGTGTTGTCATCTTCATACAATGTAAGTGTAGAGCAATCAGGACAGCACCAGAGGAAATTTGTTTCCTCTAATTTTTATTAACGTAAACGATAGAAATTTTCACTAGAGACTCCAGTACCACATTGTCTATGCCTCCATTGTTTTAGCATATTGCACACAGCATTGCACGCCCTGACAATCTCACCTTGCAACATCCAGAACATAGACATTGTCCGTTAATATTGCCTTCCACATTTCCGTCTTTCACTTTATCTTCGTCTTCCACTTCATTTGTGTCTTCCACTTCAGCAGTGTAAAGTACACATTCATCATGCACAGCGTATGCCATTTTTCAATATTGTGGCACAAAATGTCACAGGAAAAACTTGTAATGTGTGACAAGCAAGATCAGTAGTATGTCTACACCGCCCAGGTCGACCAACAACTGAACCATGTGAGGTCAGCAGACACTGGCCAGGTTCATCAACAACTCCATCTGATTAGTATTATTTCACACATTACAAAGTGTATTTTTCAATCACGCTGCCAATTATTTAATTTAAGCCCACACTCTCAAGGAAACGTGTACATCACAAAACTTACATATACATACATATACCACCAAAAAAGTGTTTTGGTGGTATTCCAGGATGTTTGATGAAGTTATTTATTCCAAGAGTGATTTAATGTAAACTCTATACAGTACTGTGCACGCACTAGGTTAAATACCAGACAACTTGTGTGGTGGAAGGAAATTGGTTCTGTTAAGTGAAGTAATTCCTAACATTTAAAGATTTTCTTTGACCTGAATTTTTCTTGTAAAAAAATACTCTAGACTAGTGGTTTCCAACAGGTGGGCTGCAATCCCCATGGGGGGTCTCTTTGAGTATTAGAAAATAGAGTTTTCCTAAAAGGTTGGGAACCATAGCTCTTAGACAAATTAAAGTATTGTATTGTCATTCATACAAAATTTTATTGCCAAGCTGTTTAGTTATGGCCATATGAGAGGATATGTACTACTTGTATGTAGGAATTGTAGTCAAGTTAGCACATCAGGTTTAGATTCTCTGTTGTCCTCCTAACCTATTTGATCAGATGAAATCTAAAATGTTCTTTGATAATAATAATAGTTTATCAAGTACTGTATTATGTTTGCTCGACAGGTTGCAGTGGATGAATAAAAAGGATGTGGTCTGGTGCGCCACAGTGGGCCTCGTGGGCCCTGCAGCCTCAACACTACCAGAACATGAAGCCAGAGGAAGGTAATTACACCATCCCTCCCTCCCTCCTGTATGGACTGTTATAGTTTGCTTCATATATTTTTAGCGTCTATGTACTGTACTCAGGAAATCACAAAATATGGTTTTGGGAATATTACTAGACTGCTGGTACAGGTGGCCCTCATATTGTATCAAGGGTTATGGCCAAAAAAATTGCAATTTAAATGTAAAAAGTACAGGGTATGTGTTCCAGAGACCACCCAAAATTGAGAACTCTCAAATAATGAATATTCAAAACTATTTCCTTCTGTAGGCATGATGGCTTATACAACTTTGAGAGATATTGTAGTTGCTTAATGGTCTTTAAAGGAAGAGGGGGGGGGGGGTTAAAGTCACCAAGAGAGTTGGTTTGTACACCAGCTGCTCATTGGCAAGTGACTAATGGAAGTATTTTGTCAAGGGGGTTAAGATTGTCCTGGGTTATCATTCAATGTCAAGCTTGCAGGAGTGTGTGGTTCTTAACTTCAATTAATGAAGTTAAAAACAACTTGCACCTGGTAATACTTATAACAAAATGCAGGTACAGTGCAATCTTGATTCAGTGAATCTCATTTTGATGAATCTATGATTGTCATGCACACTTTCCAGACAGGATTTACTTGCCAGCTTCACTGAACAAGTGGTTGGAGATTTGGTGAAGCAGGAGACATACAGATTTGTTTAAGAAGCAGGATCAGTTCACAGACCTTGGAAAACTGTGTATCACACAATAATAAATTGAGATCAAAATTTTGGTCAGTACAGCCATCCTGGAGAGCTTAGGAAATGTTAGGGCTTAATTGGAAATGAATGGTAACTTAATATGGCACATTTTTAATTATTTTTGTAGATGGATGCAACATTAATAGAAAGAGATGGGGTCTTGGAAAACGCATTAAGCTTATTTAAAATAAAATACTTTGGTTCATTTTCAATTTGAGTGGCTGTCGTTTACGTTCACTTAACACTATATGTTAAATGTAAAGGTTTCAGATGATGAGTTTCCTTGAGAAATTTCTGCATCAGCTAACCCTTGATGGTGTTTCCAAGTTGTGTTGGGGCTTTAAATACAGTAAAATATGGGTTTAAAATACTGTGTAGGAAACATGCAAATCAAGAACAGTAGTTTAAATAATTCATGAAGTTTTAGTGACATACTTTAAAACTTAAATGAATATGGTAGTGCACTATAAAAATGTTGATTATACTGTACAGGTCAAATTTGGATTGTTATAGTATGGATATTTTTATGGTGCCTACCTACCTGTTGAAGATTTTGAGAATCGATGCCCCTATGGCCCTGTCTCTGACCTGGTCTAATCAACCAGGCTGATGTAGCTGCTCACAGCCTGACGTACAAGTTGCATCCTGTTTGATCAGGTAAAATATGGTAGTATGGTAAAATTATCTTACATTTTTTGTTGTTTGTAGAGTATTAATATTAATATTTGAATAACAGCATCTTCAGTGGACTGGGCTGCGCTAGCAAAACAATGGATCCAAATGAAGGAGACGGCTCCCCAGGAGCCTGTGCAGCCTCAACATCAACCTCCTCCTCCTCCCGTCGCCAACACACCCAGTGTGTCTGCAGACGATTCTACCACAGGTGGCGGAGAGATGGACATGGAAATAGAAGATGATAAAGGACCGTCTGCCAACTGCACTGAACAGCAAAATGGTATGTCTCCAATTTTGTTCACAACTTGTTAGCAATTTTGTAATTTTGGAACTTTTAAGATTTGTAAATAATTTTAATATTGTTAAGATTACTAAGAGACTAATGGTATGTAAGCCGGATGAACATTGTATGTAGCTAGTTGCTTTACTTCCAGCTTAAATTAATTATTATTTTTTCTGGGGGGAGCCCCTACGGCTCCTCGGAGCTTACTAGCTTACTAGGTGATATTCTAATGTCAGACTTTGGCATCAGTCATGTGCACTCACCTAGTTGTGTTTGCGGGGGTTGAGCTCTGGCTCTGTATGGAGTTCTGTGGGCCTACCGGGGACCATGAGCCAGAACCTGGCCCCCCTCAGAGAGGCATGGGGAGCAATGGCCTATAGAAACCCCCATGTGGTTGGAAGCATTCTATGCCTGCCATCAACCTGGTCAGGCACCCAGAAAGGTAAGCATCCCAGAACAAACCCCTATTCAGGTGAAAATTTTGCTACCAAAAGCCGAACAAGTGGATAGAACTCCCCTAAAAGAAACGAACAAACAAACAAGCATGACGTCATACATCGCCGCGCTGCTGTTTGTGCAGCTACCCCCTCCCCGGGAGAGGGAAAGGGGAGCCCCAGACCCCTGCATCGGCTATCCACCCTTCAGTGCCTTGGTGCCTCCCCATGCTTACCTTTCTAGGATGCTTACCTTTCTGGGTGCCTGACCAGGTTGATGGCAGGCATAGAATGCTTCCAACCACATGGGGGTTTCTATAGGCCATTGCTCCCCATGCCTCTCTGAGGGGGGCCAGGTTCTGGCTCATGGTCCCCGGTAGGCCCACAGAACTCCATATACATGATTGATGCCAAAGTCTGACATTAGCATATCAGCCGAGTAAGCTAGTAAGCTCTGGGGAGCCTCCGGGTCTCACCCAGAATATGACGTTTCATTACATTCAACGCTGGTTTTTTTCAATTACAGTACAATACTGGAAAATGGTGTACTGGTTCGGGGAAAGCAAGCCCATTGCTTATCAATCCTTTTTAAGGCTCTTCTTGTAGTCAGTTGTCCAGTTAATGGATAAGTGACCATGGCTGGCATTACTAACCATGCAATATTCTCTTCCTTTAGATTACCACACCAAATTTGATATGCAAAACTGTGTAAAAATTTGAACAAGTGATGTGGTCAATCATTTTAATTGTTTCTAATTTACCCTAATGTCTTGTAATAAATTATATTAAGATACAGTATTCTTGTACAGGTGGAAAGTGAAATGTTACACGAATGTTTGCTTATAATGTAAAATATTTCTTGCAGGAGAGGCATGGGGTGGCTGGAGTGCAGAATGGGCACCAACTCAGTCTGGCATGGGCTGGGGTTGGGGCTGGCCGGTAGACTCGTACTCTCAGAATGCATCTAGCAACCAAGATGTTGCTCGCCAGTATAGTGGAAAAGACGTAAGTTAGGCAGGATATACCATATGTGGCAATGACTTTTCAGCCACCCCAGGGCATGGCTGTGAAAGAGCACCCTGGATGCTGCTGCTTGTGTCCAGTACAGCACTCTAGGTGTTCGTTCTGCTCGTCTCGGTGATGAAAATGATCGCTGGTGATTTAAAAATTGGATTAAATTTTAGATGTGTAGGCTAATATGTAGAAGGTTGAAGCATATTGGTCAAGAAACGATTGAAATGGGGAATGATGAGTTAGAATATAAAAATTGGAAACATTAAATACTGTAATTTTTTTTTTTTTTTTTTTTTAAGTTGTGGGATGCATTTCATGAAAATGAAGTGTGGTTAAATATAGATAATATACTTATTCTTAAAAAGGGATTTAGGTTTTGTTTAGCTATTCATACCCATTTTGATCTGTTTTTGCACCAACAAAAATGGTAATTTAATTAATAAATTCAGAAATCATAGAGTAACAGGATTTTATTAAGATTATTATAGCAGAAGGGTTAAGTGTTCTACTGGATGGTTCCAAAATGTATTGCAATCATTTGAAGCAATGATGCATTAAAGGTGATCTTCCAACCTGGCCTTACAATTCATTACATCTACATCTTGGGAGTCATATGTACAAATGTATGCAGTAATATTAATTTGTTGACTTTTTTCTCTAATGAGAATCTTGGGTATATTAGGTTAATTGGTGCATTTTCAATATCTTTGGTAGACTAGTATGCATACGTATGTTTCTGTGAAAATGGGCCAACATGTAGCACCAAGAAATGGTTAGTTTGGATTAGTGGTTTGGCTAGGAGTATTTATTTTTTTTTTTTTTATTTTTTTTTTTGTTTTTATTTATTTTTTAGGTTAATTTGCTTCCATTCTATGCTATCAGGTAATGTGATAAGTGCTGCTACTTCCAATATTTGGTACCTTTTCTTTGTCCAGATAATATTAAAAGTGTAAAATTCTAAATATGGGGTTTGTTTTATTTTAAGAATAGCTGACCATTGCTATAGTGTAGTTTAGCAGTGAAGTTTGTCATGACACTAATGACCATCTTTCATATTTAGGATTGTCTATCTCTTTGAGAAAGTGGATGGGCATTAGCACTTTTCTCACTCATAACGTCTAGCTCATCCCAGATTCTTAGTATCTTTCACGTTCTTCTATTTGTATATTTTCTATATTTCATGTCTAAAATGTGAGGTTGATATTTTTTTATATAGTTGTCCTTGTTTGTAAATAATATAAAGGTTCGAATGGTATTAATAATTTACATAATCATTAAAACAGCATAGTTTGATCTTAGTTTTCTGTCATGTAATTTATTCATTGCCTTTATCAACTTCAACACACAAATAGTGAGTGACTTTTGACTGCTGTGGTATCATATCTTTTAACATTAAATGTTCTTATTATAGGGTGAATATGGATGGCCTATGATGGGAGGTGAGTCTGCCCAAGGTGACTATATAGGGAATGATGGAAGGGACAGGCGAGGGAGGGAGTTCCAGGTTGGTACTTTGGATCAGGACCGAGCAGCTGCTAAAGAGGCAGATTTCCAATTGGATGCTGCCCAGAGGAAAAAACTTCCTGCTTGGATCCGTGAAGGCCTCGAGAAAATGGAGAGGGAGAAGCAACGAAAGGTATGCAATGCTTAATGCGCTCCAGTTTTTAGAAAAGTGTAGGAAAAAAATAGATTGTTACGTCATATTTGGACGTGGCTTTTACTTGCTATTTGACGGCAAATACTGTTGTCTGCTTGCAACTTGAAAAGTTATATGTTAAGCTTGCAACTGATGTCACAGCAAGAGGCTTAGCATCCCAGTTGATCATCAATGATTTGTTTTATTGCACCAGTTGGTGCAGGCTTTAAGGCACTTAATTTAGTACCCCCTAGTATGGACACCAAATGATTTTTAGGAGAAGTTTGATCCTGGAGATCCAGTGCATGCCGTCTTGGAAAGTCATTGATGATGAGAGGTGGGGAGTCACCCAAGAATAGGTGATTCAGCCAGAGGGTTAAACCATCTTGGTTCTGTGGTGTCCAAAACAATGAAGATGACCGTCTCCATGTTTTAAAGCACAGAATAACTGAGACAAACTATATTCAATTTATTCTTCCCATTTATATATTGAAGGGAGTGTTATTATAATACAATTATTATTTGAGGTATTATTTCAGTAAGTGGCATAACTTGAATATGTATGTGCTTTACCCATTTTAAGGAAATATTCTTCGAATGTTCACCTAAAATTAGTCCGCCTTTATTCTTACACTTTAAAGAAAACCTCAAATGCAGAGTAGGGACTACAGTTTATATATTTTATCATTATGATATTGTCAGAAATGAGGGAGGATAAGTGTCTTTTATAGTGCTAACCATTGTTCTATTTTGGATGGAACACTGAAGTTGGCTCTGTGCATTAATCTGAATGCAACTAATTCAATAAATAGAATTAGCATATATTGCCATAAGTAATATATACCATATAATTTAAATAAAAATTTGAAATTCTTTGTATAATATTAACAAAGTTACTCACTGATTAGTGTTTTACTGTTGTTCAATGTTTTAATTTTTACCAAAGACTAGACTAAGGTACTATTTATTGGTGTGCACATTCCTAGCAATTCAAGAAACCATTATGGCCAAAAAATTTAAGAAGCTGAGGCCCCTGCTAAAAGTTTAGTGTACTCTAAAGTTGTTTGGTCTACTTTCTTCCTTTGTGCAGTGCATAAATTTTAACATTGTTTCAGTTGGAAAAAGACAGACAGATGTCTGAAAAGGAGGAGATGTTGAAACGAAAGAGAGAAGATGAAGCCAGAGCAAGACGCATCCTTGAAGAAGACCTTGCTAATGATGGCAAACCACGAATACCAAGGAAAAGCAAATTTGTAAGTTCTACTTTGGATTTTTATTTCTGTTTTATAGATTAAACTTTTCTTCAGAAAGATCGGATGTGTAGCTAGTGATGCTGGAAAGCTTGTGTGTTGTAGGTACTGCCTTTGGTGAAATGTCTATTAAAGCAACAATGCAAATTCCAGTAGACATAAAGCAGGACTTCAACTACATATAATGATAATTCATGCATACCAGCTTTAAAGTATATACAGTACACAAATTCACCGATAATATTAACACTGGCATGCCCGGCGGGGCACATGGTGAGGCCAAGACAGTAGTTTCAAAGGGTTATATGACAGTGCTGGGAAGACAGGACACCATGAGCGTAGCTCTCATCCTGTAACTACACTTAGGTAATTACACAAATTACACCAGAAGGTAGGCCGAGCCTTCACAGTGAGCACACAACCCAATGTTAAACTCTTTCACTCACTCTTTCACTTACTTAATAATAAGATTAAGCGAAAATTATTGGCTATCGATATTTGTCATCATTAACTCTGCAGGCGCATATATATATATATATATATATATATATATATATATATATATATATATCTGGGGTGTGAGTTTTCAGTTGCATATTGTCCTGGGGACCATTCAGGCTTGTTCGCATATATATATATATATATATATATATATATATATATATATATATATATATATATATATATATATATATATATATATATATATATATATATATATATATATATATATATATATATATATATATATTATATATATATATTAATATATATTATATATATATATATATTAATATATATTATATATATATATATATATATTAATATATATTATATATATATATATATATTAATATATATTATATATATATATATAATATATATATATATATATATATATATATATATATATATATATATATATATATATATATATATATATATATATATATATATATATATATATATATATATATATATATATATATATATATGTCGTACCTAGTAGCCAGAACGCACTTCTCAGCCTACTATGCAAGGCCCGATTTGCCTAATAAGCCAAGTTTTCATGAATTAATTGTTTTTCCACTACCTAACCTACCTAACCTAACCTAACCTAACCTAACTTTTTCGGCTACCTAACCTAACCTAACCTATAAAGATAGGTTAGGTTAGGTTAGGTAGGGTTGGTTAGGTTCGGTCATATATCTACGTCAATTTTAACTCCAATAAAAAAGATTGACCTCATACATAATGAAATGGGTAGCTTTATCATTTCATAAGCAAAAAAATAGAGAAAATATATTAATTCAAGAAAACTTGGCTTATTAGGCAAATCGGGCTTTGCATAGTAGGCTGAGAAGTGCGTTCTGGCTCCTAGGTACGACATATATATATATATATATATATATATATATATATATATATATATATATATATATATATACAGAGCACCACTTGGTTTCCGAACTTTAGTTATCCGAAACTTCCAGTTTCCCGATTGGGGTTGGGGAGTCATGCTACCCGAACAAAGTTCGGGTAGGAAGGGGTCCGCCAAGCGTCACGCCGGTTTGTTGTGGTGGGTGGGAGATGGTCCAGTTTGCCCGCTGTGACTTCACAGATTCACGGCCTATTATTCCTATTATTTTGAATTGCCATAAGGCTGGAATGTTCATTCTGTGCTTTTGTTTTACATATCTGCACAATCAAGAAACATCTGTGTACCATGTTGGCTCCAAATGCACGCATTGCATCAGTGATGGCTGACTGGTGGGTGGATGGACGATGGAGTTTAGGTGGGAGGCAGTATGAATGAGGGGGGGGGGAGAATCAGTGAGAGAGGGGGAGAGAGAGATGCTAGGAGGGAGGGGGAGGTAGGGAGAGATGTTAGGAGGTAGGGAGAGATGCTAAGAGGGAGGGGGAGGTAGGGAGAGATGCTAGGAGGTAGGCAGGAAGGGATGGAAGTAGTGAGAATTAGGGAGGGAAAGGCAGGCTGGCAGGCACAGGCAGGCAGGCAGGCGCAGCAGGGAGTGAGTGGTAGTCACGCGGTTGAACCGCGTGACCTTGAGAGATGGGATGTAGGGGGGCGGGTGGTTTGTTGGTGGTGGGGGCGAGACCGGCTCATTCCCGAAGATAAGCCTAACACACACTACCCGTTAGCATGATGGCAGGGAGGGAGGCAGGCTGGCTGGAAAGGAAGCAGGCTGGCAGGCTGGGAAGGAGGCAGGCAGGCAGGCAGGCTGGGAAGGAGGCAGGCAGGCAGGCAGGCAGGCTTGCAAGCTGGGAAGGAGGCAGGCAGGCTTGCAGGCTGGGAAGGAGGCAGGCAGGCAGGCAGGCTTGCAGGCTGGGAAGGAGGCAGGCAGACAGGCAGGCTGGGAAGGAGGCAGGCAGGCAGGCTTGCAGGCTGGGAAGGAGGCAGGCAGGCAGGCTGGGAAGGAGGCAGGCAGGCAGGCAGGCTTGCAGGCTGGGAAGGAGGCAGGCAGGCAGGCAGGCTGGGAAGGAGGCAGGCAGGCAGGCAGGCAGGCTTGCAGGCTGGGAAGGAGGCAGGCAGGCAGGCAGGCTTGCAGGCTGGGAAGGAGGCAGGCAGACAGGCAGGCTTGCAGGCTGGGAAGGAGGCAGGCAGGCAGGCAGGCTTGCAGGCTGGGAAGGAGGCAGGCAGGCAGGCAGGCAGGCTGGGAAGGAGGCAGGCAGGCTGGGAAGGAGGCAGGCAGGCAGGCAGGCTTGCAGGCTGGGAAGGAGGCAGGCAGGCAGGCAGGCTTGCAGGCTGGGAAGGAGGCAGGCAGGCAGGCAGGCTTGCAGGCTGGGAAGGAGGCAGGCCTTGCAGGCTGGGAAGGAGGCAGGCAGGCTTGCAGGCTGGGAAGGAGGCAGGCAGGCTTGCAGGCTGGGAAGGAGGCAGGCAGGCTTGCAGGCTGGGAAGGAGGCAGGCAGGCAGGCAAGCTTGCAGGCTGGGAAGGAGGCAGGCAGGCTTGCAGGCTGGGAAGGAGGCAGGCAGGCTTGCAGGCTGGGAAGGAGGCAGGCAGGCTTGCAGGCTGGGAAGGAGGCAGGCAGGCAGGCAAGCTTGCAGGCTGGGAAGGAGGCAGGCAGGCTTGCAGGCTGGGAAGGAGGCAGGCAGGCAGGCAGGCAGGCTTGCAGGCTGGGAAGGAGGCAGGCAGGCAGGCAGGCTTGCAGGCTGGGAAGGAGGCAGGCAGGCTTGCAGGCTGGGAAGGAGGCAGGCAGGCTTGCAGGCTGGGAAGGAGGCAGGCAGGCAGGCAGGCTTGCAGGCTGGGAAGGAGGCAGGCAGGCAGGCAGGCTTGCAGGCTGGGAAGGAGGCAGGCAGGCAGGCAGGCTTGCAGGCTGGGAAGGAGGCAGGCAGGCAGGCAGGCTTGCAGGCTGGGAAGGAGACAGGCAGGCAGGCAGGCTTGCAGGCTGGGAAGGAGGCAGGCAGGCAGGAAGCGATATATGGGTGTTGAAGTGAACCATGAACCACGTGACCTTTGAGTGTGTGTGTGTATGGGTTTGGGGTGGGGGGAGAGGGGGAGGTGGTGGGGGAGGGACCGGCTGACTCCGTAAGCCTAACCACACTCCACAGACCTGTGACCCAGATTTGTTTCTTAAATGTACAGTACATCATCGTATATTTTAGGCAGGATGTGCCTGCAGGCTGGCAGGAAACATCCAGAGGATGTTTGCCAGACGTCTTAATAATCAGTTAGGAACAATTAAGGACTTTTATAAAGCGGATCAGGACTTCACTTATTGGTGAGTACAAACAAAACACAGTCGCATTTACGCTATGAACCTGTCGATTTTTTCCCCTAGAGTTTTTTCGTAAATTTTTTCGGAAAAATTTCTTTTTACATTTCTAGTTTATTTTTTCCCCTCTATTTCTCGTATACGAACTTACATGTTAACCGACGGGTCTCGTCCCCAAGGGGTTCGGAAACCAAGTGGTGCTCTGTATATATATATATATATATATATATATATATATATGTCGTACCTAGTAGCCAGAACGCACTTCTCAGCCTACTATGCAAGGCCCGATTTGCCTAATAAGCCAAGTTTTCATGAATTAATTGTTTTTCGACAACCTAACCTAACCTAACCTAACTTTTTCGGCTTCCTAACCTAACCTAACCTATAAAGATATGTTAGGTTAGGTTAGGTAGGGTTGGTTAGGTTCGGTCATATATCTACGTTAATTTTAACTCCAATAAAATAAAATTGACCTCATACATAAGGAAATGGGTAGCTTTATCATTTCATAAGAAAAAAAATAGATAAAATATATTAATTCAGGAAAACTTGGCTTATTAGGCAAATCGGGCCTTGCATAGTAGGCCGAGAAGTGCGTTCTGGCTACTAGGTACGACATATATATATATATATATATATATATATATATATATATATATATATAATATGTATGTATGTATGTATGTATGTATGTATGTATGTATGCAGAAAATCCACAGAAATGGAAAAGAAAGATATGGGCACCATACAACCGCTGCATATTCTAGCTTTGGTCTAACAAAAGTTGTGAACAATTTCTTTAGTATTTTGCCATCCATGTATTTAAAAGCAGTTCTGAAATTAGAAAGTGTAGCATAGGCTCCTTGCACGTTCTTTGTGGTCCTCAGGTGATAATTTTCTATCTAGAACCACCCCTAGATCTTTATCAGAATTTTTTAAAGATTTCTCACATAATTTATAGGTTGTGTGGGGTCTATGTTCTCCTATTCCACATTCCATAACATGGCCTTTATTCACGTTAAATTCCATTTGCCAAGTGGTGCTCCATATACTAATTTTGTCCAGGTTTTCTTGAAGGGCATGACAATCATCTAAGTTTATCTGTAGATTGGAACTATGTTAGCTTTTTTCCACACATCTGCTATGGCTCCTGTACACAGGGATGTCTGAAAAATCAGCTGAAGTGGAATGCTGAGCTCAGGTGCACATTCTCTTAGAACCCATGGTGAAACTCCATCTTGGCCAACTGCTTTGTTTTTACTTAGCTCCAAGAGTGTTTGTTTCACTTCGTCTCTAGACACCTCTATGTGCTCTATGCTGTTCTCTGGAATTCATATTGTCTGGTTCTCTGAAGATCTCGTTTTGTACAAACACACTTTGGAACTTTTCGTTTAATGTTTCACACATTTCATTTTCCTTGTATCTGTCCCCCATTTTCAACCTCCGAATATTATCCTTTACCTGCAGCTTGCTTTTAAGGAATTTATAGAAAAGGCCTGGATCTGATTTACATATATCTGCTATACCGTTCTTAAAGTTCCTCTCTGCCTCTCTCCTTATTGACGTGTAGTTGTTTCTTGCATCTTTGTATCGCTGGTATGTTTGGGGGGTTTGACCTCTTTCTATAATGATTCCATGCTTGTGTCTTTTGATCTCTGGCCCTTTTGCAATTTCTTTTGAACCAACCCTGCTTTCTAGGTCTGCATCTCTGTTTTGGTATGAATGTTTGTATGCCTTCATCGTATATTTCGCAAAATTTGGCATTCATCTCGTTTACTTCCTTGCCTAGCAACAAGTCAGTCCAATTATACCTATGAATAAAATTCTAAGTTCCCCATAGCAACCTCTCTTGAAATAGAGTTTAACAACTGTTTCAATGTCCCTATTCTCTACTAAATTATATCACATAGCGTATTTAATGTCCAAGAGGACGTGATCACTCTTTTTCCCAAGGGAGGAAGGTACTGGGTGTCAAATACCTCCTCCTCTTTCCTGGTGAATACTAGATCCAGTACTGACCATCCCCTTTCCTCATTCTTGCGGCCTGCTTGACGTGTTGATACATGAATGTGTGTGTGTAATTACCTAAGTGTAGTTACAGGATGAGAGCTATGCTCGTGGTGTTTTGTCTTCCCAGCACTGTCATATGACGCTTTGAAACGACTGACGGTTTTGGCCTCCACCACCTTCTCACCTAACTTGTTCTGTCTACCATTCTGTTTGCAAAAGGGAATTTTCTTACATTGTGTGTGTGTTTGTGGGATGTATAACAAATAAGTAAACAATGCGTCACAAATAATTACCTAATTAGCAAGTGTGACAAGTGTGGAATATGTGATTCAATAAAACCTTGGCTATTATCAATTAGCAATGTTTCGGTGGCTCCTACTGTCATCTAATTGATTTTGTCAAGTTAGTAGTTTTCATTAAATTTATAGTAATAGAGGTTATTGATTTTGTTGCTGTTTTCTCACTTGAATTAGTAATAATGATATATATTTTTGTATCTGGTTGTAGGACAGTGATAGTGATGCATCTGATCACAGTCGGTCTGCAAGTCCTGAAACCTCAACACCAGGATTGGGCATGCCACGAAAACGTCGGTCAAGGTTTGAACCTCGTGATGGGCAAGGGGAAATGCAAGATGAAGATGGTACAAAGGATGTAGATGAAGAAGATGAGGGGGAGGAGGATGAAGTACAAGAGGAAGGAGGAAAGGAAGAGGAAGAGGAAGAACATAAACACACAAGAAGGGTGCCATCACCAGAACCTGTTAAGACAGAGGAGGAGAGAATGCAGGAAATGGTGAGTGACTTGTTAGCTCATAAGTCTGTCACCATAGCTTATCTAGTGGTAGGCCAGGTTAGTTTGTATAGTATTGTTGCATACATGTTTCATATATATATATATATATATATATATATATATATATATATATATATATATATATATATATATATATATATATTATATTATATTATATTATATTTTGGTAGCAGTCTTTCTTGTAAACATGTTGAATGTGACCGGAAAGGTAAGATTAATAATTCTAACACGAATTTTCTCTATTTCTTATATTTTTCTTCACTGTCGGTGGCAATGGAAATATCAAATCTCCAAAATTCATTTTTATTGATGGTCTGATGCCTGAACGCGTTTCGTAATGGCTTATTATATTTTCAAAGACCTAATTTACACACATATTCATCGTACTTATACTCTATTGGGTGAGGTGATATAAAGATCTTTGTTAGCCCAAATTAGTGCTAGTCATTTGATGGGAGGACTGGAGGTGAAGGTTGTGTGGCTCTACATTAATGTGTCTTCGCATGACCGCCGAGAGACAATTAAACAATCGGAACCTATAGTGGGAGGGGGAAGAACATTGACATTTAAAAATTGTCACAAAATTAATCATCATATGAACACTTTATTTTACATGATAGTTCTTGACAGTGGTTTTGTGAAAGTGGACAGTGAAACTTTGAGGGTTTAATGACAAAATTTGAGTTGGAAATAATCTTGGGAAAATTTCAGTCTGGGAAGGATAGTGTAGTTTTGTATCATAAAATTATTGCATATTCTGTTCTGTTGAATATCTAGATGTAGGGAGATTTTAGATGATTAAGGTAGATTTGGAAGAATTAAGGAGGCTTTTTAAGGATTTAGATTATATGAGGAGTTTGAATTAAATGATTTGGTTATCCATCTTGAAAATGTAAATAATTTTAGATAATTTTTAATTATAAGTATCATGATGTGGGTTTACTGTCACAGTAAGATCTGTTTGTCATTGAATGTAGCTGGTTGGAGTTTTATTTGATAATGTAAAAGTCTTGCATGCACCTTATTGTACCACTTTCCTAGATGCTGAAGCTGAGACGCTGGATGACGGAAATTCTTTTGGATGTGACGACAGGCATGATGGAAGAAGTGTGTGCTGAGGTGCTAAGTCGTGCCCGTATGAAAGGTATATCATTGCCCGAGCCAAGTTTCTGGTTAGGAAAATGTTACGTTGTCCATATAATAAAGAATCAGCCTAGCTGTCAGCTTGTACCCGCTGTTTAGTTTTGAACTTCCTTCGAATGACAATCTCAAGGTTTTATGTATAAATCGTAGCATTGAAAGCCAATCATTAATTATGAAACTTGTGAATATTTTTGTCAAATGTGGAAAGCATTTATTACCATGGTCAGTCTTAGTTTCTTCATTAGTCTCAATATTAGTGATATATAAATTAATTGCTGTCTATTCCTTTTTTATTTATTGTTATTTTACTTAGTTACGATGAAAAAGAAAACAAGGGAAGAGGTTTCAGTGAGAGGTCTACATGGTTATTTGTATCCAGATCATAGTGACTTGTGAACTATGTACTGAACTCCATAGACAACTTTGTGATTGGTATCATCAGTTTTCATCTTCAAAGAAGTTGAGATAAGTTAAAAGAACGCAAGTGAGTAAGATCCATTAAGACCACCCCTTGAGTTGTGGAATGGACATCAAGTAGTGAGTGTTGTGGAGGCCTCTTCCCTCTGAATAAACAGTAAATTCCCTTATAGAGGTGAGCTTGTCTCTGCTTAGTGTGGTAAGGCTGGTCTGCCGGGGTCTCCCGCAACACTAAACTTCCTGTGTTTGTCTAAAGCTCCGGCAGTTCAGGTCAAGAAGAGCTCGGCCCTAGCCTCTTTGTCGGGCGGAATTGGTAAGTTGAAACCAACCTTTTCTGTTTTGTAACATTGTGGCTTTTAAGTCTTATTTTTCTCTTTCCTTTACTTCCTAAGGAGTCTTGGACATTGCTTGTACACTGCTAAACTGTGATTGTTCTGTGGGTGTGGCAGTGGCTCAGATGATTTTTAGACTTTTGAATGTGTCAATGCTGTCTTCACCCATTTGAAAGTAAATGTATGTGATGTACTCTTGAGAATGGTCCAGTATGATACTGTATTATTTTTTTGTTTGCCACATGGTTTTTATTTATTAAGGCTTTTTCTAATATCTGGAAGAAGGCAGCATTTTTATGTGAGCAGTGTAAATTGAAGCTTCAAGAATCACATGGTTGCAAAGTAGTGGGTTAATTGATGACATTAGTTGTGGTTACAGGTTTGAGCATAACATGTAGTTGTTGGTTACTGGTGTAGAAAGAAACCAGTGTAGTCAGTGTCAGATTAATGTTAAACTTTTTATTATGAATTTAGCTTCATATCCTGCAAATGTTTAGGACTGAGGGAGGGCCCTATTACCAAGCAACCTTTTACAGGTTTTAAGTAATGTTTGTTTATGCCAGTGCTAAAATTGGTTATGAACAATTGAGAGTAGAAATTGTATCAAATAATTTTGTTCAGTATGTATTGCATGCCTTATTTTAATACTGTATTGCTTAGATTTAATTAATTCAAAACCAGTGTAGTAAAGAAAAAAATCCCAAACATGCATGAGGGAATTGGGAAGACTGTCATAAAATTCTAATGAGACTATTATAGAGAAATGTAATTTAATAGTGGGCTTTCACATCCAAACATTGCACTGAGTATTATTATTTCATTATAAATGTTGCTTTTAATTTGATGATTCTTGATGCTTCAAGTGATGATTGTAATTGAAACTATTCTATGAATATTTTGTTTTTAACTTTGAAACAATTAATTTCATGTTAGGTTTAGAAAGATGGTAATTCAGTGGGCAAGAGAGAAAAAAAAACATAGAAGGGGTGATTTAATATTTCATATGAATATACCTTAACCAGGAATTGTATTACAGGGCTTGGCATCTACAGTGACAGCGAGAGTGATAGCGAGGGCTCGGGCGGTGAAGGTGGCAGTGACCGAGGTGACACCGACAGTGATGAAGAATTACGACAGACCATCAAACGTAAACATGAAGATTTTCAAGCTACAGAGAGGGACATACTTCTGCGTTTGCAAGCAGAAGAAATGAATGAACGGAAAAAGAAGTTTGGTACTCATGAGTCTGATTCAGATGAGGATGGGGAGGATGAGGATGATGCTGGGGAGGGAGAAGCAGAGGGCACAAAGGAGAGAAAGGCTAGCAAGGAAGGGGAAGGGGACAGACTTGGGGAACAGCCACAGGACCCAGAAGATACTGAGGAAGATGCCAGTCCAACTCCAAGTTCAGGTGAGTGAGATGGATACTAGTTAAAGTAATTGATATCTTCTACAGCAAAATGTAGCAGTCTAAACTGATAACTGCAAGACGGATAACCGTTGGTGTTTGACTGATTTATTTGTTGACCAATTTCATTCTCTCTTCACATAGTTAGGGAAGGGTATGCACTCTCCTGGATGTAGAGGTTACAACAAAATCAGATAATAAACAAAGGAGAACAAAAAACTAAAATTTAAAAAAAAAAATTAAAAAAAAAAAATATTTTTGGGACATTGATGAAAGTAACATATTAACATTGGACAATGTATTTATGTGATATATGTATGTATAACAAAATAGAGCATAATAACAGTTACTCATTATTATTTCTGTTATTATGTATTACTCAGCAATGCTATAAGGGCATCAGCGGCATATCCACTTTGTGGACACTTCTTACTACTATTCTTCTTCTTCGAGCATCAGACAGGTGCTTGCATCTCTTTATTACTGAATTATCCCCCAGTTCCAGTTAATAGGAACTGTTCTCCTTATCAACAAAATGTTATTTTTTTTTTAATTTTTCTAAGATCAATTTCTGAAAATATTTTGATGAAAGTTTCACGAAGCCGAAGCCAATAAGTTGGAAATTTGTTTAACATTTTCAAGTTTTTACATAATTTGAATATTTTTTGCTTCCGGGCCTCAATATGCGCGGTTTAAGGGTTAAGTATTAGCAAGAGAGCTTGCAGGTGAAATATCGTCTACTCTCAACTTGGTTTCTCTACATTGTTGTCAACACTGTGCTCTATACTGCCAAGTGACCTATAGGAAGAAACATTATTTTTAATTAATGTACTCTTAGAACATTGCTTACTGCTCATGCTATGAAAAAATGCATACCAAATTATCATTCTGCTTTTCCGGAAGTTTTACTTTGACATTAATACAAATTTACACTTTATATAATGTAGTTTCCTAATTATTGTACTAACTATGCTATTTTTCCACAGATAATGTGAAACTTGTTCCACCTCAAGATCCTGAAGTAGATTCCACACAGCCAGACAGTGCCACACCAAGTGGGTCTTTAAAAGGGGATGATTCAGTACATAGTTTAGACTCCGAGGAAGACTCTAAGTCATCCTTGAGTGATCACTCTCATTCTAGTGAAGGGAAGAAAAAGAAAAAGAGGAAATCAAAAAAGGAAAAAAAGAAAAAAGAAGGCAGGCGGAGGAGTAGGTCAGGAAGTAGGGAAAGGGAGGAGAGGAGAGAACACAAAAAAAAGAAGAAACGTAAAGAGATAAGTCGGAGTCGAAGCAGAAGTTCTGAAGAATACAGTAGATATAGGAGTAGAAGCAAGAGTAGGGAAAGCTATAAGAGAAAGAGAGACATAAGTCTGAGTCCAAGTGAGGAAAGGAGTTCTCGTAGACACTATAGTCGGGATCGTTCCAGATCCAAAGGTAGAGCTAAGTCACGGGGAAAAAATGGAACAAGGGATTGGTCAAGGGATAGATCTAGAGATAGGCGAAGAAGTAGGTCTCGTGTTAGGAAAAGCAGTAAATCTAGGGACAAAAAGCGTTATAGAGATAAGAGTAATGAGAGTCGATATGGGTATCGTCACAGGAGTAGGTCTCTGGGAAAAGATCATAGACGAAGCTATAGAGATGGGAGTGACGACAGTAGGTATGGTAGAAATAGCAGAAGACGCTCTCACACATATAGTAGAAGCAGAAGTCGCAGCAGAGACTATTTACGCAAGAGAGATCGCTATCAATCTAGATCTCGATCCAGGTCAAGAACCCCTAAGAGGACTAAGAAACGGCATCGCTCCAGGTCCATAAGTTCCTCCATATCACTTCCTAAGAAGTCAAGAAGAAGAAGATCCAGATCGTCGTCGTAGGCAAGTGAAGGTCCTATCGTGAGTGCTGTGGTAAGACCATAACAAGGTAAGTTGTTCGTGTTCTGTGAAGATGTCTGTGTACACTTTGTTTCAGATCAACAACGGCTGTCGCCTACCATGTGATATTTCTCTGCAGTTTGAGAGGGGGACAGGATTAATTTATTTCGAAGAGAAAGAAAGCAGGCAACTTCCATTTGTTTGGTATGCATCTTAGTCAACTAAGTTGAGGAAATTTTGAGGAATGAGCAATTTTGTAATAATTTTACATTGAAGGATTACATTTATAATTCACATCAAATCTCGAGTACCATTTGTCATGAAGCTTATACGTGCAAAAGATAGGCTTCATATTTTTTATGGTTTGTTCTCTCTTTCAGCACCTGCCTTGCACTGCCCATCGTTTGAAGTTGCAACAAATGTCATATTTTGACTGGTGTATTCAAAGATCGGTCACATCTGTGTATAGTACCCTCTAATGCAAATAGCTATGTAATTTATTATGATTGATTTTCAATACGAGTCTCTTATTCCAGGACAGAAAAGTTGTATTTTCTAGTGAACATGAATCTGAAATGTATGAGAATGAAAATTTTGTATTTTAAGTCATTCAGATGTATCATTCTCATATGATCAACAACTTGTGTTCAGAAGATTGGTCTCCTTTTACTTTTCAGGTTCTGTGATTGAAAAGCTTGCTCATGTAGTTTAGAATAAAGAAAATAAGACTTGATTTTAGTATTTTGACTCCTGTTTATTGTTACTTTCAACCAGGATTATACAAATACAATATTGCCAATTTGCAAATGGTATAGTGTATTTAATATTTTATCTTGAAATGAACATTTATGGCCCTAAAAACTCTCATTTTACCTTTCCTAGGAACTGAAAGTATTAGAATAAATAAGTTCTGACATAAATTCATCATTAGTTCATTACAGTCAGCCATTGATCTGCACAAGGGATGTGTTCCTGGAAATATTGTGCAGTTGATTCACACCAATGAAAGTTATTTGTACAACACAATACTCTGCCATATAAAAGTATGTGTTGTACATTTGCCATTGCTAAGTTCATCAGCATTTTAACGCTAAAAGTGGTTTGGTAGTGGTGGTGGGTAACAGGCTTGACATTACCTTCAATATATCTGGCATGTGTTTGTGGTATTAAATTTGCTTAAATTCTCCAATGGGATATCTTTTGGTGCCACATCAGTTGCAGACTGCTTGAGAAGCCATGATGTGTACTGTTAGGTTCCACTCTTGTATAAATAATGGTCGGGTTAGTCAAAAATTGGTGTATGGGTTTGCACTTGAACTGGGTTGATAGGTGACATGCAAAGGAAAATTCTGAAAAAGGATTAGACATTCGAGATATGTATAGATTGTGCACTCGCACCAATATACTAGCTAGAGTGAGGGGCTGACTGTTGTGAGTTTACTAGTCTCCAGCACAAATATTTTTTGGCTGATAACTACTAGCCCAAGTTAATTACATTCAGTAATCACTAAACTCTCAATGCAGTTTAGGGGTCTGAAGCCAATCCATGCCATTTGTTATGCTTATATCCGGTTACAAAAGTCATAAATGTTTTGATTGAAGATGAGGAAAATTAGGAGTAGAGTTGAATTCTTGAAGGGAGGGGACGATTCCAGACAATTAAGTCTCAAATGCTCAGCTCCTAAGGAAACAAATACAGTATGTAAGTACTGGGGAAAATGAAAGTAAATGAACAGGCAAGTGTTTATTTCCAGTAAATGATGTTCACCAAATATTGGAGAAAATAAATAACTCCTTTGCACTTACATTATGGACAGTAATAAATTATTTCTTTAAAACAAAAGGTTTTTGACAAAAAAAAAAATTGGTAATATTAAAACAATTTGATCTGGCTTGGAAACAATAGCCAATTACATGGGACTACGAATGTCGATCTTAAGCTCCTCTCTAGTAAGTACAGTATATGCTAAACATGTAGGTTATTAAAATGACTAAATACTCAGCATGAAAAGGTTGCATTTTCTTCATATGGGAGAAAATATTATCTTGGCTGCTTCAAACACTTAATATCGGGGAAAAAAAATTTAAGAACGTATGTTATCATTCATTTGTTACTATTGCAAAATATGAATATGTATACATTATGTAGTTAGAACCCGGTGTCAATGTAACTAGATTGAATAAAAGGTTACAGTACTAACAACTTTTTTATAATGACACCACCTATCAAGGGCAGTGCATTTTATAATACAGTACCTTTATAATAAATACATGGTTTGAATAATTTATGACAATATAAATTTGAAAATGTTTTGGTACATTTTCTGAAATACACTTTGCCATGTTTAATGAACGTTTTGCTAACCAGTTCATGGAAATCCTTTTCTTTTCCCCAAAACCAGATCCTAAGATACTTAAAAGAACAATTTGAATGACCATCTTTGATTCGCTTCTGCAAATTAGATTGTATAATTTCTTAAACTGATCAGATACATTTTGCAATGATAACCCAAACAGACGGTTCCTCTTAAGAGCACTGCACTTTAATTCTGCATTATCTAATGGTTGTTAAAACATTCTCTGTAGCCTACATCATGCAATTTAATGTTACATTAGCAATGAGAAATGGACATTAGTACAGTTTTATTAATGAGGTCGGATACTGCATAACAGTATACACATAACCCCAATTGAAGTATAAATTGTAGCCATGTGAAATTAATCCCATTCATAAATCAACTGACTTAATATAATTACTTGAGTTACATATTAAAAGATTTTATGCGTTTACCTCTTGGTAAGGCATTGCAATGATTTAAGCAGTAATAGTAAGTTTTTTTTTTTTTTACTTTGTGCAGTTTGATCCTGTTTTGGATAAAATTGCTGAAGGGGGTTAAAATAATTAAAGCATAACTGGGAAATCCTTGCATATATCATAACTATATTTGTTTTGTTCATACAATGAAATCTTCCTTGAATGAAGCTAAATATGCATTACTACATCCCCATTTCTACAGCATTTTGTCTATAATTGGTACAGTGTAACTAGTGGATCCAGCTGCTCAGGTTTATTAAAAACTAACAAAGGCAATTTGTATTATGGAATATATATTGCAGTACAGTTGATTTCTTCAGGTACATGGCATAGCATTTATATATATTTTTTAAATGAGTTAAAAAAGTAATATAAATCATGTCACTGGAAATGCATGGCTGCCATATGGAAAGAATATACACATCTGAAATGCAAGTTGTGTAATTTATATACATATAATGAAAACTAAAATGTATGATAACACTAAGTTTCCTCTTATCTAAAGAATAACAGCATACTGTAAATATGACCTTAAAAAATAAGATAACTTGAGTAAATTACATTGCCTGTTTTTTGCCCTTTGGTTTAGTCATTTGGTTAAAATATGAGTTGAGCAATACTAGTGCTATCTGCCAGCAGAGTAAGTTTAGTAAGCAAAATATTTCCCAAGTAATGCATTATCAATCTAAGGTAACTAAGTAAGTTTACTTGCAATTGAACATTTATGCATTGAAGTCCTGCCATTGTAATGTTTCAAACATGGTAATTGCTGCTAACTTTTCTATTTAAGCAGCTTGCAGATAAATTTTAGACTAAACATCCGAGGTTACTGTCATATACAGTGTTAGATTTAGATCAAATATTTTTAATATATACAGTAGTGCTTAGTGACAAAAATATTTTTTTAGTATTTCAAGTCTTTGGATTCTAATCCAATCGTCAAACCAATTGCAAACTCCTCTACACATTTTTTTTAAAGACTAGTACATGGAAATTACAAATTCCTTAATGCCGATTTGTTCTGAAAATAAAGCAACGATAGTTTTTTTTTACAAAGAATGCTGTATTTATGATATTTACATTTAATGATAATTATTTGGGCAGTTAAAGAAAAATACTGCCATGAATCTCATAAGTATTCAATCCACAAAGTACTGGGCTTTTTTTTGTTTTGCCTAAGAATTTGTTCAAAATTTACTTGAACGAACAATTATGAAAATTAAATTGCAGCAATACCAGTTTACACAGAATATGACCACAGTAATTCTCAAGCATAGTGATATACGAACTTCATACAATAAAAAGCTTACATTATACTTAGTCTATAGAATAGTCACTAGTAGTAATGTAGTTGAAATCAAACATTGAGGAACCACAACATGAGGCATAGTTCTAAACTTACATTACATAAGGCTGTTTGTAACACAATACTTTATAATCCTCGTTACATCTGGCTATAAAGCAGACTAAACTTATACACATTCAAAAGTAAAACCTGAGATTCAAAAGGTCTATTTATTAAGTAATTTTATTAGTTGATTAAAGTATTTTCCTGTGTTAAACCAGGAACTGCTATGTTTAGTTTTAACAATCTAGTCTTGTCCTTGTCAAATTTGACCTTGTCCTGTCAAATACATATTACAAGTCTGGATTCTATACTCTGAACTTGTATAGTTTAAATATCAAATTGCCTGTGTAGGCAATCCTGTACTCTATTATTAGTAAAGTGAAAGACCTTGCAGCAACAGTAATTGAAAAATGTTTAAACCACACTAATTAGTTATAATCTGGTTTAATTATAAATATTGCTCTGATTACTGAATCAGAAATATTATTCTAAGGTAACACCAACTTTCTCAACATTACACTTCTGAACCTATTTTTTTTAATTTGTGCTTTTCTTTTCTTTAGAAAAGATTTTACTGCAGTTTTTGTTTAATGACAAGCCTACTGCAATATTTATAGTGTGATATAAGATGTGCTGATCACATTATTGTGTGTGTGTAGTAAAAGCTTTTGTTTGATGAAATTTGATTGCAATTAATAAAGAAAAGAACTTGTCATTCCCCCCCCCGTCATCAAAAATATTTATGCCAAGCAATTTAATATTCTGAATACCTTGATTCAGTATACAGTAGCTTAATAAATTCAGATTGGCATAATTAAGAGTTTTGTTCTAAGAGATAAACAAAAACCGAGTATCTTCAGCATTTCAACAGTTTTAATTAACTACAGCACTCCTCAGCCATATGAATAGTTTGTAAGATGTTCCATTTTTATGTGGTACAATAAATACCTTTAAGATATGTATTCCACTTTCAATTTATTATTGTACCTACTGGCCTCAAACATCCAATTAATATAAACCAAAAACTATACGAGATGTGGTTAGGATAGTTGGTAGTAAATCCTTTGAAGATGATCAACATCTGACACCAATGGAAATCTGAGTCCAACCATCAGTGATTCACTAGTCACAATAAAACCCAAAATGCAATATTAGTTTTGGTACATAGCCCAAAGAAGCAGGTACTGTATATGGTACTTTACTTGCAAGTCTTATGCTACAATTTGTGAATATGTTGGTTGCCGCAAAAAAAAAAAAAAAAGTTCAATTCCCTCAAACAGAGGAGGACGGGACGGCCCAATGTTGTGGCAGAGAGCCTAATATGTGGACAGTGGTAGAGTACTAAGATGTAAACCAGCATGTTCTGGCACACATGTAGCAACACCTACTACTAATGAACGCTACAAAATTAGTGATGTGATTCTTATAGTAATATACACATTGCTAAAATTATGATGCAAAGGTTGATAAAATAAAAATGGTTAGCAAATTGTTTAGCTTTTTTCTTCAATGTCAGTTATAATCACCTTATCTTCAAGTCTGCTCAAATAACAAAATAATATAATTATGTAATTGATGACTTTGTAAAATAAACTCAAAGCTTCAAGAATTAAAAGCTTTGTTTTTGTTTTGAGTTACTATTTTGTACAATAAAACTACTGTGGAAATAAATAAGTCAGAAGTAATTAAATAATAAGCTACCATATACAAGCACTTATACATTATAGCTGTATTTACAGTCTTGTATTTTGTAAAAAAAAAAAAAATTACTTTTACAACTTGTCTACCTAAGAAGAAACTTTCCATGTGTTTTTGTCTGAAAAAAATAATAATACTATCTAATCTATAGATAAATACACCCTGTTCTTATTTAATATTAAAATAATATTTTGTTTCCAAGAGCAGTCTCCGAGAGCTAAATAATATTTATCACCGCAAAAAAATTTGTTATGCTCAACTAAATTTTCTTGAAATATCAAATATATCGGTAATTCAAATGCAGTATGACGATCCCAAGTGTTTAGTTACTAATCCAATTGTTGCCACTGTTTACACGGTGGAATACTATGAATAATGGATACCAATCATTCAGTTTAAGGTACCTAATCAGGTTTTTGGATCTTATTAAATTTTATTTACATGTAATGAGTTGAAGAAATATAAGTCAGTTTAAAAAATCTTTGAATAATCTTCATTAAGTCTTATTAGCTTTTGGGTAATATTAAGTTATCTTTAACAAGGTCACTGATGACTTGGTGCAAATTATAAAAACATGATTCTCCCAATCATGTGCAAGCTGTAACCCTGATAAGTTACCTCAGCTTAATCAAATTTTGAGCTTAGACTGAAGGTGAAAGTTTACTGGTTACAACAAGAGAGATGAGGAAAGGCCGTCACGTAAATTATTGCATGCTGGCTTGGCCAGTTAACTACAACATGTAATTAAGAGCTGCAACATATGGGGCAAGGACAGTGTTAATGTTTTATGTTTTAATTGTTAGTGTTTAGCCTCTTATGCCTCTAAAATGACCTCCAACATCATTAAAGAGGATATTCCTTGGCAGTCCCACAGGTGATACAAAGTAGTGTAAGTGCTCTCTCTTACTCCAGCATCAGATGGTATAGAGGTAGAGCATCTGTGAGCAACAAGCTCAAAGATGCTCTACCACATACCATAATTAAAAACTTGCCATTAATAATATTAAATTAAAATATTAACCCTTTCATTAAAATATTAAAGCTAAATAATAAACCTTTTTTCTCTAAAATATAATATTAATATAATATTACTAACTAAATACCTGCTTAATTCTCCAAACAAAAATTACAATAAATATTTTGAAATGTCCAATAAAAAGTCCAATACGGGACACGCAATGTTCTACAATCATTTCAAGCATGCTATAATGTACATTATAGGGTGCTATAATGTACATTATAGCATAATGTACATAATATACATTTATATGCAGTACACTAAATGTACATTATAGCATAATGTACATAATATACATTTATATGCAGTACACTAAATGTACATTATGTGCATTGTGGTACATTTTTTTTAATTATGTAATAATTAATTACATAATTAAACTAGACTGTACTGTCAGCACTGAAACAACTTTTCTTGAATGAATATATTTGAACATCATTTTTTTGTTTAATGGCTAACACCATGAACAACTGCTGTGATGACACTGGTGCAACTCTTGTTATACAATAGTGAAGAACTTTTGGTAGCAAATAATTCATTTACTCAGAATATTGCAGCTAATTATTATTAGAGATTTTGACACATCACTTCTACTGACTAAATAACAGTTCAGAAAAAATATGGGTAGTTTTTGCCATGCATTTAAATAGGAAATGCAAGTTAATAATAATCTCATATTTCAAACACTGAATGAGTCTTATAGATAAATTAACAACATTTTGAAGTATTGAAGTAATATAAAATACTGTACATACTTTTTTCCTATATATTGTCACAAACATCTTCATGAAAATCCAGGAATATCCTCCCCAAACTTGTCCAGGTGAGCTGAACGCTTTGCCTCCTCCAGGATCTGAAGAGAAATTACAAGATTTGCCAGTTCACAAATTCTCAAAATACATCTACACTTATATCAAGTCTCAAACCAGAACCAAATGTTAATGTTAAAACAGGCACAATTAAATATAACAAAACTATAAAAATAAGTGATAGTATGAGCCATAAATTATTACAATACTGTATTAGACAGAGCAAACTAATGTAACATGATACATGATCCTGAGGATTCCAGATAATCGGGCATGAGTGAAAGGCCATGTTGGGGGCCCATTGACAGTGACAAAGATAATACAACCCACAGAACTACATAATAGCAATGTAGTAGGGGAGATCAGTAAGATAATAATAGTTCTAGTCTATAGCCTCCACTTCCTGCAAAACAATAAAAGGTGATACTGTATAAGCAAATAAAACTACCTGAAGGAAATGAGAAAAGGGTGGATACAATTGAAAGAACAATGAGACCTAAGTTTTTAATCATAGATAAATGGATTGGTAAGAATGAACCCTGTGGCAGGAGAAATGTGGAGGGGCAAAGTTAGTGGACTGTACGCAGCAAACACTTCTTGAGGCAACACACCATTATGTCAATGAGAGCACAAGGAGAGGACTCACCACCAAACCACAAATGCTAGATCTGAATAAATAACTACAGTCTTCTCAGCCTGGCACTTTCTTTTTGATAATTACTTACATATTTTTCACTTAAAATTTTATTTAATGTGTGAATTTACTGTTGACCTGCGAGAAGCAGGTCTACTGTATGGAACTAATACGTGAAAAAACATACAAAAGGACTCTTGCAGTATTGTAATCCATTTTTATAAAAGAAATGACTTTTTTAGAATTATCTTTACTACTTAAACCCGAATAATAATATTCAAATATTGACTGACAAACTATGGCTGGGCCTAATAATCCTGTGGATGACCTGCACAGTTCACATCAGCCGAGGAACACTGAATGCTGTATTAGTGGGGTGGTGGTGGCGGTTCTGCGCGGACGATCGGCGCAACGGCATTGGTGACGTTAGCTTGTTTGCTTGTTTTCGTTTGGGAGCTCTAGCTCTCTGATTAGGTTTTAGTAGCAATTTTTATTATGTGGGGTTTGTTTTGTTATGCCTAAGGGGCCTGACAGCTGAGTGGACAGCACTCGGGATTCGTAGTCCTAAGGTTCCGAGTTTGATCACTGGTGGAGGCAGAAACAAATAGGCAGAGTTTCTTTCACCCTGATGTCCCTGTTCACCTAGCAGTAAATGGTTTCCTGGGGGTGTGAAACAAGAAGGAGGCCTGGTCAAGGACCAGGCTGTGAGGACGCTAAGCTCCGAAATCATCTCAAGATATAACCTCAAGATAACATACCTTTCTCGGTGCCAGACATGGAATGCTTCCAAATACATGAGGGTTTCCATAGGCCATTGCTCCTTGTGCCTCTCTGAGGGGGCCAGGTTCTGGCTCATGGTCTGAGGTAGGCAAGAACTCCAATCGACTGATGCCACGGTCTATTACGTACTGAACATATCAGACTGGTAAGCCCCACGGAAAATAAAATAAAACGTAGAGACATTTGCAACAAGCTGGTGCCTGACTGTTCTTTCTTTTAGCTTTCCCAAGCTAAAAGAAAGAACCAAAGGAAATATTATAACTATGTATCAAATGCTGATGGGAAAAGACAAGGTAGAGAAGGTCAGCCTCTTTGAAATGAGAGAAAACAGACCAAGAGTGCACCAGTTGAAGTTAAGAAAGCAAGTTAGTTGGAGAAATGTAAGGAAGTACAATACCGTGTAACTGAGCTTGGGTGGACTTGATAAGACCGGACACGTTTTAGTCATGTTACTGTGATATTCTTTGCACATGATAACTATCATTTGGATTAAGAAAAAACATAGCAAAAGTGTCGGAGAACCAGAACCAGACTACTGACAAGCTGGACAGGTTCTGGTCCCTATTAGTTGACCTGATGGAAAATTGCAGTTTGTATTGAAACAGTTATACTGTTTATGTTTAACAAATGATGAAACAAAATTTGCCTTACTGGATGGTGGACATAAACATCACAGGCATAGCACCAAACGGACAGGTCAGTGAAGCTCAGCACCATCTTGTGTTCGTGCATGAGTCCGTGTAGCATCATGTGCTCGCTCACGAACCTTCCACACAACACCTGACAAACAAATCCCATCACAAAATTGGGTAAACAATGTCTTGTTAACACTGGACTGGATAATTTTTTTTGTTCAAATTACTAATTTATTCTAGTGTTACTTTACAACTATCATTAATATTTTTGGAATAACTACTATTTCAGTCTATTCTCTTGATATTTAAATTATGATGACACTGACAGGCAAGGAGTTAGAAAATATGGAGCAGTCTGCATAAATTAGACACTAAAATATTACAATTACTGCAATTTTAACACTCGATTAAATAAATTATTGATATCATTCAAATGAAACTAGCTGTTAAGGAGCCCAATACTGTTTAGTGAAAGAAGATTGATACCTTGTAGCAAGTGAGACAAACCCAGTTCTCGGAGGGGTCGTGACACTCCTCGCAGGGACTGCCTGTCTTTAACCCACTACTGGGTACAGGATGTACCTCTTCAAGGTGAGGGCACCATGTAATCGGCACCACTGCATACGTTTGCTTTGGAACAAATTGCAAATGTACATGAGACCAATCAACACGTTTATAGATCATCTTGCACATTCTACCAATATATTATACGTCATTCTAAAAAGAGTTCAGTCCAAGCACTTAAAGCAATCCCTGTAGTTATAATATTTGAGTTAATGAAAGTACTGTAATATAAGACCATCAATTTTTTTTAAATAATTTATAGGATCCACGTTGAGTGCCTTATAATCTCTACCTGTTAGTTTGCTCTTTTCAATTTGTTTTAGGGATTAAAACCAAAATTTTGCATGTTTTTATCATTTTGCTTTCATGTAGTAATTCAGCATGGAGCAATCATACTAGCATCTATAAATTGGTATATATTGTATTGTATATATAAACCTCTCAAGCAGCAAAGTCAGATAACAGGAAGATCTCAATTATTGTAAGTGCATACCTTTCCAGCAGCAAAGTCAGACAACAGGAAGGTACTCATGTTGCTAACTGCAGAACTTCCATAAGCTCCTCCCACAGCACCAATGTCTTCTTCCTGATTCTTACTCCCTAGTGTTACACTTGTTTCATCTAAGGCTGCTGTTGCTGTGGCTGTGCCTGTGTTCGTATCTTCTAGCTTTACTCGGCTGAAGCTGTTAGTCAAGTCTTCCAAACCTGGCAAATACATGTTTTGAAGGCAATCAATGACAAGAAATTGGCAACTCAAGATCAACTACATAATTATAACATCTAAAAATTATTAAACCAGTTTTAACACATCATCTATTTTTTTTAATACTGTATCAATTTTGTTTAATCATCATATTGTCAACAATTTGAAAAGGAGGAGAAAGCTGCACTAAATAAGATTAATGTTCTAAAGTGACCATTACTATTTTATTTTTTTTTTGCATTTTTATACCAAGGATCCTCAGATGCTCCCTGAACCTATGCAGATTTAAAACATATTTCAACATATTACAGAGCATATAAGGAGTTACTGAGGTTGCCTTGGCTCAGAAGGGAAGGGAAGGGAACTATCATGAGAAAGCACCAAACCACCATGACTATATAGCACTCGGAAGGAATCAGGATAAGGATTTATGATGGGATAGGGACAAGGAATGGTGTCTAACCACTTGGACGGTTGGGCATTGAATGCCAGCCTGCTGAAGCGAGATTGTTGCTCTACCGTCCAGCCCAAGTGGTTGGGCGCCTTAGCTCAGAAATAAAGTTTTAGTTTATTTAAATATTTCTTTTTGAGCAGCACCTAGTTAGCTGCCAAGCTTCCAGCCTTTAATGTTTTTCTTTATCCAAGCCTGGGCTTGACCAAGCCATGTACAGGACTACTACTATCTAGTGCCAATTGAAGTTAGTTTTAGGTCTTAAGATGTCAGAATGACCCTAGGCAATTCTGGAATAGCTAAGGTTTGCTTAAATGTAAGGTTGGGTGATTTTGGGGGGTATTTGGCAAATATTTTGCTTCAGGGTAAATGATCAGTACACTACCTACCCCTGGAAGTGGGACAAGACTGTGTGAAGATATACTAATCTTCTGGGTTGTAAAGGTTACTGAAAGTTGGCACAAGGGGTCCTACTATAGCCACAGGGTTAAGAGTACAGGGAGATATTGTGAGGGAGTAGCATAGAAAATCATGAACTACCAAATAAACTATGGCTGTAATATCATGGTAGGCTATAAACAAATCCACAAGGGCCGTGATGAGGGTTTGAACCTCATCATGGCCCTTGTGGATTTGTTCATTTGATGTATTCAAATTTGTGGATTTGTTCATTTGAACAAAAACTATTGTGATTTCTGTGTGCTATAGTTAATAACAATAAGAGTAACATATAGCACTTATGAGATCACTGTTTCTTAAATTGAAATTCTCCATACCTGTAAAGGTTCCTTCGGAACTCTTCTTTGAGGGTGAATGTGCGACATTCAGTTTTGGGCAGGTAGGAGTCAGACCCACAGCCGATAAAGCTTCATCCTATAACATTACACATTTATATCATTACCATGTTTTCCTCCTCCATGGAATGGAACAGCATCAGCCATGAGAAAAATGGCAAATAACATAGTTAAATAAGTCATGGTCATGTTAAAAATGAAAAATATCACTTGTCCATTCATTATGATATGTCATTTACAATATTACATACAGCATCAATATCAGGATAAACAAGCATTTTCACACTCCAGCAGTCAACCACAAGAGGGATCCCTATTTGTCATAAAACCAAGTGTTCATGAACTTTTGTATACATTACGTATAAATATATTCATTCCCATTTTACATATTGCTAAAATCCAGGCTTATGTCCACACACAAATAGTTGGAGGCATTGTACTGGTGAAAGAGCAAATAAGGTAAGTGAATTAATAGTCAACGGCCCACATGCAGACAATGAGTCACAATAACGTGGCTGAAGATATGATGACCAAACCACACACCTCAAGATGAAGAGACGACGACGCTTCGGTCTGTCCTGGACAATTATCAAGTATGATTGTGATAGGAGTGAGATTGATGAAGATTAAGCCACCCAAGAGGTGGTATGGCCATAAAAAAAACGTAAAGGAGAGTGAGGGATGTCGTTTAAGATTCAGCTACTAAGAACAAAAAGTTCTAAGCAGCACGGGCTATGATGAGCCTATAGTGGACTTATCTGGCACAGGAGCGGGGCTGTTACTGGAGCCATTAACAGTGAGTTGCTGTTTTAGATTCAGCTTCTGAGAACAAAAAGTTCCAGTAGCACGGGCTATGGTGAGCCCGGACGTGGAGGTTCTTTGGAACCATTATCAGTATCAATAGCTGATACTAGAGATCTGGCGATGGATGGGGTCTTCATGGTGATTTTCAGCCCTGGAGGGCTGGCTGTATCAGTTATGGAGCTTGTGGGGTTAGTGTAGACCTCTAGGTTTTCCATTTTTTCTTTGCCTGAGACTTTGGCTGAGCCTTGCTATCATTGGAGTTTGGTGAGGTGGCCACTGTGAGTCCATGAGGAGGAAAACACCACATTCCGAACCGAATAGATGTTGTATTTGTGGTGCGTCGGTGGGGCTCCTACTAAGATTTCCTCGTCTGAGGAGTCTGTAATCTCCTTTGTTGGTGTTTTTGTCTTTCGCCTTGCAGCCTTAGGTAAGCTCAGGTGTTATGAATTGGTGGTAGAAGCTATTTCAGGAGCATTGGTAGGGCTGTTAGCATTTGTAGACAGCACATCTGCTAGTGCAGCTGCTGAAATGGTGATGGGAGGAGTGTTGGTAGCTGGAGAGGGAATTACCTCTTGTTTGTGCCGCCTGGGTTTTGGGTGGTTCAGGAGTCTATGTTGAAATCGACCTCGTGGTCGTCCTGGTGGTAGTCTCCGGAGTGGTAGTGGAGGCAGTGAGACTTGCGTCAGGGGCTATGATGGGGTCCAGGCCATTGGCTAGGTATAATATGTTCAGTTCACTGACAAAATGGTGGTTGTCTGGCTAGTCTAATAAATAAGACCAGAAATAATGCCTGCACGTGATGCAGGGAATGCAGGGATTCTTCCAACCGCACGGGGAGGTTTCTATAGATCATTGCTCCTCGTGCCTCTTCTGAGGGGGGCCAGGTTCTGGCTCGTGGTCCCTGGTAGGCCTAGAACTCCATTCAGATTGATTGATGCCAAAGTCTAATATATCCATATCAGCCTGGATAGCTCCAAGGAGCCAAAGGGTCTCCCCCCAGAAAATGGCACTAATGGATTGAGTCACAGATTGAGTTATGAGGCATGCTAATAATAGACACTAAACAGAGCTAGTAAGCATTAAATGTTGATTCAATAATGGCAAAATTTAGATTTTTCTTGCAAATATGAACACTAAGAAATATAAAAACCAGAAGGTTGAACTACTGTGTTCCGGTTACTAATGACTGACCTTGAAATTTAGTGCAGACCAAAACTTCCTATGTACATCAACAACACTGGCCAGTGATTCTATAGCACTAGTACAAGGCATTAAATTTTGAGCTAGAGGGAGAAGAGGGTCTCCCAGGAGAGCCTTGACACACATGGTCATGCAGTAACTGATGCTGTTCAGGTTGTAGCCACCTTCCAGGGCGATAATGACTCGACCCTCTGCCAGGCACGTCAACATCTTCGTCATGTGTCCAAAACACTCTGGTGTCACATTGCATCCTGAAAGTCATGACATGTTAAAGTAACACAATGCACTTTATTGTATATTTTAATGAACATCAGGTAAATACATCATTAATTGATAATTATTTACTTAAGTTATGCCAAACATTTATTGCAGTTCGCTGCAGCTTGCATATAACGTTGTTAAACAATTTAGAAATTTAGGTATAGTCTTGTTAGGCTCATTGCCTTTATCTCATTTTCAACTCATGTGATTGGCAGTATTATAAGTAGACTTTACACAAACACAACAGCATACAGATTAATAACTACAATATTCTTCATATAATATTAGTATTAATTTTTTTTTCATTAAATTTGTCCAGATCTGTTCCCTTGGCAGCACAGCTCCACCAACTCATGCACTAGACTTAGCTGCATTTCTAATAAGCCAAGAGCTAAAAACTAATCCACTAGCTAGAGCAACAATTAGACACATGTTACCTTGATGGTTATAAGTCTTTTAAAAGGAAACAGCCACAATAACTTATCAGTATGCTCACCACCAAGAGGATCTCCAACAGCACAATCAAATCCAGCTGAGACCAGCACCAGCTGGGGCTTGAACTGGTAAGCAATAGGAAGCACAACCTGGACCATGGCTGCCATGTAGTCACCATCACCCATCCCTCCCTAAAGATATACAGTATTAACAAAAATAAATTTAAATATGAAATGAAGTAAATTTGTTGCATTATATACAGTAGATTCCTGGGTTTGTGTGTCGAGATTTAACAATCTCTACTTCTGCAAGGGGGTAAATATCATGCGTTGAATGTAATGAATCACCTTATTCTTGACAGCCTCAGTAGCTTCCTAGAGCATTGATTCTGGTACCATACACATCCACAAAACTATCAGGCCTACTGAACACTGAGCCTCGAGTTTCGTCCTGTTTCGTTCAGACCAAAGACAGGTTTCTCACAGTTGGACAACAAAGTCACAAGGAATGCAAACCCCCATATAGCTAAAAATGAAAATAAGAGTTGGTTCTGACAGGAAAGTAGTAATATGTCTTCAATGCAGCATGAGAGAACTTTATTAAGGTGTTTACAAAAATCTGAATGAGGACTTCAAGATACAGTAATTTGCATGGCTGACATCGGACCAGTACATTGGAACCTCAGTTTTCAAATTTTATCCGTTCCCAGAGACGATTCGTAAACTGAAAATCAATAAACTGAAACAAATTTTCCCATAAGAAATAATGTAAATTGAATTAATCCATTCCACACTCCCAAAAATATTAACTTTAAAATACATTTCATACATAATACTACAAATATTTTGTACTACAGTATGTACAAGATAAAACTCACCTTTATTGATGATTTGTTGGTGTATGGAAGATGGTGAGGAAGGAGGGGGGGGGAGTTATCTTGAGGTTATCTTGAGATGATTTCGGGGCCTAGTGTCCCGCGGCCAGGTCCTCGACCAGGCCTCTTTTTTGTTACACATCCCCAGGAAGCAGCCCATAGCAGCTGTCTAACTCCCAGGTACCTATTTACTGCTAGGTAACAGGGGCATCAGGGTGAAAGAAACATTTTGCCCATTTGTCTCTGCCTCCACCAGAGATCAAACCAGGACTTCGAATCCGAAGCGCTGTCCACCCAGCTGTCAGGCGCCCGACAGCTTTCCTCCTCCCATGTCAGGGAAGGAGGAAAGGTGTTAGTGTTTGAAAGGGGGAGTCCCCTTCCATGATAACATCAGGCAGTGATAACTTCTCTGGGGTACTCTCTTTCCTACATTTTGCGCGCATACCACTAGGACCTGGTTGTGGCTCACTGTTTGCTTGTCTTACTAAGAATCTGTCTAAAGACACTTGTTTTTTCCTACAATTTAACACTTGTCTGTAGTGAGACATCACATTGTCATTAAAAAGGCCAATGCAATGGCCTGCTACAGCTTTATCTGGGTGAGTCTTTTCAGTTCTTCCCATACTTCACACATTTTCTTAATGAGGGGCATCTTCTACTGCCTCTACTCACCACTATTTTCTTAGGTTGCACTTTAAGACTGACTTTCTTCATACCCACGGCATGATATATAATAATTACTTTTATGTTCAGAAACTTAAAAAGCACAAAAACAATTAACTTCTTCATAAAGAATTCAAGCACAGTCGTCACTGGGACAGGACACTGGTAAACTGAAGCGCACCTCGCTGTGCAACCAGGAACCACGCACTCAGTCGTCCCATACGTGTATCAACAAACTTGCCAAGTGAGGTAAAACTCGTCAACAGAGTTGAATTTTACGAAGTAATTGAACTCGTAATCCAAAAAATTTGTAAAGAGGGGCAATCATCAACCGAGGTTCCACTGTTCTAGAATACTCATCATTGGCATGGAATTAACACCTCATAAAGCACAAAAAGAATTAAAAAAATGACAAGGTTTGCAATGAGACTAGTATACAAAAAAAAAAAAGAACTTCTGCCATAGAACACTGGAACACACACACTTCAGCCGCAGCACTGTGCACTGCACACTTCAGCCGCAGCACTGTGCACTGCACACTTCAGCCGCAGCACTGTGCACTGCACACTTCAGCCGCAGCACTCTGGAACACACACACACTTCAGCCGCAGCCCTCTACCACATGTACTTGTCACCCAAGAGCTCAACATTCTACTCTCTTTCATGCATCCAAATCACAGACCTTAATAAAGCATACCTCTTACACACTTAAATGGCTTGTTTGTACTTTTGTGGATCTTATTTATGAATTTTACATTTACAGTTATCAAATTATTAGTCACTGCTCTTACAAGGTTTTAGACACAAACATTTCCTCCTCTTTAATAAAGATATCATCCTACATACTTATTTATGGATATGCATAGCCAAAAATAAAAACAAAATTGTGTTCATGTACTACACCTTATTCCATGGAATGTTCACGTTATATCCTTTCCCTTCCTTGGTGCCCACCCTATCGTAGTTACCGGCGGAAGTGCCGGGGAAGAACTTTCCGTTATCATAGCGATGGATTGATATATAGAGGACCTGTGGGTCTGACTCAAACATATGCTGGATCCCATTGCCATGATGGACATCCCAGTCCAAGATTAATATCCTGTGGGACACAAATCACATAAAATAATTAAACTTACAAGAAAGTGACCTCTAAACTTTTCAAGTACTGTATAGCATATCAGATTTATTTTCCAGATTAATATACAACTCACAAATCCACTGTTTTTGGTCTCAATTCAGTGCATTTAGAATGTTGTTATTATAGCATCTATTGGTAGTTACTGGAAGGCAGCTAAGCTCATGGTGCTCCAACTTTACAAAAGGCTACAGTATGTTGTTATAAATACAGTAATGTTAAAACTGCTAGTGTTTCTGATTCACAAGCTTCTCCTGGAGTTATTTCAGCTACATACAGTAATATGAGAACATTTTGGAGCAGTGCGGTGAAACTAAATTCACAACTCTGGTCACCCAAGACCAGAAATATTTTCATAGATATATCACACTACCTCTATTGGGATTTCATTGTGCATCTACAGAATCACTCAATTCGTTAAAGAAATCATCAATATTACCCCATTTCCCACTTTCATAGGAATAAGAGAGGCATAGGGAGACTGGAGAAAAAACGAGTGGAGTAAAAGTAAAAGATATGGAATAAAAAGGACCAACATGTAATCCACAGAAACCCTGCCCCACCTGTCAGCTACTGGAACAGGTTAGGTAATTTAGCAATACATTTTCCCAGAACATGATCCCATTCATCCTTTGCACTTCATTGTTCATGGTGATGTATGGAGTTTTTCCAAAGCTAGACTTGGATTCGCCTTGAACCTACATAGTGTGTGTATACATGTGGATTCGAGTGTGTATAAGTGCATGTATGCATATGTGTATGTACATGTGTTTATATCCATACATGCATTTGTGTGTTTTATTCCCCATACTATGGTATGATATATAAAGCTCTTTGGTCATATTAAAATCATCTAACCTCTGCAATCCATGAGTGTTGATGGCATGTTTGGCAGCAAGAGCCACATTGTTGTAGAAGCAAAAGCCATAAGGCTTATTCCTCTCAGCATGGTGGCCAGGGGGACGGATCACTGCAACACCACGATGACTTTCGCCTGATACAACACTGTCCACAACCTAATGACCAAGGACTCCCATCAATGTCCAATATACAGTTAATATTGAAGTACAGTACATATATATTCTCCTCTGTGATTCAGCTGCCTTTGATCTATATTATATTTCAGTATTTACATATACAGTATAAAATTTATAGTTCTTATAATTCAACACTAACAATTTAGCTTGTTACAGCCACAATTACCCTATACATTATATAATTATTGTAGTTTTAAAAATTTTTCATGCTAAGCTAAAACATCTGGATTGTTTTATGTCTAACTACAGTATAAAGGATTAAAAGTTACCGCAACTAGAGAGCCAGCGGCCAAAAGAGCAGTGTTGTTGGTGCGGCGATGAAGATAGATGGAATCATATTTATTCTGCAAGTACTGAAGATCTTGAGGTTTCTTAGCATTCAGGGATGACATGAAGTTGATGTGTTTCGAACTATGTACAGTTTCCAGTTCACTTTCTGATGCTATCCTTGCCTAAGGAAGTGAAAGAAGTTGACCACTTTGAATTGCACTCCTAAAGTTGCTAGGTGAACAAGAGCATTAGGCAATAGGAAAAGTGCCCAACCATTTCTTTCCACCTCGAATCTGAACCCAGAATTCCTGACTGTATTTACTACTGAAACCCATTTATTTTTATAAATTTTCCAAATTATAAATGTACATCCATTTATGAATAAAGTTTTTGATTTGTTATGATTTGATTTGAATAATAAAAGTCAAAACATCTTGATGTGCATGTTCTCTACTCAATTAGTTTGATACATAGGAAATGTAATTTTTTTGCCACAGAATGTCAGAAACTTGTATTACAACTACAGTACTTTATTTTAAATATTACAAAAACTAATTTAACAAAGGGTGAAGAACACAAGATGATATTCAAAATACAGTATTGTAATACTGTAATATAAGAAAGCTCCCTCAATAGTATTTAGGTCACATGAAAATATAACACTACAAAGATTCCAAGATATTCATCCTATATTATACTCCAAAGTTTGTGAAGTGTATTAATTACAAAGAAGTCTTCTATTACCTTGATCTGATGACATCGGCCAACAATGCCAAACTCTTGCAAGCACTTATAAATTGAGCTTATTCTCTCTGGCCTCTCAGGATATGTCTCATCTTCATAGTTGAAGTGTTCCATCATTAAGTCATCATAAACAAGACATACTGTATGCTTTGGCCTTGGGATATTCCCACCTATCAAGGAAACACACACATTATTATATTTTCTTGCATGTATTTATGTAGTACATGTACTGTATATAACAGTACACAATATAAAAGTGTACTTTGTTTCCTTTTCCATATGGTTATTTCCACTTGTGTATACAGCGGCTTTCTGCTCCAAATAAACTTCCTATAATGTCACATTAGATGAAACAAAGATTATGATCAGGATGGTGTTCCATAATAACAGATTAGTTATTCAGAAAAAAAAAACACAAATTAGCTAATTGAATGGTCTGAGCTCAGGAATGCCATCAAAACAGGCAAGATAAAGGAGGCAGAAGTGCACTCATGTTCACTTATGCCTGAATTCAAAGTACACTATGAATCCAGTTTAGAAGCAAGCCAATACTGTATTGAGAAGGACAGAGCAAGTAGAAGGCAGACTAAAAATGTTGGAGTTTCATGGGTGATGCTCAAGAATCTCTGAGAGAACACTCATCCTTGTCTTGTTAAAAAAAAAGCCAGTATTGAATGTGATGAAACACCTCTTTCTGGTTAAGCCTGATTGGCTCCCTACAGATATATATATAGTTACACTGACGTATCTCCACACACGAGGTAAATTATTCCTAAGAGTTTGTAATAAACCTACTGGAGACCAGAGCTAGAACACGGCCCTCCCTCACAGAGGCGTAGGTAGAAAAGGGATTGTTACGATTACCCTCACCAAGGAAACATCTAGAAAGTAAGTGAAGCAAAACTGACAATTGTAAGGCTCACCGAGAAAAAAAAATGAAGCAAGGAAAATCTGCAACTACCTTCCAAAGGAAGGGAGCAGCAACTTGGTCAAAGCTGCCAAAACCAAAATTACAGGTAATAAGATAATCATACCCGGCTTCAAAGCCAACACACCCAGGCCGCCCCAGAGCGACCTAGATGTGTTGGGAAAACAAAACAAATTTGCAGGCCACAAAAATTTTTGACGCTTGCAAAACAAATTTCAAGAAAAGCTTTAAAGTAGTCAGTTATGAGGCATATGTAAAGTGTTTATTTATAAAAGAAAGGGTGGCAGCTGGAATTGCAAGCAAAACAGCAATGTTTTTGAGGGCAGGCTTCCTGCCCATCAGAAACGGTTTAAAGCCCAAGCACTGAACCCGAGAGCAAGGCAGACTTCCATTCAACCCTGGAGCAACAAAGTCCCCTCATAAAATTCCTATGCAGCAATATGAAACATGGAAAGGCCAGAAGTGGCTAAGTCTTACTAAAAATGTCAGACAAGGCAAATAATGAGTGATGTAAATTAAAATGTCACAAATTTTGACAAAAGCATCTGGAAAACCCTGCACCCCAACCACCATGTATTGGGGTGCTTTATTGGGCTTTAACAAAAATGCTCATTAGCAAATTTGAACAGTAGAAATATCCATCTGGAATTACCCTCACCAGACACCATCTTGCTAGGAAACATCATACATATGCCAGGTGAACTCAACATGGATAAGGTAGACAAAGTATAGGAGATTTGAACAAATCCACGAGGGCTGTGATGAGGGTTCGAACCTACGTCTGAGATGATCATGATTTCTGTGTGTATAGGACATTTAATTTCACTTCTGTAGCTGGACAACTACCAGAAACAGGGAAATTATGATGATCCAGCAACAGGGAACTTGGAAAAAGCCTCATACCAAACCTCCATCCTACAAAACAGTTGATGCAACACCCTTAGATCATAGCATGGCCAGTGGGATAACCCCTGCTTCAGATGGGACAACCAAAGGCCAAGGCAGATATTAAGATACACTAGGCAAAACTATGAGAGAAGGAACAAATCTCTCCCACATAAAAAAAAAAAAAGGCAGAAAAACCGGACTGATCCTTGCCTCGTGGAAGTGGTGCCTCTGTAACAATTACTGGGAACTCAGTAATGTCAGTACAGTACCTTGCCGAATCACTAACCTATTCTGCACATTTAGGACTCTTCCCACATACTGCATAGCACCACCATCTTCTAAAATATTAACTTGGTCTCTGTTTTCAATCAAATATCAGTAGAACCAGCTGACATCCCAAAATCTGTAATCACTCTTCCCCTTGATATGCTTAATTAGCTAAATGTGAACAATAGTCTGTGTGCCCATTGAGCAAACTGCCCAAACCTACCAGTACAAGTATTTCATCTATCTGGCTGTCCAGGGCTTTCCTCACTGCTATGGCAAAAATCAACGACAATCTGGTGGCCAAATGTTTCCTATAGGAACATCTGCTCGTCACATTTCTAGAAAAATATAGTCAGCAGATCAATCCTGTGAAATGCTCAGTGCTCAATTTGAATTCCAGGAGTGCAATGTATCATCTGCAGGCATTCAACCTCTGGAGGGAAAACTAAAACTAAGAATTCTCACACTTATAGTCAGTCTCATTACCTACCCAGTCTGCCTCTCACCTTGTGCCTGATATAAATATGGGAAACTAAGACATCGCAACCATTCAGTTTCTTATCTCATCTGGGAGGTCTACTTCTCACATAGCATCCTTTGTAAACATTGAGGCTCCTATCGCTGCACGAGCTCATTTCTTAGCCATCATCGTTCTACATCTGACTATCATCACTTCTTGTATTACTGTCTTTTTTACCCTTCTGACTGACAGTCCTGATAGATTACTATAATCTTGCCTCCTGACAGCAGTCTGATGTTACTGTGGTACCTTATAATACATTAGTGTATAGTGTACTTTAATGGAAAAGTGAGTAAGAAAACATGATGTTTAGAACCAATGACTCAGACCATATAGATTCAGAAGTGCAATCACTGAACAACTGTTTCTTACTTTAAATAAAATTAAATAAAGCACTGTATGAAGGCTTTGCATGAAGCCACTGACGTTGAGAATAAGATGGTCGTTTGGGAAAGCAGAGAAGAGGCTCATCTGCACACAATTATAGAAATCTGCAAAGCTTATTAGGTACTCAATCAAAACTAATAATGAAATGTATATATTAATTTGTAACATTTCATTATATATTCTTTTTATTTACTCAAGACATAGAAACACACTTTTCTTTTCAAAATTCCTATTAAATGTGAAAAGTGAAACCTTTTATTTAACTTGACGCATAAATATTGGGGTTTCAAGTCTTGGGAATTTCCATGCAATGCCCAATGTAATGCTAAAATAACTAGTGACCTCATAAAGTTTGAATATCTACTGTACTTTACCCAGTCTTTGGAGTTGGAAGTAGTGCTCTTCCTGTGGCTTGATGATGGGAGAAGAGTTCACTTTTGGTTTACATGCAACAGCTGAAGTTTGAGCATGACGCATTAAGCTGCCCCATTTAGCTCTCTGTGCACTTATTACATTAATAATTGCTTGCTTTGCTTCTGAGGAGTAATCACTTGTTGGAAATGCCATGGGTTCAGAGGGCTCATCCTTGAGTACACGTAATGTGGCGGCCACTCCTTCTGCCAAAGGATTTTTGCATCTTCCAACCTCTATTATCACTGCAATCTTGCCCTGTGCTAATGGCATCAGCAAACCTGTTAGATGTGAATAAATTACCGGATGAAAATGTCCAGAGTGTAGCGATAGTTCATATCCAGCTGAGATAATGACTAATTCTGGAGAAAATTCATATGCTACTGGTAGAAGCAGCTGATGAAAGACTGAATAATAATCTTCACTCCGAAAGATGGGACAGTTTAGCTTGACATTAAAATTATAACTGTCATCTTCTAGTTCTCCTGTTTCACCCGCTACATTTTCCTCTGGGTGTTGATTGCTGTGTAGGTGCATAGAAAACACCAAGACTCGTGGCTCACCATAGAAGAGATGCTGGGTATTAATCTCATGCTGGCCATCCCAATCAATTATTAGCACCCGACTAAGTCCCAAGTTATCTAATGCAAAGCGAACTCCAATAGCAGTGTTATTCAAATGGGTGTTGGGAGTTGCATTATTTTCTGACACCAAATGACCTGAAGACTGTATAATAGCCAAACCATTTTGAGCTTTGCCTAATACAATTTCTTGAATCAATTCCACTGTACTTCCAGCAGCAGTCAAGATATCATCTCCAATTACAGGATGATAGATGCCCTTTCTTGTACCTCCTGGGATGTTCTTAAGTGTTTCCTCTTTGTGAACAGCCAATATCTCTGCCTCAGTGGCAGGTCTTGGCTGAAGTCTAGTGCACGTCTCTAACAATTGCAGCTCACTACATCGTTCAATGATTGCTTTAATATTTCCGGGACCTTGCATATATTCCCCACTGCTAATCTCACAGTACTCCTCATTGGATATAATTGCAGTTGAACGCTTTATCTTATCAATGCTGTCTGCAGCAGCACGCAACGCTCCTTCACCCAAAGATCTTCTGGAACGTGTAGGAGTTCGTGATATTTTTTGTCTTACACTATCAGCTTCTTGTTTACCTGATCTACCACTTGGCTTCTTAGATTGTCTACTTGCAGAACTCTGATTAATTTTTGTCTGTGGTGGCGCTTTAACAGCATTAAGATTTATATCAGAACCTTTTGCATTCTTTATACCATTCTTCTTTCTATCAACTGAAAGATTCTCTTTATCGGCAGTTCGTGATCTTACAGAAACTTGAGGGCTTGAATTCACTTCCATTTTTTCTGAATGTGATTTGGTTTCAGTTTCATTAAACCCCACAAGAATAGAAGCTGCACCATCACATAGAATCTTCTCTTTGGTCTTTTCTGGTGAAGAAGGAGCAGTGATAAATGGAGGGGTACTTGTGGATGGAGTTGAGACAGGAGAGGTAGTGGAAGATGATGAGGCCTCTGAACCTGATGCCCCAGATTCAACTGCTTGTGCTCCACCTCCAAATCCTTGACAAAGAACATCCTCTAATGGCAGCTCAACCTGACAACAAAACATATAGACATAATATCTCGGATGAATTTCACCAATGTTGTATGCATTCAGTTAAGAGATTAGAAATAAGCTAATATACTTTAATATGATTTTAAAAGTTGTTAATTCTTTATGTCAGTGGTTTTCAGTGTGGATTATGATCTACCACTAGGAAGTGGATTATTTATCATTACATCATTAGGTAATATGATTCAATGATGTTATTAAATTATTGACCAATAAATAGTAACAAAGATCATAGAAGATAAAGGATGCAAAGCTAAAACAAAGCAGTTAGTCTTCATTCCCTATTGGTAAAGCTTTGTAAAATTTAAAGAGAACAATTACTCTAAAACCAAATGAATTTCATACACATATCCACTATATATATTTTGTAAATAAAGACTGAAGACAGATAAGTAGCCATGAATATCATGACTCACCTGGAAGGAAAGAGCAGACCAATATTTTGAGTGAGTCTTAATAACGTCATTGATGGTCTGCACAGCGCCTTTATTTGGGACAAGTGATGCGTCTAGCATGGGCAGTGGGTCACCTAAGAGTGCCTTAGCACACATAGTCATGCAGTAGCTGATGGTGTTGAGGTTATAGCCCCCTTCAAGTGCCATCACAATTTTACCACCAGCTAGACTTGATAGAAGATGTGTCATATGTCCGTAACATTCCGGGGTGACGTGGCATCCTGTGAATTAAACATTTATGTTTGTAATTTATCAACAAAAATATCATTAATGAAACACCAATTTCTGGGTGAACCCCGGTGGCTCCTGGAAGTTACCGTCTCCGATAAGGGTGCCATCAGTTGTGGAGTTCTATGGTCTAGTGAGGACCAAGAACCAGAACCTGGCCACCTCACAGAGGCGCAGGGAGTTGTGGCTTTTATGTATTATGTTATTCATTTATACCACCAACAAAGTAGGCACTCAGAAAGTCAGCGAGTCAAAAGGAACCACAGCCGAGACCCGCAGCCGAGACAACAGCCATAGAACTCCCAAAACTATACAAACAAATGATTGAAAATGTCATAAAACATGCCCGCTTGTTCACTCCACTCTTCCCCTCATTTGGGGGAAAGAGGGGGGCAAGCCACGGCTCACAAATCCCTCGACCGTCAGTTCGACAAAGACGTAAATATGTACAGTATACCCGAATCCCTCAGGGAGGGAGGGAGTCAGGGAGCCACTGGGTCTCACCCAGAAATTGGCATTTCATTACATTCAACACTGGTTTTCTGGGAGAAACTGCTTGTGGCTTCCTGAAGCTAACTACCCACAGAGAAGGAAACAAATGGGCACTTACCAGAGAGCACCACAGGAGTCAGAAAAAGCAGAGATAGTTGGACGTGAAAGCTGACCCATGGCCACACGAGCGCTGAGGCCCGGGAACATTAACCAGGTACCCGTTGCCAGAACCCTTTTTGACCTTCAGAACCCCTATGATCGAATACGAGCCCAGGACATATTAGCAAAAACAACCGAAAGAGCAGTATTATTACGGACGTCATAGACATGAGGGTAGAACACAGGCTAGCAAGACTCTATGACACTGCAGATGACCTGAGAAAGACAAGCCTAGAGACAAGGAACCAAGGAAACATGATCAAACCACGAGGCATCCACCGAAACAAAAGCAGTGGCACAAAGGTAGCAGCAGATAACCACTATCAGTTACAAAACATGATGCACTCCCAGCCGAACCAACCAAGCAACGACTACCGCTGGACCCCTCCGGAAGCTGACTCATTCTTTGCCAGAAAAGGAGGAGCTGACTGAAGATGAACAAATCGCCCCCCAAAGCTGAAAAAACAAAAATCTCAGCGCTGAAGAAAACCATGAAGCTCCCAACATGGTAACTGGAAGCCAGGGAAACCAATTAGAGAACTTTGAGAAAACAGTCCCAGACTGAAGGAGACACCATAAACCGAGTGGATGACAGAAAACGGAGCACCCGCTCCAGAGACCAACCAGGTTTTGGCGGCACATGAGCAATGCAGAGGTGAAACAATGAACGAGACAATCCGCGTAACAGAGCCGAGGAAGTATCAACCCCGAATGCAAGCTGCAGCAGCTCCACTAGTGTCGCATGATACAAGGTGACAGTATTCAGCACAAAATGCTGATAAAAAATAACCAGAATAAGAGAGAAAGAACCACCCACTTGGAAACAGGAGAACAACACCTAAAGAGATAAGAAGTGACAAAACAACTGCCAAAAAACTTCATACTGCTGCCTTGAGGAAACTCACAGGTGGGACAAAGTAGCCATAAAAATGGCAATACACTAGGGCCAGAGCAATAGTGGTAGACCCGACCCCAGTTGCACATCAGAGAACTAAAGGTGGTGTGGCTTGCGAGCCACGTCCTGCCATCCCCTCCTCCTCCCAAACAAAGGAGAGGGTGGAGTGAATGAGTAGGCACTAGCTTCATGACATTTCGGTTGTTTGTTTACATAGATTGGGGACTTCTATGGTCGTTTTCAAAACTGCAGGTCTTTGAGCTGTGGTTTTGACTTTCTGGGTGCCTTCCTCAGTGGTGGCATAAATAACTTAATATATAATTGCCACGTCTCCCCGCATCTCTGTGAGGTGCCAGGTTTTGGCTGTTGGTCCTAAGTAGGCTGTAGAACTCTGCAAATGATGGCATCTACATTAGATATATTACCTTCAGGGAGCCACAAGGGGCTCTTTCCAGAATATCTTATGCAGTATAATAATAATAATAATAATAATAATAATCATACAAAAATATACTAGATATCATTCCATTGCCTAAGTATCTAGAAAGGTATCTCTCGGGTAACATATTTCAGAATATAAAGAAGGCTGTACAATGAGTGTAGGCTAGTCAGCACACACAACAGTTCATGCCTGCATCCACACATGAAGGAATGATCGAACATCTTGTGTATAACACATAGGTACCTGGGAGAAGTATAACGTTCTTAGATAAGAACTACAATATCTATTTGGGTGAATACAGTATTTTAATTTCTTCTCCTGGCAAGTGAGAGAGAAAAGTTCTTAAATAACTTAAAAATCTCAGTAACTAACAAATCCTGGTTCTCTTGGCATGATGATGCTGAGTATATCACTTCATACACAAACTATGCTTGGGATAACAACACTTTAAATGATTACATAAAGGTTTGCATCATATACACTTCATACTACAGTTGTCTATATATGCTCAGCTCACTTATCTGTCATGGATAACAAAAACTTTCTAGATTTGCCTGGAATGGAATTTAATAAACATGTATAAGGCATTAAAAAAAAGCAAAGGGTGTGCTAATGACATGTGAGGAAAAACACTGTCCTACCTCCCAGTGGGTCACCGCGAGCAGCATCAAAGCCAGCTGAGACCAGGACCAGCTGGGGATCATACTGGTAGGCAATGGGCAACACCACCTGCAGCATCACTGAGATGTATTCAGCATCTCCCATACCACTCTAAAACATAACATTAACCTGGCATATAAAATACAGCTTATAAAATGTATGACGTATGTTTAATTGATGCTGGGATTTATTTATATTTAAACACTGAAAATATGTCATCTAAAAGCAAAGTCATCAACAAATTTACATTTATAATAACTAAAAGGTCACAATACTATGACTAGAAAAAACACCACACTCACATAATTTTTCACATCTAATATGTAGATTGTTTATTTACAAAAAATACTGTATTAGATTTACCTCTAAACAGCTGTTTTTTGACAATTATATTAAACAACACACTACAGTAACACAAAATTGCAGTTCACATGCTGAACTCTTCCAAGTACAGTACAGTGGAACCTCAAAAATACAGACTTCAATATACAGATAACCTTAAAACTTCCCAAAGAATTTGCTACTGGAACAATTTTATCAGTCTGGAGCAGAAGACAAATTTTCAATCTGCACAGCAAATCTGGGTTGACCCGGTATCAGAATAAGTGATTACATTTGTTCCTATTTTAATGCCTTTAATATGAAATAATTTAAATGTCAGGTTTCAAGTTAATATGAAAAATTCCTTTCCGAGCAAGACACTCCAAAATCGGTGGAGGTCTCTTTGGACAGGATTACAATAATCAGGCCAGGTGATGTTTCACGTTGATGCAGCCGGGAACTTTTCAATGAACCTGTTAAATCCCATTGGTGCTAGAGAGGTATTGAGAAAAGCTCAGGTCAACCCAGACTACAGAAAGTTCACCAAAACACTCAAAACTTTTTCTATGTTCTACCCGGAACCACAATCACCAGCAAGAAGTGCTCTCACAACCCACCAGCTGTCTACCTGGCCACTGCCTCCGTCACCAGGTGGAGCCCACCCCCACGAACCATTATGTCCCAGACACTCCTATATGATTAATATATTTTCAGTGAATTTAGTTGCTTAATTTATTATCTAGTACAAGCTTTTGTGAATTTGTGACATTTTGTTAAGATTGCTAAAGTGTTTTCCCAACACTTTTTACCTCTAATTATTTCTGTAATTGACAGTTTATTATGCTTCTCCTCCAGATACATGCCCATACTTCAACCTTCTAAGAGTTTAAATCCACATGGAACAGGAAAAACTTGCTACAGTTGCCAAAGAACAGTAAACTTACCATAGTGTAGATTTTTGAGGTTCCTATGTGTTACATCTTGATTTTCCAAGGCAATGAATAACTGAGCCAATTATGACATACTACAGGGTTAACTGCAATTTCAGCTGTCCCCTGCTTTCAAATTTGATATAACTCTCATATTAGCAAATACAGTATAAGCAATATTTTTTAACTTTTTTTTTTCCCTGATACAATTTTTATTTACGTTTTCTTTGATGATCGACGGTTTTTCGAGTACAGAGCAAAAATGAAAAAGTTAAAAACAAATCCTGTAATACACGACCAGTAACTCTGGACTTCAAAATTGGTGCCTGGACCTGTTATGAGCCAGGCACTCCTAAGATGCTCTCTATGAAAGGTAACATGCAAAATTTGAGAGCACTTATGTGTTGAAAATATAAGTGCTACATGGTATTTTTCTAAGTACTGTACAGTATGCAGATAATGGTATTGTATATCTATGTATAGAAAACGCACGTAAAAACTGTACATGTTATTTGTGTTACTACTCAGGGATTGTCCAAGTGTAATAAAACATACTTAAGAGTACAGCAATATGAAAAATGTCTTTCTCAGCAGATCATTGTGCTGGTCCCCAAAGTTGTACAATGTCCATTGGACACCAACACACACACACACACACACGTCAGGTAGGTCAATATACTGTACTACACTCGAGCTACTGACACCTTTCTAAGCTGTCTCTCCAAGGCCATACAAGTACCAGAGTCACTGGAGAATTCCAGATGCAATGGTCTCTTCCAGTCCATCATGACCAACTGTTAGTATCAAATTTGAAGCCCTATAACACCTTTCCTTCCATCCTTTATCATTACAGGTAACCACCAAAGGAATGCTCTAGTTAATTACCAGTAAAGTACTGTACTAAGAAACCTTGAACAACCTGCCACTACCCATGAGTGCCAGTGAGCTTAAGAAAAGGTTCACAAGCTCATGGGGTGGTTAAACTCAATAGGGAGGAAACAATACCCGGGTGACCTCAGCTACAGAACTGGTTAGACATGCTTCTATTCTTCACTGTGTTTCGTCATGAATAACAAACACTAGGACACAAACAAAGTTGCTCAAGACCTGAGACAAGTCACCAGTTTTGAAATCCCCTGAGCATAGTCTGGGAAAGAAGCCTGGTGCCTTGGCCCGAGTTCTCAGAAAATTTTGACACATGCCTGCCGACTGACACGGGATGCAGTTTGAAATTATGTGAAGGGATGTCAGGTGTGATAACCTGGGTGTGTGTATGGTGTTGCTGCCTGGTAGCAGTCAAGTTAAGATTTCCAAACATGCAAACTGGCCACTAACCACAACACTACCTTAGCAGTTATCTACAATGTCAAGAAGAAGAGGGTTAAAGACAGCTTTATTTTTATAAGAGATCTTCTATTGATCATTTTGGAGTGGAAAGAATTTTCTAGTGACGTCCTATCATCTTAATGACTCTGCAAAGACAGCTTGAAAAGATCCTTGCAGTAGTGTCATTGTCATGCTGCATGATTGCAATAACAATAGCAAAACTTACTTTAGGAAGCATCAGAATGAGAGTGCAGAAACCTTATTCAACACAGTAGTATACCTTTAATGTTCACCCATCTTCACACACCTACCATACAGATAGCTATTCATGTAAAAATATTGTTTAAGCTTAGGTAATGTTACTTATGGTTTACATTTGCTGTGTTGAGACATGTACTGTACTATTTGAGCAACCAAGGTTATTATCCACCAAGATGCCTGTGACATTACTTTCCTTGGATAATCAAGACTTGACTGTACTTGATTCCTAAGTATTACAGTCATAGCTATAAGCAAGACTTTAGCAATCTCTACCATAGCAATACTTCTAAATAAAAAATCTAAATAAAACTAATTAAATTGAGATTATACAGTTTCAAGACAATATGCCTACAGACCAATAATTTGGTTACAGTACTACATTTAAGCCAAGATCAGATTACTAGTTCCTCAGCAAACAACTTTTTGTTTCTATAAGTACAACATTACTTACCACCAGCCTTTCCTGTCTAGGTACCTTTGTAACAAAAATACATACTTTAGTAATCTTGCACATTAACATATGAATATTAACTGATATAAACAACTCATAATTATTAAAATACATACCAATACAATCATTTACAGCACAGTATATCTAAATGTCTCTGGTAATACAGCAGACATCACTTAACCAAATATGCTTATACTGTAAGTGTAATATCTCGAGAACTAACATTAACTGAATTCTGTGTACTGGTATCAGTAAATACATCCAGCCACAACATATTTCATAATAAATAAGCAAAAACTAAGAAAAATTCTAAGGTCATTAATGCAAAAACAATAAATGCTTAAAATAACTGACTAAAAATTCAGGCATTGCAAATGCTGAAGAGCTCATTTCTAAGCACAGGACTCTATTGTTCCTTAAGGCAAGATCCTACTGCTTTCATGGACAGGATCTCAAACAATCAAGGCAGGTCAACACTCGCACCAGTACATCAGTGATCTTTCCAAATGGAATGACCTGCTAAAGATTCACTGTAACAAAGTCAAAGGCTTTCTATGCACCACTTGGCATCATAAGGACGGTCAGACAGCATTCCTCATAAATTATCAAATAGTCAACCTGGCTAATACTTCTGAAGGCTCAGTTGGTAGCACATAGTTGCAACAATAGGGTTCTCTGCCTGAAGGCTAATCATGTTACATACAAATCTCAGGAAAAACCTCCAGAAAACACAAGTTAGACAAAGAAAGAAATGGCCACTCTGAATGCCCACAGATATAAGACTAATGTGATAAAACTCATTTATATGCAGAGCCCTTACTCATTGTTCTCACTGACATAACATCCACAAGGAACTGGACAGAAGCCTTCAAGTATTAACACTTTGGCGTACCCCGCGCGCCACCCTTCAACTATGCGATATGGGACTCAGGGTGTCATGGGAGCGCGTGTAAATTCTGAAAAGTGTATACTCTCTTCAACTTTGTCACCTTAATTCTCGTCCTACGAGATTAAATTTGGTATCATTGTGTTCGCAATAGAATTCTCTACAGCACTAAATGCATATAAACTCCAAAAGCCCGGCTAATTACCCGCAGCAAACAGAGAAAGTGCGAATGAGTTACCCAGGAGCGCGCAAATGCGATAAAATGTTTTCATTATTTTCACTCTGGTCACCTCAATTTTTGTCCTAGGTCTTTCATTTTGGTCTCAATGGGTTCGCAATAGAATTCTCTAGAGGAACATCAGCATATAAAATAAAAAACCTGGTCACGCTCCAACCGCCGACGAGTTGAAGACGGGCCACGCGTTAGCCGCGAGTGAGCGCTCAGATGCCTTCCAGCTACACTCCCAATTCCCTTCCTTTCCAAGCCTTTCTTTCGCAATTTTCTTCCTGGAAGGGCCTTGTTCATGATCACTATCCATCGTGGAGTAAATGTAGATAGTTTCTAAAGCCGCAGTAAGAAATATAGCCACGGAAAATAGACGAAATGTTCACACGTTTGAGATGTGAGGGGAGGCGACATTGGTCACAACAGTGGAGCGAAAACAATGGGCCGACAGCGTGTGCCAAGCCACCTGAGGGCCACGAGGCTCAACAAAGAAAATGGGAAGACATCGGCGCACATTTTAAAACCAGTCCCAAAAATATCGGATAAAAACCTGATTTTTGGCGATTATTTAAAGTGGATGACGCAATGCTGCGTCATCCCCGGTATTACCGCCAGTAAACGGATGACGCAATAATGCTGCGTCATCCCCGGTATTACCGCCAGTAAACGGATGATGCAATGCTGCGTCATGCCCGGGCGAAAGTGTTAATAAGCAATGGGTACACAAATAGAGACGTCAACACCCATATCAGAAGATATTTAGAAAAATGGTATAATGGAGAACTACAACTGTAAAAGCAAGACACCCACTCCCATAAAGCTTTATTACAAATCTACTATGAGCTCACAGTATAAAACAGTAGCTTATCCTTTAGGTAGTACTTATAGAAACGATGAGGACCAACTTACATATATTGATGTAAAAGGCAATTAGAAAGTAGAAATTGATACTACTGTACTGAATTTGGACAAACCCTAAAAATTTTGTACTGATGTTGCAAAGAAAACTTAACCTTACCTAATCTTCCTAGGCCTAATACACACTATCTGAGACCTAATATAGTACATATATTATATACACATGTGCTATACTAGGAATAGGAATATTTGTGTTTGGATTTTTTTTTTACTATAAAGATAACAGCACTGAATTCTACCATCTAATTGTCCATATGTCTATGTATGTATGATAGTTCACACAGTTACACAATGTACTATCTAAACAAGAGAAGGGGTTGAAAACAAAAGAAATAATAATCAAAAATATAATTTCAAATGGAGTGAAACCAACAGCCCCAGACCAAAGATTGGAATTCATTATTTACTACAAAACAAGAAAGACCGCTGATTTAATGTTTAAAAACAGCGCCAGTAAACAATACAACCCTCTCCAAACAATACCAAGCAAATTTGGTACACTGTACCAATTTACATGTCCAAGTGAAGGCCGTCATCTTTGATCTACTTATATTGGTATGACCAGCACAAAGCTTTCAAGAAGACCGACCTGCCATCTACACACTGGTACCCCTAGAAACCATATGCAAATTGTACACAAGACAACACTCACTAGGAACTTAGTTGCATTAACCTTTTTAATGGCAATGTGATGTCTCATTACAGACAATTGTTAAAACATAGGCAAAAACAAGTGTCTTGAAAAGTTCTTAGCAAGACAAACAAGCAGCGAGCCACACCCAGGTCCTAGTGGTACGGCTACAAAATATACGAGAGAATACACCCCAGAAATGTCATCACTGCCTCGTGTTATAATGGCAAGGAACTTCCCATGCAAACACTAACACCTCCCCTCCCCTCCCTCCCTCATCATCTTCCATATGCCAATAAGAGTCCTCAGTGAAGATAACGTGGTGTTAAATGTTCATTTATTTTACTTTCAGTTTGCATTTATTTGTTATTGATTTGTGTATGAAAAACCATGAGTAATATTCTGGATGACAATATTTACACTGAAGACAATATATACACTGGGCAATATATATACCGAGGTCAATATATACACTGAGGACAATATATAAACTGAAAACAATATTTATACTGAACACACTATATACACTGTGTACATGTACATGAGCACAATGTACATGTACACAATACATAAACTGAGGATAATATATACACTGAAGACAGTATATACATTGAGGAAAATATTTAAATTGAAAAAGTGTAGACCAGGCAGAGCATAAACGCCAATTAATATGGAAGCATCCAAATGACATTGTAGATCTATTGCTGTATTTCATTCTGCTATAAAATAGTGTAAGACAAATGAAGTGTCTTGAAGGTCACATTTATTTATACAGTGGCCCTGGAATGCTGGGAATATTTTAGTAACATGTGTTCATACATTTCTTGTCTCGGGTAAATACCTTGTTCCATGGGATGTTGACATTGTATCCTTCCCCGGCTCCAGTGCCAACTTGGTCATAGTTGGCATCTTCAGAAGAAGGAAAGAAGAGACCATGGTCGTAGCGGTGGATGGATATGTAGAGGACTTGTGGATTGGATTCAAAAGAATGCTGGATTCCATTGCCATGATGGACATCCCAGTCCAAGATTAACACACTGAGGTAGGGGAAAAAAATAGAAAACTAAATTTACTTCACAATCTGAATTATGGGGACATTGGAAACCATAAAAGATCTCCATAAAAGTATTATACAGTACGTACACGTACGTACATGTACATACGCATGCGTACACGTACGTACACATAAGTACGTACACGTACGTGTGTGTGTGTGTGTCTATATATATAATGGTAAAAACGGTCATGGTAAAGTCTCTATGAAGAGAGACTTTACCCCCACCTGGCAGGATAACAAAAACAAAAGAAAAACCAACACGAGGACAACGTACCCAGGCGGAAGAGAGCTGGCCGCTATAATAGGTGAAAGCTAGCTGTGCAGTACCCTGCGCCTCTACCAGTGACGAAATCTACCTCCTACCCAGAGGCAAACAAGGGCAACAAGTCCCCAGCTGACTCCAAGGGAGGCCCCAGTACCGAGCCATAAAAAACATAGTGGGGGTAGATCCCAAGGTGACTTGTGAAAGGTGGCCACAAGCCCCAAGGGCAGTACTTACTAGGCACCTAGGGAAGGAAACCCTAGGCCCATGCAGCCCGAGTACTGTAGAATATTACTCCTGGCTCACACCACCTGTAGAGACAGACCATGCCACAAGGCACAGTAATAAACAAAACCGGAGCCAGAGGCACCTGACCAGCCAGTATCACCAAGAACTGCCGGTGGGATCGCCAGCGTGGGAGTCTGGGGGCCCCCCTCCCCCCTCCTGAGGAGGGGGGAGGTTGCGCAGATGGCGGCATGACGACATGATGACGTCATGCTAGTTTGCTAGTTTTTATTTAGGGAGTTCTGTCCACTCGTTCGGCTTTCAATAGCAATATTTTCACTAGAATAGGGGTTTGTTTTGTGGCACCTATCTTTCCGAGTACAAGACCCCGGGCAATGGCAGACATAGAATGCTTCTAACCACACAGGGTTTTCTATAGGCCATTGCTCCTCGTACCTCTCTGAGGAGGCCAGGTTCTGGCTCGTGATCCCTGGTAAGCAAGAACTCCAGGGAGCCGACGGGGCTCCCCCCATAAAATTTCCTTTTAAGTGTTGGATTATGGACCTTAAAGGTAGATTACAGAGACTTCATTGGTTAAATAAATTGTATGGGATTGCTCAGTGTAGAGTTCTGGTGAAATTTTCATGGGTTATCACTTGCCGATGCCAAGTGTTAATCCATTTAAGAATAAATTACAGTCTCACAGATATTGCTCTCAACTAGAGACACATTAACTAGAGGAATAAGTGCATATTAGTAAAATTAATAAAGAATCAAACCCATCACTATAATCCTACTACATAAAAAATCTTGCAAATGGGAATAATGTGTAAAGCAACACAGATTGTGGTGCCAAGAAAATGAGACAGGTGGCAGCAAGTATTAATATAACCATTTAATATTCATGGTGTTGTACAGCACTAAAATATTGCATACCGTTGGTATCCATACTGTTTGAGAGCATACTTGGCAGCAACTGCAACATTGTTATAAAAACAGAAGCCATAAGGATGGTTCCTTTCAGCATGGTGCCCAGGCGGACGCACCACACCAATGCCACCGGCTGTCATACCGCTGCACACACTATCCACAACCTACAGATTAAAAAATATAACTAGGGACACATTCTAATAGTAAAAAGCAATTGAGGTGAAACAATCTACAACAGAATATTAAATGGAATATTTTTTTTAAGATTACTTGGTGAATGAATTTGGTACGATGTATAACTTCCTAGGTGTTAAAGAATAATTATGATAGATTGATAGTAAAGTCAGAATAGACCCGGGGGTCTATTCTGACTTTACTATAATGGGTGAAAATGGCATCTCAGGAAGAAATAACAATGATTTTAGATTAAAAAACTGATGCAATTAAACTATGTATTACTAATACATACATTAAATGTAAAGATATACATATATATGCATGCACCACCTTCCAGCAGTAATCGTAGTACCCGCGAGGGTAACGACCATTAACACCACATAAAATCGAAAGATGTCAAGTAATGAAGAAGAATATATCACATGCAATAATACAGTATGTGACTAACAACAAGGCAAGTGTGAAGGTGCGAGTGGTGACAAACACAAACTTGTGATACATTCATTCATTCATTCCTCGAGTTGCCAACTGGGTCATATTTGAGGCTACAAGGTGAGAGTGTGATGAAAATGTAATGATAGTGATAGTGTTGCCAGTGAGGAGGAAGAGTGAAAGAAGGAAGGATGTGATTATGTTAGCAGCTAGTAACCTGTAAAGCTTATTAAGGTCCCCCTAAGGCAAACTGATGACCTTTACCAGGATGCAATCCACAACCAGTGCTTAATTTCTGGTTACCATTTTACTGCTAATTGAAGAGGCATCAGGTGAAAGGAAACATACTAAACTGGTTCTGTCCCACCAAGGGATCGAACCCGGGACCCATGGTTGAGAGCAAAGGACATAGACCAGAATGCTACAGAATCCTATAATATAGTACAGTATGTTGTCAAGTTTAGCAAAATTTAGTTACTAAAGCTGATGAGAATTTTATTACTGTACTGGGTTTTTTACTGACTGGTGTTAATGATCATATCTTAGTGCTAGTGCTGAAAGCCTTCGTGATGCAGACACAATAAACTTTTTTCTACCTGCTTAATATCACTATGGTTAAGTCGAATGAAATGTACTTAGTGAAAATGAGACAGAAAACATCAATGTTCAACTGTAGTGGTGCCATTGTTGCTCAGTTACAGGAGAATTACGCTAAACCAACATCGTACTTGTCTGGAAACCCAGGGCCAGTTATAGCAAGAGGCATCATCTACCTGACAGACTCTTTGGCAAGTATCTTTGTCTATACAGTAGTACTATAATGACTAGTAAATAGTCAGTGTAGTAAAATATCATAATAGTAAAAATGTAACAGAATAAAAGTACTGTAAAATGCAATTACAAGACTTACATAAATAGTGATACTATACAAGTAAATATATGGTGTGCACATAGTGATAAGCATACATATACATACTGAATAAACGACTGTTTTCGTTAATGACACCCTAATACAGGGAGCTCCTGCTTCACGAACATTCTCCTTACGTACATTCTCCCAGGTCCCCATGTACCCCCTTCATGCATAAAATCATTGTACTAACTCGCTGGAGCATCCCTTTGAATTTCACGGCAGCGCAAACGTCCATGTGGCAGCCAAATGGAGTACAGTATTGTATGGGTGGGGTGAGAGTAGGGTTGGGTGGGATGCATGGGGGGGTGTATGTTTATGTGGGTGGGTGGGTGGGTGTGTGTGTGAGATATCAATTCCACCCCACCCTTCCTGCCCCCAAATAGATAATACTTCATGAACAAACGACTGACGTGGTGCAAATTCATCATTCTTTAACACAGGTTCCCTATTAGCTCTTCCCACCTGTCATTCATAGAATAGGGACTATGTGTGAGTCTGTGAGGCAGGGTGTGTAGGAGTGTTGGAGTGTGGTTTTGACAAGTTGAATGACTGGATTATGATACACTGGTGAGGAGTGTATATTAGAGAGGTTGAAGGAAGGAGACAAAGACTTAAAAAGTGAGTGATAAAATGATTACACGTGTGAGAGGAAGAGGAGAGTAAATGTGAATAGCATATGGGATATGGGGTAAGGGTCAAAGTTGGGTAGAAGCAGCTTGTAAGATGGTGGTGAATGTATTGTAATTAATAAGGAGCACTGTACACCTGGCCCTATGAAGCAGTGAGGTTCTGTTGCAAATGACTACAGTGTAGCAGTGCTTGTTTATTAATGATACAAGTTGTGGATACTATGAATGATCATTTTATATTTGCTATTATTTAATCTCGATACCATTCTTTTAGTACAGTACTGTACATACTCTCAGGCTTTTTCTCTAAGTTGATGCCTCTCGACCTCATGAAAAGGAGAAACTTGGTAATGATAATGTATATATATGTACGAAAAGATTTATACAAGGAAAGCCCAAATATAAATTCTGTTTGTGTGAATTGTTGTTGTTACATAATCAAATTTAATTAATAAAAGAATAGGATATTTAGCACTGTAATGAACAGCAATACAGCTGTACAGAACTTTATTAAAAAATCCTAATATATGTTATCAAAGCAGATATAAAATGAAACATTTGATATATGGGTTACGAATCTAGGTGCTTTACCTGCAGAAGACTACCAACAGCCAGTAGAGCAGCATCATTGCTCATAGAGTGGAAGTAAATAGACTTGTACTTATCCTGCAGAGACTTTAGTTCCTCATCACTTAAAGATCCCATGTTAAACATGAAGTCCACGTGGTCTGTGGTGTGTACAAGTGTCACTTCTTCCCGAGTTGCTCGTCGCGACTGGAAATCAAACGAATGATGGTTTACAATAAAAATGCAGTATAGTGTGTATTGTTACTGAATGAAGAAGTGCTTCAATTAACTATAATTCAGAAAGTTATAATAAGAATGATATCCTAACTTTCAAGAAAATTCTACACATTGAAAAAATTGACCATGTCAAGGTGTAGTGACCTAAGGCATGTGCTTGGGGGTACCCAGAATGTAGGTTCAAACCCTCCACATGGCTCCTACAGATTTTCTCATTGATATATCATGTTAATGTGTATTTTTTGTACACTCTACACACTGAAGTAAAAAAAAACTGGGTAAGTGCCACATGCCTGAAGAATTGATGCTCTCTCTATGATGCCATAACGCTTCAAGTATTCCCAGATTTTTTTTGTCCTTTCAGGTCTTTCTGGATGTTCACTGAAAGAGCAAATTTTTGAACAAATAATTTTTTTTCAAATTTATAGTTATAAATTTACTTATATACTGTACCTTACTTTCATGACCATAAAATTCTTAAAAGTTGTGGTTGGAAGTGGATTACACAACTTCTTCCTTCGATGCAATTCACTTACAATTCTGAGAGTGGGTGATGACGTGAATTTGTGACACTGGATGTATGATGGTGGGCGAGAGAGAGTAGCCCATTCCACCGAGTTGTCACAACGGACAAAATACGGGGAACTAAAATGTGCTAACTCAAGACACCCACCAAACCTAACCAGCCAAAACATAAAAATGTGGATGTCTGTGAGCTGCTACATATTGTAGCACCCTATATTTTGTCCACTGGTGACCATAGCATACAAAATGCAGTGTATTATTTGAGGACAGGTTGGTGTGAGAATGGGGTAGGCAAGAGTGGGAAGTGTGCGCACAGTTGTGAGCCAATGATGTAGCCCACTACACTACTACATAACCTTGTAAGTCTTGAGTAATTACCTAAGTAAAATGTGCTATATAAACATGTGTTATATAAGGGGTCCACTATACTGTGTTTAAAATGCATACATGAAAGAAAATGAGATACTGGCTCGTAATATACTGTATTTAAAATTGTATTTTTTTATACACTCCTGCATGTAGAGAAGTTGGTGTAGTTGGTGATTAATTAAGATGACAGTGATGGCATAGTGGAGCTCCTTGTCTTACCTTCAACATGCAAGGGGTGGGCCAACATTATAGAACAAGTTAAATACTAAATAATCACTTAAACCATTTGTTTAACATATCAAAATTGAAACATGAAAATATATTAATCTCTACTTACAGCTCAGACAAGCTTTTGTGATTACTCATTTCTTCATCATATACCAAGCAGAGCCTATTTTTTGGGACAGGTTTAGTCCTCTCTGGAAAGGATAAAAATATTTCAAGCAACTATGAAACACTATACAGTATACTAAAGATAGTTTATCTACACTAAATTGACACATAACACTTTTGAAAATTGTAGATATATAAACAAACATTTTTTTAATTTGATTAAAAGTCAAAATAAGGAAACAGAGTTAGTGTGTACAGACCAGGGAAAACAAATGGAGTGATAATTACTTGGAAGATAAACTTATGAAAATGACATTCAGCAATAAGCAAGAGGGCAATGAGAAAAAAAATTATAATAATGGAAGATAAATAAATAGAAAAGTAGCATTACTAATTAACTAAAATAAAGTCTGTAAAGACTGCCATATTATAAGGAAATTATCAGCAATATTGCATTGAATATACTGTATAACAAACTTTTCTAAATGCACACGCGAGCAATTCCTCAACTAATTTAGCAATTAAGATCCATAGCTTACCTTTTTGTTTTAACTGAGTCAGTTTTAACCTAATTCTCTCCAAAAACTCAGATGATTGCTCATTATGGATGTCTCTTGTTTGAAATGTGAGAGGTCTGACATCGTGTCCAAAAAATGTTAGAGAAGGCGTATGTCTGTCTTTGATGGACTCGCTGGACTCTTCTCGTGTCGAAAATGACCCCTGGTACTGGAAACATTTCCAATATGCTCGTTGAACGTAGATAAGATTCAGAAGTGACTCACGCAAGCTGCACAGGAGAATGATTATTAATGCTTAAGTGGAGCACATATGTTAGTTCATCCATTTAGTCAAACGAAGTCGAGAGTAGATTATATTTAAGAAATCATTTCACTTGTAAGGGATTTAACAAATCTAATTCAAAGTGATATGCTTATAAATGGAAATGGCACAATAAAGGTGGGCAGAATCCAAACATGTCAGATTAACCCTCAAACAGCATAAATCATATATACTGAACTGTACTGTATATAATTTTGGTCTAACTGCCTGCACAGCACGTATCATATAAATATACAGCATTTTTAAGTACCGCCTAAGATTTAAAAGTCCCACGGGTACATGGGGGGTCACATCAGCTTCCTCAGGGCTCCAGTAAACAGGCACCATTAAAAAAAAAAAAAATCATGGATACCATTCCTAGGTGTGCAAGCCTTGGTACTGAGTGAGCAACCAAGGCTGGTGCATGCAGCACAAGGGAAGCATACCCTTCCATAACTATCTTCACATAGTTATGGAAGGGGTATACATTCTCCGGGATGTAGTGGTTACAATAAAATCAGGTATTACCATTGGACAATGTATTTGTATGATATATAACAAAATAGAGCATAATAATAACATACATACTTAATATTACTTGTGTTATTATGTACTGTATTACTCAGCAATGCTGTAAAGGCACCAGCTGCATATTCACTTTGTGGACACTTCTAACTACTATTCTTCTTCTTTGTGCATCAGACAGGTGCTTGCATTTCCTTATTACTTCATTATCCCTCAGTTCCAGTTAATAGGAAATGTTCTTATCAATAAAACATTCTTCTTTAAACAAAAAAAATTCTAAAATCCATTTCTGAAAATATTAAGATGAAACTTTCTCGACACTGAAGCCAATAAGTTGGAGATTTGTTTAACATTTAATAAAAATTTTCACATAATTCAAATATATTTTCACCCAGCCCCAGCTTATACCCACATTTACAGCCCAGGCTGTAGCAGTGTAAGGGTTAAAGCAGCTAGTCCAGTGTTACTTTTACTTGTTAATAAAATACCTTATTGGTAAAATGTCATCTGTAATAAAGATTACTACTTCCAAATCCAGTTATTCTATATTTTTTATCAGCACTTTGTGTGTGCGTTATTGAATCATCCTGGTTGCAACTGACTGCCAAAAGAGACAGTTTCTAAAAAGTCGGAGGCACCACATTGCTAAGATCTTTAGATATTTATTAGAACGTTACACTAAAGTGCATAATGGGTCTTCCTTACAAACCAGTGACAAACTTTCAAACAGCTTCTTGTTTTATATAAATTAGCACTTGATGGCTACAAACTACAAGCAGATTCATACAGATCAATTATAAAAATGTTGTTTCATCATCAGTACTGAAGTGATGATGATGAAACAGTTCTTTTTTACACAGTTCAAAAGAATCTATTCTTTTAATTATTTTAATACGGAAATAAAAACAAATGTTCCAAAGATGACAATTCTAAGGTCGAGGTTATTGACAGTACCTGGGAGAAGGTTCCATGATTGGATCCAGCAATACAGGACACGAGTCACCAAGTAGCGCACTGAGCGTCATCGCCGTACCCTCTGCTAAGGAGTCCAAGCAATATCCTCCCTGTGAATTAGAAGTTTCATCGTTAGAACTTAGCTTTCCAAGTTATACACAATCACAATCCGAGATGAACACAACATATGTAGCAAATAAAGAGAACATCTAAGAGAAATGTATTATTTACTTCTTGTGTCTTTCAGTCTGGCTTCACCATCTTTCCAAATACTTGGCATTTTATAAATCATTAATTGCCCACCACTTCTATTTTATATTTTTTGACATAACAATGTTTTGTACATCATACAGTACCTCAAAAATTACTGCCACTCTTCCCTGAGCCAGTGTCATTAGACTAGAGGTGAGGTGGGCATAGAAACCTGGTGACACTTCCATCTCTCCCTGCCAAACAAACATGAAATTAGTACATGATGTACACAAGAGTTTCAATATATTAGGAGAGCACACTATTTAGTGAAGGCTATTTTAAATATTTTAAATACACAAATATTTCAGTGAAGGCTCCTGCTATGAATTGGAAATGTAGTAATTGTACAATTTTCAAGCTTTCTCACTCTGCATTCTTGGGGCTTTTTTTTTTTTAATTATCCCCAAAAATATTTCTTACACCTTACACCTGTGTACAGTATATACATTAATAAAAATATTTGGTGTTGCAATTATAATGTTAACTCTGCAAGTTACATAATATCGAGAATATATTAGTTAACACAACTACAAGAAGAAGGAAAAGGCAAGAAATGTGAAATTAATTGCTTTTTGCATTTCTTTCTCAAGGAATCTACAGCTTTGTATAAAGAAAAGTGTGAGTAGTGTGTGAAGTCACGATACTGTGACAATAGTATATGACGGAGTGTGTTAATTGTAAGATATTCTATGAGCAAAATTGTTGGATACCATTAATGCTCTCTCTTTCCAATGCTGTACAAAGTTTATCAAGTGAAATCTAAAGTTGACCTGTCACATAATGGATATACAGTATACCAACAAAACCTGATGATGTAGATATTTACTCGCCATCACCATGTAGAATACAAGACTAAAATATAAGTGTAGTGTACGAGACTAAATTAAAAAGAGCACCCAGTGTAGAATACAAGACTAAATATAAGTGTAGTGTACGAGACTAAATTAAAAAGAGCACCCAGTGTAGAATACAAGACTATAAATAAAAAGAGTACCTGGATTAGTGCACAAGACTACAATAAAAGCATACAAAATAATCAACCATAACAAGACTGGTGCTCTTGGATTTACTCTGCAAAGCAACAATGTTATCAAAAATGTATTTTAACTTACCTTACCATCACCCAACGCAGAATCAAAACCAGATGAGATCAAAACCATCTCTGGTGCAAACTAGAAATGAATAAATATAACCATGTTCATTATTAAGAAAAATCTCTTAACAGCACCTCAGTACATAAGAAAAACTTTCAACAATAAAAACTATTAAAAGGTACAAGAGAACCAAAACATAAGGCCAGATTAAGAACTCATCAACTTGCCAAGGCAGTGTCTAGACTACTGTGAATAAATAATCCCAAATTAGACATTGCTTGATTGGTTAAAATACATCTGGCAAGCATATATATTTGCAGCACATTATAAAGTTTATTATAAAACTTGTTCGCATTATTTATAGATTTCTGGATTGAAAATTCATAATCTATAAATTGTGTGGAATAATTGAAATGATCTGTAAAATAATGTTGTGTAGGAGTACATTGATATATTCAATCCTGTGGGTGCAATGAAAGCACACTCACCCCACACAAGTGATTTCGTCCGAGTTCGAGCCCTGGCTAGGGAGAGTTGACCGGACATGAACCCTAACTGCTTGCCCCCTGTTCACCCAGCAGTTACTCGGGACCTGGTTGTGAACTGATTAATCAATCACGTTCCAGAAAAAACTAGTAAAGAAAGGCTTAACATTAGCTATGGGAAGGGAAAACTATGCTGCTAACAGGAGTCAGACGTTGTCTACTACTATACACACGTGTTTAAAAAGAAAAATAATGAAATGAACAATGCAAAAAGCAGTATGTACATCTAAATTTATCATGAGGCACGAGACACTAAATATCTCCTCTCATCTTGCAGTTCAAGGTATTTGTGTGAAATTATAGTTTAAACAAAATGCTTTCAAAGCGTACTAAGTACGTTTTAAAGTTTGGGGTGACTTAAATATTTCACATCAAGATTGTCTTCATCATTATCCTGTGATGCCTTGTTCCTCCTGGCAACTCCCATTTATGTGGGTAATAAGTAGTAGTTTGGAGCTAGATACAACCCTGCATGTTGATGACAATGTTTTGGTTTTCATCTCTGTACTGAGGTGTCTGAGATGAAGAAAAGAAAAGCTAAACTGTATTCATTGAACAAAATTCTAACCTCCGAACATCCAATTGCACCATCATATCCTGCTGATACTATGATGAGGTCAGGGCTGAACTGAAAAGACAAAACTACAAATTTAATCTCTATCTTGATTAAAAAGGAAAAAATAATAAAAGGGCAACAATATACAGATCAATCTAATTTCCTCAATATTTTGCCTAATTTGCAAACACAGCTGCCACCTATACCTTTTTTAACGATAATTTCACACAAACACCTCGAACTGCACAATGAGAGAAGATATTTAATGCCTCATGCCATTCTTAATTTATTAAAATTATAGTCTGCTTTTACTTCTCACTCTTTCTTATCCTCCTTTCAATTCTGGCCTCATTCCACTCTTCAATCTCTCTCTTACTTTCAGTTTTGTCTTGATTAACCTTACATAATCAAACTTTCCCACTTCAAACAATCACAACTTCCAGCTTCCTTTATTCCTACAACATTCCACATGGCCATACGAGCTGCCTTGGTTTACTGGGCAGGTACTTACAGGTGGCTGGTGGAAGGTGATGTCACCACATCCTGAATGTATTTTCCACCTAATGGGACAGACTTAGCCTCGCTTCCATTACAGATTTAATTTTTAGTTAATTTTAGCCAAGTACATGAAGAATCTTTTGTATACTCTACCAAGATACTTCTTATTTACTTTTTTGTCTCCAAACAAGTATTAATCACAGTAGGACACATGAAATACATTCAAAATGTACGATCTCTTTTAATATTTTTGTTACGGTTACAGTAGCAAGGCCTCAGCTGGATATATTGAATATATATATAACACAAATTATTCTAACATTTTATCCATACCTCATAAGCCACAGGAAGAAGAATTTGATGGAAAATGGCTAAGTAGTCTTCATTCCTCATGCCAGTTTTGTTGAGTGGAACATTGAAGTTGAACCCCAGGCCGGCTCCTTCACCTATATAGTTGTAGTTGCTTTCCCGTAGGTGTGGCCAAAAGCTCCCATTCTCATACCGGTGAATAGAGAAGTAGAGCACCCTGCAATATACAATGTTCACACTTTAATCTTACACTGCCATAAATGACCACGAGAATTTTTATTTTGCAATTCATTTTGTTTCTTTGGTTGGATTATGCACCAGAATGGTCATCACATAACTTCATATCTCTTTCCTAAAAATTAGTATAGCAAGTGACATGCCATTTATATTCCACAATGGGAAATTCTCTGAATGAAAATGGTTGCCAACATGTGATGCATTGGCATTGGTGGGAAAATTAATTCTAGAAAGATATATTTTAGGTCTATGATTTGGCTTTCCATTATCAGGGCCAGAATGCCTGATAGACTTATAGAGGTCCTCCTTGGCTAATGACTAGCCATCTCCAGGACTGCTAACAGCAAGACAGCTAACTCCTGAGTCCCTACTTACTTATAAGTGAACTTGTACCAGTTGCAAGGTTTAACAAAGGGGATATTGAAAAGGTACTAAATATATCAACATAAAATAAACTTCATAACAATGGATACAAATTGGTTTCGTTTTAATTCAGAAAATACCTGGCATATCAGGAAAAACCACTAAACCATTATGACTACTGTATATAGCACTTGAAAGGAATACGAGCATAAGGATTTAGTCTTCATAAGGTTTTAGGATAGAATGGAGAGAAGGAATGGTGCCCGGATGGTTGGGACTGAAATGCTGGTCTGTAAGAAACGAAACTGTCGCCCTACCATCCAGTCCAGTCCTGGGTAAATAGTGGCTTGGAAATAATGCAGTTGGTATATGGAACAAATTTCTGCATAACAAATTGCTGGATTGTATCAAGCAAGAGTTAAACATTGATACAGAAATAAATTTGGTTAAAAGTAAATAGCCTTGCATGGGCTAATAGGCCTACTGCATTTTCCCTATTCCATTTTCACCACGACCAAGTGAGAACATGGGGACGGGGGTAATATGTTATCATGAAGAGAGATACAGTACTACGAGCTGCATACCATTTCCATGTGATTATGTGATACTGTAATTACAAATGAAAGCCGGAAAACATTTATACTTTTCTTTTGATAAAATTACTTGTAATTTTACTGTCAAATTAAAAAAATTTTAATTTAATAATTTTATTGGCCTATAATAACTAATATGGGCAGACATGGTGAATGAGTGAACAAATAGTGTAAAGAAAGCATGTAATTTAGTAAGAACAAGGCAATGTGGCAATATTTTGTTAAAGACCAAGTGTTTTGTTTCCATATGCAGTTTTATAGCAGTGTGGAGCTGCTTTGAATGACTTGCTGAAGTGTGCTTACCTATCACTAATTATATAAGTGTATTTGAAAGGATGAGAGCTACACTCGTGGTGTCCCATCTTACAAGCACTTTGTTATATAACACTTTGAAACTACTTGAGATAGTTGAGGATTGTAAGAAAAGGATAACTGAGATACAGCTGAAAGGTCATAGTGTGGAAATTCATGTGGATTCCATCTCATGTTGGAATAGTGCTCAACGAGGTGGCGGATGACTTGGCCAAATGTGCTACATCAAAACCACAAGTTGACATCGAATGTGAATTCACAATGAGAAAAATACGAAGCAAAATCAGAAATATTTAGGCACAGGCAGAAGTGGAGAGGAGAGGTATAATGTATGAGAGAAGTCAAACCATGCAACACTACATGTATGTGAGTCAAAACACCCATTTCACTTATGGTAAAAGGAGAAATGCTTGGAGTGACTCTGTGCACATGCAGCTCAGGCTTGGGTACAAATACTACTGGGAATATGGGATAGGTGTTCATGATAATGACATGAAGTGTAAACTATGTAGTATGTTAAGGTCTCACACCTTTGCCCATTATGTTCTTGATTGTCCGTTGATTAATGTATATAGAAACACTGAGATAAGGACTGTTCCTGAGCAAATAGCCTGAATGTGTCACAATGGAAAGGTTGACGATATTCTTGAGAGATATAAGAATTTTGCACCAAGACTGTAATCTTTTGTTGAATTATCTGCATGTCTCTTGCAAATTGTCTATACAGTATACCTAGGTCATAAAAGTATTTGTGTGTACGTCTGATACCTTACTACTTGTGTAAAGGAGGAATGTATATATTTATCTTTCAGAATGTTCGGTAATACAGTATGTTTATTGTTTGTGATGTGTGTCTATGTATGTATTAACACGATGTACTGAACACGGGTGAGAATAGCTTCAGCTACCTCATCCCTTTGCGTGTATTTTACCTCAATAAACTTATTTCAATTTCAATTTGAGCCTGAATCTCCAATATAAAATATATTCTAAATAACTCAATACCAGGCTATGAATCATTTAAATGCATCCAATTTGCAATATTTTTCTCTATGCAGATGTTATTTTCTTATTGTAATTGTAATTTTCTTAATTTTGTTTACATTTTGAATATGAAAAGAAATGCTCTTTTCATTTTGACCATTACAAATATTGGAGAAAGTCTTGAACAGCAGCTAACTATTCCTGATCAATTTAGATGTGCCATATCAGATGAAGTTTCCTTTATTGCCACCAAACTGAAGCTGCCATGCTTAAGCTGTTGTTCTCACCGCCAGATGACTGGACAAATATTTCAGGATTTTGAAACAATTGTTTACATGCATTTGGTAAAACTTGTCATTGTAGTGAAGATTATTTTTGGTTAAGAAGCAAGAACTCCTGCTTATTTTCTGTGACAGTGTTAATAATCTGTAGAACTTGTACAGTACAAAGTAAAATAAGAGAATGTGTTGTGCCATGCATGATTTATAAGGAATTATGTACAATAATACACACACAAAACTAGAAAGTCTGTGTATGGCTGTATTCACCTGGGATCTGAGTAAAATGCATATTGTGATGCCTGCCCATGGTGAATGTCCCAGTCAACTATGAGGATGCGTGACAATCCATGCTTCTCCAAGGCATGCCGAGCTGCCAACGCTGCATTGTTTATGTAGCAGAACCCACACATTTCTGACTCCATAGCATGATGGCCGGGTGGTCTGCAAAGATATAAGGGTCACTGTACAGTATGGTAACAACAATTATAATTACGTACAAAAATTAGTATATCGCACATTTTAAAAAATATATATTACTCTGTTAGACAGTGATGCAAAACAACTGCCTTATCAACTTTAGGGAAACATGACACTGAGTAATTTAAATGGTTCTAGTACCTGGTCTAAGGTTTAAATTACAATTAATAAATTGATTACAAGCACTTCTGGAAAGATGGTGTGGATATTTCATTACAAAAATCTCTGCAGCTTGAAACTACACTACCGAACCTATGCAGTCCGTCACCTGCGCAGCAAATATATTGAGGCAATTATCATAAGTTGCATAGTCAACAATTGAAACTATATAGGTTTGTCTGGCAATATAAGTAGTGAGATCTCGTACTTAGATAAGATAAGCTCATTGCCACACCTGAGTTGGGTGTGTGGCGTAGGGTTCGGGAGTCATATCGGGTCATTTAACCAAGAATTCCTGACGTCTATTCCTGAAAATAGCACGACGTCACCACAACTGCACATCAGTCTGTGCCCCCCCCCCCGAATGGGGAGGGTCCCAGACCTTCCTGCTGGCTACTCTCCTAAGTTCAGAGGCTGAATATCAAAAACGCGAAAAAACGCCGACCAGAGGGAGGGAGGGAGGGATGCTGGGAAGCCTCCATGTATCACCCAGAAAATGGCATTTCATTACATTCAACACTGCTTTTATGAGGAGAGCCTCTTCGGCTCCCCGGAGCTACCTAAACAAAGATAAAGAAAAGGGACTTACCCGGGAGGCGGCCGTCACTTGCCCCTCAACTCGATGTTGAGACAACTGGCTGCGACCTGCGACCCAAGGCTACACACCCGAGAAGGGCCAGGAACGTTAATGAGGTACTGTGCGGCCAAGACCCTGTTTGACCTCCAAAAGCCCCGTGCCCGAATGTCAGCCCAGGACATACTAGTATTACCAAAAATAGCAGCCAAAGCCGTGAACTTACGAATGTCGTGGGCACAGGAATAGACCGCAGGCTGGCTGGACTGAATATGAATAATCCTGTGGACGACCTGGGAGACCAGTGCCCTAGAACAGGGAAGAAGGGAAACTGGGTCCACCCAAAGTGTGTCCCTCTGCCACAGAGGCTATGGCGCACAAATAACAGCGAAGAGCAGCAACCAGACACAAAACATGATGCACCCCTGGCCGAACCAACCAAGTATCAACAACCCAAGGACCCCTTCAGATAGCAGCACTCATTCTTCGCCAGAAAAGAAGAAGGCTGCAAAGGAACAAAACGATCACCAGGACCGAAAGAGCAGAAACCCCTGCGCCGGAGGAGAGCATGAAGCCCGACCCAACCCGCAGAGGCCAATGCCAACAAGAAAAAAGAGACTTAGAAAAACAGTCCTGAACCGAAGGGGCCACCACAAACTGAGGAGGAGAGAGAAAAAGAGAGCACCCGGTCCAACGACCAGGACAGCTCAGGCGGTGCATGAGCAGGCCGGAGGTGAAACAACACCCGAGAAAACTTGCGGAACGGAGCAAAAGGGACATCCATCCCAAATGCAAGCTGCAGCAGCTCCACCAGCGCCGCACAATACGAGGTGATAGTATTTGGCATAAGATGATGGTCCTGAAACAACCAAGAAAGGACAAAACAACCCGACAACCCGATCAGAAATAGAAGACAACCTACAAAGAGAAAGGAAATGGCAAAAAGAACGCCAGGAAACTTCATACAGTTGCCGAGATGAAGCTCACCATCAACAAAGCCACCTGATCACCATATAAATAGTGATAGACCCGCATCAAAAACACCAGACGCGAAGAGTGGAGGATTAAACCGAACCAGACACATACCGGACCGGTGCGATCTGCTGAAAGAGGCAGAGCCGCGGAAAACATCTTGGTTCGGACACTGACCAAGCAGCGCCTGAAACCAAGGTTGGGACAGCCACGAAGGAGCCAACAGGACACCTCTCCCCTGGTAAGTCTCCAAATGAGCCAGGCCCTGGAGCAACTGCTGGATCCAGGGGGGGGGGGGCACTATGCGTGAAGCCACTATGCGTGCTAGTGACTTCACAAGAATGTAAAACTTCAAGTCTCTGTACTCTCATGAACCCAATGTACCTTCTTGTATATAAATAAATATATAAATAAATAAATACATAAATAAATAACAGCCTAGACTTTACCTGACAATAGCAAAGCCATTTTGTAATCTTCCTGAAGCTACAGCATCCACTAGATCTATAGCACATCCAGCAGCAAGAAGCGACGTCTCGTAGGTTGACTGCAAAATGATCATTTAAATATTAGTCAATACAATACAATGTTTACCAAAGCAGGTGGCACCTGTAAAAAAAAATCCATTTATTATGAACTTTTCATCAAGCACAAAAAAGTATTAAGATTTAGACCTCTAACTCCAAGAACAATACTCTCAGAGATGGTATTGTCAATCTCAATAAATCTCAACCCTCTGGTCAAATATTTTGTTTAATGAGTCAGCAATATCCTTTTTCACAACATTTATCTTTCTATATACATATCAAAATTTATGAAAAAGTTTAGATGTTACAAAAAATGCTTAAGTATTTGTTTTGACAAATAATTCCTATTGTTGTCAATCTACATCAAATAAACTAATTATTAAAAACCTATTAAATTTTAAAAATAAATCAATACTCTGTAGTTTAGTGTAATATAATATTTATTAAATAAGTGTCATTTTATTATTACATTATCTTTGTCTCAAAATATAATCCCACTTGAGCAAAATAAAGTGATACACGAGACATTGGATGAAGGTAAATGACTAGGAATTGTGATGCATGAAGCTTACTGGATGAAAGTAAATTACTAGGAATAGTGATGCATTAAGCTTACTGGATGAAGGTAAATGACCAGGAATAGTGATGCATTAAGCTTACTGGCTGAAGGTAAATGACTAGGAATAGATGCATGAAGCTTACTAGATGACTAGGAATAGTGATGCATTAAGCTTACTGGATGACTAGGAATAGTGATGCATGAAGCTTACTGGATGACTAGGAATAGTGATGCATTAAGCTTACTGGATGACTAGGAATAGTGATGCATTAAGCTTACTGGATGAAGGTAAATGGAATCAAAATGAGAGGAGAGTTCCTCAAGTTTGCTTTTATCAGTCTCCCCCTTGGTACTCCACAGGAGGGCAAGGTGTGTAGGGGAATGCATCTTCAATACTTCCTCTTCCGTTGCAGCACGAGGCACCAAGTGCTCACACCGACTAAGCAGTCCCAGCTCTTTGCACCTGTATAGATGGAGTCAATAATGCATTTACAGTTAACAGAATAACACAACAGAATTTTTAATCAGACCAAATTCTCAGAATAATTATGCTTGACCAACTCTACATGGCAACATCAATACCAAGTCTAAAATGTTAGTAATGTTTAAGATCTCTGAAGCTGCTGTTGAGATACACAACAGATACTCTATGACATCTGTCACTTTTCCAGTATCTTTGATTCAAACACAGTATTAAAACAAAACAAAAATTCCAAGTGATTTTGTTATTAAAATATGTGCAAGTTACATTATCATTTTAACTAATAAAACAATAATTTTAACACTATAAAAGCTACATGTTGTTGTTGTTAAAGATTCGCTACCTGGAACAAAAAGTTCCAAGTAACACGGGCTATGGTGAGCCCGTAAAAAAAAAAAGCTACAGTAGAAAAGCTATAATTATTGTTAATCTGCTACTCCAACCGATTTTTTTGTAAAATTTACAGGGTTCAACATGAATCTATCCATCTGGGCATAGTTATACCTGAATTACCTGAGGACCACTAATACTAGTGGCCTCGACGAGGACAGGAAGCTGGTGGTTTGTCAAAGGTCCCTCCATTTGCCCGGATGATCTTTTCTATTTGTATTTTAAAACCCAGCAGAGTTTTGGCAGTTACGGCTTCGGCGGGAAGGCGGTTCCACAGGTTTACAACCCTCTGGGTGAAAAAGCATCTCCTGTTTTCTGTCCTATATTGTGGCTTGTTGAGCTTTAACCCGGTGCTCCTTGTTCGTGTTACATCTGACCTTTTGAAGAAAGTGTCCAGATCGACATCCTCCATGTTGTTTAGTATTTTTAAGGTTTCTATGAGATCCACCCTGTCATGCCTGGTTTGCAGTGTTGTTAGCCCAGTGGCTCTCAACCATTCCTGATACGAGAGATGACTAAGCTCTGGTATGATTTTTGTTGCCCGGTGTTGCACCTTCTCCAGAGCAGCTATGTCTTTCTTTCCTTGGAGATGAGGTCTCCATTGAAATTGAAATTGAAATTGAAATAAGTTTATTGAGGTAAAATACACACAAAGGGATGAGGTAGCTCAAGCTATTCTCACCCCGTTCAGTACAACGTGTTAATATATACATAGACACACATCACAAATAAACATATTACCAAACATTCTGAGAGGTAAAAATATACATTTCCTCCTTCACAAGTAGTATGGTATCAGACGTACACACAAATACTTTTATGACCTAGGTATACTGTATAGACAATTTGCAAGACACCTGCAGATAATTCAACAAAATATTACAATCTTGGTGCAAAATTCTTATATCTCTCAAGAATATCATCAACCTTTCCGTTGTGACACATCCAGGCTATTTGTTCAGGAACAGTCCTTATCTCAGTGTTTCTATATACACTAATCAACGGACAATCAAGAATATAATGGGCAAGGGTGTGAGACCTTAACATACCACATAGTTTACACTTCGTGTCATTACCATGAACATCTATCCCATATTCCCAGTAATATTTGTACCCAAGCCTGAGCCGCATGTACACAGAGTCACTCCAAGCATTTCTCCTTTTACCATAAGTGAAATGGGTGTTTTGACTCACATACATGTAGTGTTGCATGGTTTGACTACTCTCATACATTATCTCTCTCCTCTCCACTCCCGCCTGTGCCTGAATATTTCTGATTTTGCTTCTTATTTGTCTCATTGTGAATTCACATTCAATGTCAACTTGTGGTTTTGATGTGGCACGTTTGGCCAAGTCATCCGCCACCTCGTTGAGCACTATTCCAACATGAGATGGAATCCACATGAATTTCACACTATAACCTTTCAGCTGTATCTCAGTTATTCTTCTCTTACAGTCCTCCACTATAGACATGAAGACTGGGTTTCGACTGTTTAAGGACTCCAGTGCTCCTCGGCTATCGACAAATACAAAAACATTTTTGTCGTCATGACGTACTTCCTCCAAACACGCCAGAATGGCCTGCAGTTCAGCTTGTGTGGATGATATATAATTACTAAGCCGGAGTTCAATTATCCTGTCCACAGTCCCAAACTCCGTATAATCCCTTATTAGGACACCACACCCTGCCCTGCCATCCTCCGCCACCGACCCGTCGCAATATACATGTAAACTGTTGCCTCTTGGTAACCGAGATATCATGCTTCCATACAAACACCGTAATTGTCCCGGTTCATGATGAATCTTTTTCACCTTGAGGGGTACAATTTCGACGTCTATTTTCTGTACTTTCCAGGGAGCAGACATATTACACTTTCGAGAGGGTTTACAGCAGTCAAGTACGTCGTATTCCCTGAGGTCATGAGCTAATCCTCTCGTATAGCGTGTCTCCCTCAGTTTCCTGGAAGTGTGTACGTCACTCAAGCAGGTCTGAACGCTCTCAAACAGCTTATCCCCTCCTTTTCTCCGCATGAAACGAATAGATACTCTAGTGTTAATGTCACGGACTCTATCACACACACTCTGTAAATTTAATTCCAATCTCATTATTTCAATCATTGCATTTCTTTGACATCCAAGAATAATCCTCATAGCCTCGTTCTGTATCAGCTCTATTTTTTTAATTCTGCCTTGGCCTGTGTAAGACAATACGGGTGCTGCGTAGTCTATCAGGGATCGAACAGTGCTTATGTATAACATCCGCAAGATAGGTACCCCAACACCTTTACCAGAAAAAGCCAGTGCTTTTAGAGGATGCAGACGGGCTTTACATAAGGTGCTGATATGATTTATTTCAGCATTTTTACTCTCACATGTGTATCCAACATACATGCCCAGATACTTGTACTTCTGTACACGGCTCAGTTCCACACCATTTAGAGTAAGTGTTATATTTCTTCGTTTCCTATACTCGTATTTGGTTTTATCTGCATTTATAACTAAGCCTAACTTGTGACAGGTTGTACCAAGTATGTTAAGAGCATCTTGAATTTTGTTCCCAGAAGTGCCTTGTATAAGAATGTCATCAGCATATATGATCGTCGTGACCCCTGGAGGATACATCTCTGATGCTAATCTGTTCATTAATACATTGAATAAGGTGGGACTTAATACTCCCCCTTGTGGGGTACCTAACTGAAACCTCCGTTCCTCAGACATGTATCCCTGGTAATACACCTGACCTTTTCTGCCTTGCAGGTAATCCCTTATCCAGTGTAGCAATCTCCCTGTTATTCCCAGATTGGCTAATTCGTATAAGATTACTTCCCCATTGGCTTTATCAAACGCTCCTTGTAGATCAACAAAAACTCTACAATTGTCATCCACATTAGACAAACACTTTAAGAGACAATCCGCAGTACTTTTGCCTTTGATAAAACCAAAGAGATTATTGGACATGTTATCACCTACAAGGTAGAGTAGCCTATTTAACAAAATCCTTTCCATCATTTTACAAAAGCAGGATATTAAGGAGACAGGTCTGTAGCCTCCGTTTGACTTAGGGATAGGAATGATGACAGCCTCTTTCCATTTTCTTGGTAACTTTCCCTCTCTATAACTCATATTAAACAAATCAAGTAAGGGATTAGGTTTCATACCGGCTAAATAATTAAGTATGTCATACGTTACTCCATCTTTTCCCGGAGCAGTGGAGCTGCCACTTTTTATAGCATCCAGTAGCTCATCGTGGGTTATCTCAGTGCATGCTATAGATCTTGTATTTAAGGCACATAAAGTTACTCCATTTCTAATATTTTCCCATGACTCAATGGTGACTCTCGTGTCTGCAGGTAAGGACTCCATACCAGCAGCACTTGCCCATTTATCTACTAACTCATTAGCAACTTTCCCTGGATCTGAGTGAGCAATGAATTTGGTCTTACAACCCCTGACTTTATTTACTGCTCTCCATATGTCTTTAAGGTTCTTAGTATTACCAATGGCCTGAGCAAAGTCTTGCCAGTATCTGTCCCGCGCCTCCTTCCTCACCTGACTGCATTCCCTAGCCACTTCCAACATTGTATTTTTCTCTTCATCCCTCATTCCATTTTTTAACCATGCTTTATGCGCACCCCGTAGCATTCTCTCCCATCCCTTGACTTGCTGATCATTGGAATATTTAAATTTCTTAGGTCCGTGCGTCTTGCTTCCCCTGCCCCCGTTATTTTCCCTCTGTACTAATTTCTCTATGTTCTCGACCATGTCCTCGTAAAAACTATCAACGCAGAGCGGCGTGTAATGTTGATACCAATCTCCCATATTTTGAATAAAATAATTTTTCATATCTTTCTTAATATTTAGCCTTTTCCTTTGAAAGTGGACTTGTTTTTTCCCCAGTGGTAATTCAACGTTCAAGGCAAAGTGGTCACTAAGTAGTTCCCGAACAACCCGAGCCTCCCCCATGATCCCCTGAGAGTTTAAAACGCAGGCATAGTCAAGCCGTCCTCCCCTGATGTGAGTTGGTTCATTGTTTCCCAATAGACAGGTATCTGGATGATCTTGTAGAAACTGTAACCACTTGACCCCATTAGCATTAATACTACCCACTGTCCCAAGGCTTGTGTGCCGAGCATTAAGGTCCCCAATGACCAGTGAAGGATTAGTATAAATGCAGTCAGGTAAATAGTTAGCGTCGAAGCAGTTCCTGGATACATACAAATTAACTACAATAAATTCCCCTTCCCTTAATGATAATTTAACACAGACACTCTCTATACCTTGCGTTTTTGATGGCGGTTCTACTAACTCTGCTGGTATGGAGTTCTTAACATAAATCGACGTGCCTCTGATGTTATTTGCAGCGAAGAGGTGAAACCCTTTATAGCCATTTAATTTCAATAATCCTTCATTCCTATCCCCTGTCTCTTGGAGAGCTACAACATCAATATCATTTCCCATCACATAACAATGAACATCTGTAACCCTGTTTCTCAAACCATTAACATTCCATGACAACACTTTCAGTCTAGGGTGATCCATTATTAATCAATTCATTGCCTAAGTCATCCCCAATAAGTTCACTAAATGATAGCCATACCTTGTATAACATCTCCCACCTCCTCCCAAGTTCACCAGTAAAAGCGACATTGCGATTCTCAAGAGATTTTTTCAGCCCTGAGATGTCCATTATTGGCCCAAATGATTCCTTCATTTCATGTGTAATTATAGGGTTCTTCCTTTCACTACGACTACCATCATTCACACACACTTCACTTTCCTTCATTTCATCACTCAATATTTCATTTTTGTCCTCAACCACTATATCCTGACTATCCTTCACCGTTTTGTGATTTTCCTTGACCTCCTGAACGTTTAATTTAGCCTCGATGGACTCGATTCTCTGCCCCAGATTTTGGAGGAACTCACCAACTTTTTTAAGTTCAGCCCACACTTCCTTGACCATATTATTATGACCCTCTCTCTGAGCCACAGTAGCCACTTCACTCACCGTTACACTGTCACTGCCGGAGTCCTGAGTGGTGGCGTGGCTGCTTGTTGCTGGAGCCTGCCTAAGTAAAGGTGACTCCTTTACCCACGCATTCGTCCGGTTCACTGGCACTGTTTGGGGCAGACTGTTTTGCTGTGCTCCCGGTGTCTGGGTAAGAGCTCTTGCTTGCTCTGTAACATTCACCGGCCGGAGAACAGCCATACTCGGCCTCTTGCTACACACAGCCGAGCTCGCATTGTGAACACCTCCACAGTTGCAGCATCTGGGAACTATTTTCTCACCCAGATTCAGTCTGTTTCTACACACAGTAGAGAGGTGAGACTTTCCGCAGAAACGACATCGTGGATCATTTTGACAGCTCCAGGATTTATGCCCCCATCTGCAGCATTTCAGGCATATTATGGGCTCTTCCACGTACTTTGCTACATGCCTGTAGCCAGCCCCGGTGATGAACACTTTTTCGGGTACGTCACCTCTCACTAGAGCCACCACCTGACTCCTAGCTTCACCTTTAATAAGGTGACGCTTGGCCCACACAAATCGTTGGTCGTCGAGTATAAACTCGGGGTCCAGAATCTGAGGGTATTTATAGATAATTACCTTCGTCAGCTTCTCGTTCCCCTCCGGTATTTCCATAAGAATTCCATCATATCCTTTCTGGCTAAGAAACGTCACTGCCTCCCTAGAACCTACCGTTAAGTAAGGTCTGTTTACACCTTCCTTCAGCAGGGGCTCGAACTTGCGGTGTTCTCTTCCGAGTTTGACGGTCCACAGCAGCTTCTGATGATAGGCCAACGTGCATGAGGCAGGGAAGAGAAGCCTCCATCTCCGCTGATCCTCACCTTCCTGACATCGTTCCGTCCGTTTGTCTGCATCAGTCTCGGCGTCGTTCTTCATTCTTTTATCGTTTCCGTTAAGTGTATTACTGTCCACACTACGCCTTGCCTCCTGTCTTCTTCGTTTCTTCTTATTCCTTGACAGAACTTCTAGATACTCGCCCTCCTCGTCTGACTGGCTGCTTTCAGGGTCCATGTTAATAACGCCGTGAGAAGTAGCCATGTCTTCTGGTGACTGAGTCTCCATCTCAGTACCCAGCATGGGGGGAGGGGAGGGGGAAGGTGCGGAGCAGGTATCTTGACCCGACCGCGTCCCAGGTAAGACTGGAGGTCTCCATGGTTGGATGCAATAATACAGGTGGGTTCGCACCAAAGACTTGTACAGTTAAACGACTACTTTCTTTTCCTTAAAGGTAAAAGGTACGCTTGATTATTCCCAAGATTTGGTTTGCTTTTTTTTACTGCTGCTCCCACTTGTTGTGCAACTTTTACTAAATGATGGATTCTGATACCAAGGGCCTTTTCTTCATCTATCTGTTGTAGTGTTGTCAATTTGGTAGCTGTGATGTGGATTGTTATGTCCTACATGCAAGGTTTTGCATTTATTGACATTAAAGAGCATTTGTCAGTCACCTGACCATTTATGGATTTAATGCAGATCTCTTTGTAAGGTCTCGATATCACTTTCACTTCCACTTTACCATAGATCTTAGTGTCATCTGCAAATTTGATGATGTGGTTTGTAATATTCTCATCTATGTCATCAATGTACATGACAAAAAGGGTCATACATTGTACTTTTATACAACTCATGTAATCCATTTATTATCAATACATTAGCTACTTTATTATAGTCTCTATAACTTTAAATAATATTTTTACAGACCCCAACATATAACAAATCAATGGCAGCCTATTGTAGCACAAGACAATAGGCCTAGAGGTTAGGAAACACTCAGCATTAAGATCAGCAACGATCTCTACCACCTATCACTTCCCCCATACTGATGACAGTAAATAAGAATTAAACACTCGGCGTTTAGATCAACAAAGAGCCTGAAACAGAATTAATATACTGTAGCCACAGGCTGACCTTATACATTGGGAGCAGAGAAATAAATGAAAACAGATTGTGACACTTGGCCAGAAAGAAGGTAGCCGAGCTGGCCACAGTAGGATAAACAGGATCACAAGCCTCGGGAAGGTCTCCAGCCTCTTGAGGACTTAAATCACCAGCATAAGACATTCACAGTTATGAATCATACATAAACAGTACCAAAAATAAAGAAAAAGGTTACAATTTTAGCAGTAAACTCCAAGGCCTACCTGTCCAGAGCACATAGTAGCCTCTCAGGACATTCCGGGTTTTTCTCGTCCCAGAGACAGCGGTGCTTGGTCATGCTCTCATCGTATACCACGCCCGTCTTTCCCCGGACCATTTTCATAGCTTCTTGAGCCTGTTGAGCAGACACATTCTTATTCCTCATTTATCTTTTACTTTTCCATTTAGGATATACACAAAGATGAATTACAATGATACAGGTTCCCATTGTCCAGAACAGAAAACTTGCCAAGTTTACTGAGGTCATTAAACTACACACAAATCATTAACACTCATCAGATTAAAGAAAATTATATATCATATAAAAATAAAGGACTCTGAAAGTAGTTTAATGACCAGTTTAATCACAAACTCTTAAAATTACATCAATGCTTAACATGACCAGACCCCACACTAGAATGTGAAGGGACGACGACATTTCGGTCCGTCCTGGACCATTCTTAAGTCGATTGAGAATGGTCCAGGACGGACCGAAACGTCGTCGTCCCTTCACATTCTAGTGTGTGGTCTGGTCATTATACTTCAGCCACGTTATTGTGACTCATCGCCTGCAATGCTTAACATATTTTTAAGAACAATATAAGGCTTTCCCATCATTTGCCTGTTTTACTTCAACAAATCCCTTGGTACACCCACACCCTGATTACTGATTTCTGGAAAAATGGTTAGCACAGCGATGAAAATTATCCATGAAATAAGTCCACTCACTAAGAAAGGATGAGGGGGTACAGTACTAGCAGTTACTGATACAAGGTTAGACTGACTTGACTGACAAGTTCTGTACAACACAAGATGTCAACTATTGTTACAAGAGGTATAGAATAACATGTACAGTACACTTGTGTCACAAGTATACATGTACAGTACACTTGTGTCACAAGTATACATGTACAGTACACTTGTGTCACAAGTATACATGTACAGTACACTTGTGTCACAAGTATACATGTACAGTACACTTGTGTCACAAGTATACATGTACAGTACAATAGGGCTAGTGTAATATGTACGCAGTACAATACGGCTAGTGTAATATGTACACATACGCAGTACACGAAGGATGGCATAACATTCACAGTACAAGAGGAAGGTGTGAATTGAGCTTTGGAACTTAACAATTTTTAGGAGAAATTGCTAAGCCAGTTGAAAAACAAAATACAGAACTTGAGTATAAAATTTATTTAGAAATATTACCTGAATAAAAATTTTTATGTTTGAATATTTAAGTCTAATTCATTATATTCATAAAGACATCTGATCAGTGAGACAGATGCACAGATGCTGTCGTATAACAAACAATTATTCCATTTCCATGTACAATTTCTTTTTGCTTAGAAAACAAAATTGCAAAGTAAAATGACAATCAGAACCTTAGCCATGGGGTCGAAGATAGGGTCCCCTCCTTCCTGACTAAGAGATGCCTGCCGTTTGAACACATTCCTCAGTTCTTCAATTGAAATGCGAGGTCGAATAGCAGCTAATTTACGGTTCTTTGAAGTCTGCCCAGCTTCACCTAAAATTCAAATTCATTATAACATTGACTAAATAAGCATACTCACCAGACGTCAATTTGTTATAGATGGCAATGAATTTTTGTTTCGATAGACATGTTACAACAGCATTAGGGCAATTGAAAGGGGCATCCCAGACCAATATACCTCTTGATATTAACAGAGAGGTGAAATGTGCACAAGGCCATGCAATGATTACAGTGCGCCATAATGTATTCAAGGGTTCTTGTGAGATCAGGCACATCAAGTAAAGGGGGCAGGCAGATGCAGTGAGTATATGTAAGTGTAATAAGTACAGGCAGGTGTAATGAGTACATGCAGGTGTAATGAGTACATGCAGGTGTAACAAGTACTGTACATGCAGGTGTAACAAGTGCTGTACATGCAGGTATAATAAGTACAGTACATGCAGGTGTAACAAGTACAGGCAGGTGTAATGAGTACATGCAAGTGTAATGAGTACATGCAAGTGCAATGAGTACAGGCAGGTGTAATGAGTACAGGCAGGTGTAATGAGTACATGCAAGTGTAATGAGTACAGGCAGGTTTAATGAGTACAGGCAGGTGTAATGAGTACAGGCAGGTGTAATGAGTACAGGCAGGTTTAATGAGTACAGGCAGGTGTAATGAGTACAGGCAGGTGTAATGAGTACAGGCAGGTGTAATGAGTACAGGCAGGTGTAATGAGTACAGGCAGGTGTAATGAGTACAGGCAGGTTTAATGAGTACAGGCAGGTGTAATGAGTACAGGCAGGTGTAATGAGTACTGTATATGCAGGTGTAACGAGTACATGCAAGTCTAACAAGTACTGTATATGCAGATGAAGCAAGTACAAGCAGATGTAATGAGTACATGCAGATGCAATGAGTACATGCAGTTGTAATAGGTTCAAGCAGGTATAATTTTTTTTTTACCCAATTTACCTGAGGGTCAACAATATTTGTGGCCTCGACAAGCACAGGAAGCTGGCGGCTTGTCGAAAGTCCTCCAATTTGCCTCGATCTTTTCCAGGCAGATTTTGAAACCTAACAGAGATTTGGCATTTATGGCTTTGGCAGGTAGGCAGTTAAATAGGTTTATAACCCTGTGGGTGTAAAGGCCTCCCCTGTTCTCAGTCCTACACTGTGGCTTGTTGAGCTTGAAACCACTGCTCTTTGTGTTACATCTGACCTTTTGAAGAAATTGCCAGGATCACCATCCTCCAACTTGTTCAGTACCCTGTATATTAAAAGTCTCGATGAGATCTGCCCTGTCATGCCTGATTTGTAGTGTTGTTAGACCTGTGGCCCTCACCATTCCTGATATGAGAGATGACCTCTAGAATAGGTCTAGAATGACGTATGTTGCCCTTTCTCCAGAGCAGCCATGTCCTTCTGAAAGTGAGGTCTCCTGATACAGCATGGAGACTGACAGTATGGAGATACAGTAATAAGCACATGCAGGTGTAATGGATACAAGCAGGTGTGATGAGAACATGCTGGTGCAATGGGTACAAGCTAGTGGCCAGTTTGAAGAGAAAGACAAAATATTTATCCAGTACAACATGCAGGATCTCTCTCTGGCACTTAACTCCCTACCCCTTCCCAATTCACAGCCCTTGTCTCTTCCCACAGTGTTCTTTCCCAATCCTTAGCCCTTGTCTCTTCTCAATCCATAGCCCCCAGTGTCCCTTCCCAATCCTTAGCCCCCATCCCTGCCTCTTCTCAATTCTTAACCTTCCTGCTCCTTCACAATCCTTAATCCCTGTGCCTTTTTTCCAATCCACTTTCACTGGTATCATGCTCCTTCCTTTCCTAATGGTCAATAATGCTTTACCTTCACTACTTCCATACCATATGCTCAATACTGTTCTATCATGACCGGCATGGGCCTCCCATTTCTCATGAACAATGCTCTCCCATCTACATCACTGCTTCAGTGCCCCTTCCTCACATCATAAATGTTGCTTTTCTTTTACTGGTTTTTCTTACATAAGCCAATGTACACACATTTTATTATATTTTATTATATATATATATATATATATATATATATATATTATATTATATTATATTATATATATATATATATATATATATATATATATATATATATATATATATATATATATATATATATATATATATATATATATATATATATATATATATATATATATATATATATATATATATATATATATATATATATATATATATATATATATATATAATATATATATATATAAATAAATCGGGAGAAAGCATCGAACCATTATGGCTATATAGGTAGCTAGTGTACAGTAACAATAAATAAGTTAAATATTTCTTGCCTAATTCGCCATTGCCTCCTTCCACTCCCCCAGCACCTTGAGTTTGTGGCTTTTGGCCTTTCTTCGAGTTCTTCCTTAGCGGTGGGAGAGAATTTTTCTTGTCCCCCATAATTCTGAAAGAAAAGGTAAAATGTATATAAATTGGTGCAATATCCAACTTACACTAATTACTACAATGTAAAACTGCACTCATTAAACTGGCAAACAATGAAATTAACCAACAATAATTATTTTCTCACTACACAAACATATATTTAGTATACACATTTCTAAACATACATACATACATACATATACATATATGTATATGTATATGTACATATATATATATATGTCGTACCTAGTAGCCAGAACGCACTTCTCAGCCTACTATGCAAGGCCCGATTTGCCTAATAAGCCAAGTTTTCCTGAAATATATTTTCTCTAATTTTTTTCTTATGAAATGATAAAGCTACCCATTTCATTATGTATGAGGTCAATTTTTTTTAATGGAGTTAAAATTAACGTAGATATATGACCAAACCTAACCAACCCTACCTAACCTAACCTATCTTTATAGGTTAGGTAGCAGAAAACGTTAGGTTAGGTTAGGTAGGTTAGGTAAACGAAAAACCATTATTTCATGAAAACTTGGCTTATTAGGCAAATTTGGCCTTGCATAGTAGGCTGAGAAGTGCGTTCTGGCTACTAGGTACGACATTATATATATATATATATATATATATATATATATATATATATATATATATATATATATATATATATATATATATATATATATATATATATATATATATATATATATATATATATATATATATATATATACTGTATATATATATATATATATATATATATAAAAGGTTGTTGAATATGACCGAAAGGGTAAGATTAATGAATGATTTAACACGAATCTTCTCAATAATGCTTATGTTTTTGTTCTCTGTCGAAAGAAGTTGAAAAATTAACTCTCCAAAGTTCATTCAATTTAATGGGATTCCAACATTTGATGGGATCCAGTTTAGAGTTATGTTGAGTATTTTCCTTTAGCTACTGTTCCTAGATACAAAATGGTGGTAATTATTTCCACATTGTCTTTCCGCTGCTTTTTTCCTAATATTTGAAATGCAGCTTTCGAGTTTGTGTGTATGATTGCATTTTGAGTGTTTTGTGTAATCACATATGAAAAATGCCTGTTGTATGGCAAACAGCTCAGTTTGGGTTGATGATACTGATCCTCCATGTCTCCACTATGCCTGTTCCCTGTCTGTGCAAAGAGCAACACAGTTGCCTGTTGTTGTTGTTGTTTTCGATTTAGCTACTCAGAACGAAATGTCCATGTAACACGGGCTATAGTGAGCCCGTAATCAAGTTCGGTTATTCACGATAACCTTGTTATTGTGACATTTGGGTCAAAGTCTTAAATTGAGGTGGGGGGTTTCCTCCTTTTCTCTCATTTCTTTTTTGCTTCTGTTTTAGCCCACTGGTTTTAGTCTTGTTTTAATAACATTATCTTGGTGGTGGATATATATGCACAGTGTTCACTAGGATGTCCCATTCTTCAACTGTTTTTCCTAGTCATTGCAGTCGCTGTGGAATTTGCGTCTAATGCAGCTGCTGTCGTTGGCTGAATGTTAAATTTGATGCGCAGGGCTTCAGTCGCTTCACATTCCTGTAAGTAGTGCAATAGTGGCGCCTCTGCTTCTGTTCCACAGATATGACACTCTTTAACTATTAGGTTTATTACCTCCCAGCAGCACTTGTAACCAAGTCTGAGTCTGTGTATGGCTACTGCAATGACTCGATATAATATGAGCCTGGGTGGCTCATATTATATCTGCCAGGAGCGAGCAAGAGCCCCACCTCTCACATCTCACCAGCCAAAATGATCCGCCCTCCCACGGCGCCTTCAGCATACCTGGCAGGTGAGGCAGTCAGGAGAGCATCGCCGAGAATGATGGATATAAAGAGCCAGCTGCTGAAGGAGGCGTCGACGACCCGGACTCCGGAGGTTTGTTTTGACGCAGACACCCAGCGACTACCGGCTTAAATACTTCCCTCCATCACAACGCAATTATTATATCAGCGCCGAGATAACAGATATCTACACATGTAAAACATTTCTGGTACTAATCTCTATTTATCTGTTTTTCTATGGTTTAGTTGTTGATGCGTGTGAAGCCTGTACAAGAGAGTGTCATTATTCAGAACTAACTATTAACCCAGCGGGCAGCAGCACGGGGGAGTATTTATATATATATGGTTGTTCTAGGACACTCGGGAGGCCGGGCTGATATTTTCTTTGGACTTATTACACAAGTTTACACGTTCACATACACTAAAACACATAATATACACGCACAGGGATTCAAATTTATATATGACGTACCCGTATACATGTTATGGATGGGTCATCGTGCATCGGTTGAATTTAAATTCAAATACTTTTTTATTAATTTTTTTTGTGTGAATGTGATGAAGATTAACCATATATTAGCAAGACATACTATATGTTATTTATATATATATCTTCAAGAAAGCAAAGGTCTAAAAATAAGCAACACCCAAAATTGAGAGAACGTAATTTGTTGTACTCACCTAATTGTGCTTGCGGGGGTTGAGCTTTGTCTCTTTGGTCCCGCCTCTCAACTGCCAATCAACTGGTGTACAGATTCCTGAGCCTACTGGGCTCTATCATATCTACAGTTGAAACTGTGTATGGAGTCAGCCTCCACCACATCACTGCCTAATGCCACACTAGTTTCTCTATCAGCTATCTCACCCTGTCAGAGTAAAAGAGACCAATGTATGTGAATGCATGTGTGTGTGTATATATGTATATGTACGTATATGTGTGTGTGTGTATGTATATGTATGTGTATAAAGTATATATGGAAGCTGATCAGAATTACATTTCACCTTTGTAAATGCACATTAATGACACTATGTAAAAGACACATCGAACGCTTTATGTAGGGCATATGTAAATCTGTGTATCTATGTATTTACGTATGTAGGTTAGCTTAACATTTTAAAAGCACCGAATCACCTTCTGTGGTTGATTGTTCAATAAACCCTTGAACTATATGTTTAACAAATCTCTAACCCTATCCATGGAGGACAGAAGAAAATGTATATATGCTGGTTAGCATTGTAAATGTGTGGCCACGTCTGTGGTAGAAAATAATAATAATAAAAAACTGCCTAATGCATTCCATTTATTAACTACTCTGACACTGAAAAAATTCTTTCTAACGTCTCTGTGGCTCATCTGGGTACTAAGTTTCCACCTGTGTCCCCTTGTTCGTGTCCCACCCGTGCTTGTATTAACAAGCTTAGGTATACACAGCATTGTGCTGATACCCTATTCTATATAGAGGGTTACAGAGTGTAGATAAAAAAACTAGCCATAATTTCATCTAATATCCCCATTTCACATCATCTAAGATCACCAACTCACTCATCAAGGTAAATGGGGGAGGGTGATCGTGGACAAGTCGCTGGCTTCCTGTCCTCGTCAAGGGCCACTAGTGTTAGTGGCCCTCAGGTAAATTCAGGATAGTTAGTCATACATGGAATTAAGAGAGACCATGAAATGAGAGCTTATATATTAGCTTCCACCAGCACTCTGGGTACAGCACAAGAATATCTTCCAATATTCGTGAGTGTATGAAGTAGTTACAGAGCTCAAAGTACCTCATACCATTTGGCATGTATTGATTGATAACAAGACAATCACAGATATAGAGTATGTCCCAGCTCTTGTTCACATAGTTTACAATTGCAGTGTTCACCATTGGGGGATTCATTACCTGCAGCCACCTGCCATAGATATCAATATCCCAGCCTAATTCTGGCAATTACAATGTCACACTGTCTAGTGGATGTTTTGTGTTGCCCGGACATATAGTTCTCGGTGCTAAACATGTCATAGCTCTTTATACTCTTGCTTTCTGTCCTGTGAGTGTCAGTAACTGCTCCTCTGTCACCTGTAATATCCTGAAATATGCGGCTTTTACGGCAGAGATTGAAATGCCCATATCCAACTCAATTTCAGGCTTATCACCTGCAGTTTTAGCTGCCTTGTCCGTGCTGTTGTGCTGGACAACACCTATGACTTTTTGTTTTGTTAATTTTTATGCTACCCCCATACCCAACCTGTGGGCAGTAGTGGACCCCGTACCTAACCGGTGGGTGGTAGTGGATCCATACCAACCTATGGGGTGGTAGTGGAGACATACCCAACCTACCTGTTTATGGTAGTGGACCCCATACCCAACTTGTGTGGAGTACTGGACCCACACCCAACCTGTGGGGTGATAGTGGAAACGTACCCAACCTATGGGCGGTAGTGGACCAATATCAAACCTGTGGGCGCTAATAAACCACATACCCAACCTGTTGGTAGTAGTAGACCCATACCCATCCTGTGGGTGGTGGTGAACCCTATACCCATCCTGTGGGTGGTAGTGAACCCTATACCCATCCTGTGGGTGGTAATGATCACCCCATACCCATCCTGTGGGTGGTAGTGAACCCCATACCCAACCTGTTGGTAGTAGTAGACCCATACCCCTCCTGTGGGTGGTAGTGAACCCTATACCCCAACCTGTGGGTGGTAATGAACCCCATACCCCAACATGTGGCTGGTAGTGAACCCCATACCCCAACCTGTGGGTGGTAGTGAACCCCATACCCTAACCTGTGGGTGGTAATGAACCCCATACCCTAACCTGTGGGTGGTAGTGAACCCCATACCCCAACCTGTGGGTGGTAGTGAACCCCATACCCTAACCTGTGGGTGGTAGTGAACCCCATACCCCAACTTGTGGGCGTTAGTGGACCCCATACCCAAAATCCAGTGCGATCAAATCATCAGGAGAGGACCTTTAAACAAGCCGGCGGCTTCCTGTTCTCGTCGAGACCAGTAGAGAGATCGTGGGGGCCTCAGACAAATTCAGGTAAATATATAAGGTCCATAGCAAGCCGCTCCCTTCATGTCCCCGTAGAGGCCACAAGAGATGGTGGCACTCAGGTAAATTGATCTCTTAGTTAGGATATTTTATTTCATAATTAAAAAGTAATGGTAATGTCTTGTCACAGACATAATAACACAGGATAAAAACCCCATACTTATAATAAATAAATAAATGTTTATTCAGGTAAGGTACATACATACAAGAGATTTTACAAAGAATGATGGATTTATAGATAGGGCTAGTACATACAATGCCTAAAGCCACTATTACGCAAAGCGTTTCGGGCATGACAAACTTAAATGACTAAAGCTTAATACTAATTGAGTATAAAGAATAAAATGCGTTGAGAACAAAATAAAAATAGATATAAAAAAGGGGGGGAACATGGCAGAAAAAGCAGCACAAATACAAATAGGCCGACAAACAGCATTTAAAAAAAAAACAGACATGGGTTGACAACAGAGGGGTAAGGTGGGTTACATGGAATTTATTAGGTAGAGCTTCGTTTTTATCTTAAACTGGTTGGGAGAGGTACAGTCTTTAACATGGTTGGGAAGGTCATTCCACATTCTGGGCCCCTTGATTTGTAGAGCATTTCTAGTTTGATTAAGTCGTACTCTTGGAATATCAAAACTGTATTTATTTCTGGTGTGGTGCTCATGGGATCTGTTACAACCTTCAATGAAGCTTTTGAGGTCAGGATTGGCATTACAGTTCAGCGTTTTATATATGTATGATACACATGAGAGAATGTGCAGTGACTTAATCTCTAACATATTCAGAGATTTGAATAAGGGTACCGAGTGATGTCTGGGGCCAGAGTTGGATATTGTCCTAATAGCAGCTTTGTGTTGAGTAATTAGAGGACGTAAATGATTTTGGGTAGTAGAACCCCAAGCACAAATACCATAGTTGAGATATGGATAGATGAGGGAGTAATAGAGCGTCACCAGGGCATAGCGGGGTACATAATATCTGATCTTAGAAAGTATTTGTGGAAATTGTGTAAAGAATTTACACCAAATCTTTCACACTCTTCTGAATGTGTTGTCACGGTCTGAGTGTGTGATAGGACGAGGCTTACATCTCAACCTCTAATGAACAATAATTAATTATAAAGTTCATAATTAATGTAATTAATTTCACAATATTCAATTTCAAATATTAAAATCTGTTAAATGATAATAAAACATTATATGGAGTAAATTATACATTTTATTCATAAAATAGTATAATCATTGCTATAAAATCAGAAGTAATTATTGTAAATAATTAGTTTACTTTATATTTTAGTTCATTTATTATACACCCCATACCCATCTTGTAGGGCGGTAGTGGAAAGGGTTACAGAGGCACATAATGGGCTCAGGGACTCAACCCCACAACTCATTTAGCTAAGCAAGTTACAATCTTGATGAACTAGTTACAAAATTCAATATACTGTACGTCGTCACATCAACAATGGGTTCGAGATCGACCACAAGTACAGTTTCTAAATTAAGCAACCGACATGTGGAGAGCCTAGTGTCACAATTTATATATATGGAATCAATTAAACACACAGTTCTTTGTTCGACATAGACTACTTTATAACAAAAACAATAATCTTGAGCAATTACTTAACATCATATTCGTACATCATTTCAACATTAATTTTAATCCTTAAATATTACACACACACACACACACACACACACACACACACACACACACACACACACACACACACACACACACACACACACACACACACACACACACACACACACACACACACACACACACACACACACACACACACACACACACACACACACACACACACACACACACACACACACACACACACACACACACACCCACACACACACACACCCCTCACCCCTCCTCATCCCCTCTCCTTCCATGTGACCCCCCACCCTTGCGAGGGAGGTGGGAGGTCCCCCCCACCCCCTCTATCCATCCCCCTCCCAACCTCTCAACCTCTATCTGTCTCCCAACCTTACGCCATCTCCCAACCCCTCTATGCCCTCCCTAATCTTCAGACCCAGTATGCCCTTCCTACTCCAGACCTACCTACCCAGGCCCTACCC